ATCCACTAGAATACGGTGTGGGCTAGACAAAACACAAGGGAGGTTTTGTCCTAAGAGTCCAAGAATAGTGACGACTGTGATGGACGAGAACCACACACTCTTCAAAGTTGGGCTCGTCAACATCTTTGAAAGAAGATGAAGAAGATGAACGGAAGTGAAACAAACTCAAGATCGTGTTTATCCAAATGGAAGAGACCAAGAAAGATTCTGATTCAAGAAAGCATTACATAGAACTAGAATCAAAGCTAAAACCAATGAGAAGGAAAGGGTAAACAAGAAACCACCTATCACCAGCCTGATGTGTAAGGTAGTTTCTTTATGTATGTTTATACTGGCGAATCAGCTCAAAGGGAGAGAGAGAGAGAGAGAGAGAGAGAGAGAGACTGTTACATCAAATGATCAAAGCCTTACAAATTAGAGAACAACACACGAAATGGCAAAAGATGAGATTTCTTAGGCGTCTTTAGATATCATCTTGTCTTCTTTTCCAACGTCTTTGTATCTTAAAAAGCCGTGGCTTACATAAACAGTTCTGTTGATAGGGTTGCAGGAAAAGAAGAAAAGATAAACCGACGTGCAGATGCAGAAAGGGAGAGAGGAGAGTGGAGAAAAGAAAAAGGAGAAAATAGTTGGCAGCGAGGGACCAAAATCGATATTAAAAGAAGAAGAAGCTATTGGTGGTATCTCTAAATTAATTAGGTTTTAGGAAAATGAAAAATTGAGGAAAAAAACTTGTAGTAGTCAACTTCTTAAGAATGTGTCTTGAACGTTCCCTAGCTATTGCTTCTTTTACATTATGACTGTTGTGAATTGTGATGTCTTTATTTTACACTTATTTTAATATTTCGGGTCAAATATTCTTTATGCATCTACTTTGTTATAATTTACAATACTAAAATAAAATTAAACCTGCACCAAACACGAATAAATCTGAATGTAATGTATCTTTGGTTAGTAATTGTAGGGAAATATGTGTTTGACAAATGTAATAACAGAAATGTTTTCTTTAAAACAAAAAAATTGTGAATTTGCCACATCAGCAAAAAAACTCTTTTTATATATACTACTAATGCATAATAATAATTCTTTTTTCTTGTATTAAGTCACTCATTAACTACATCATATGTGTGGTTTGTGGTTCTTCTTTATGGAAAAAGATGGTTAAAACTTAAACACATGAACTTACAGTATACATGCATGCACCCAAAACTTAATGTTAACAATTTTTTATTTATTTTTATTAACGAAATTAATTTTCGTTTCACATCCAACAAGAAATAACGAGTTTGAATAAGTCAACCAAAAAAAAAAAAATTACATGATACTCACGTGCGTGTATTTATATATTTGCTCTTCGTTCCAAAAATCAAGATATTATAAGGGTTGCACATAGATATAATTAAGTATTAGTTATCTTTTATTTTAATTTGTAACTCTATACAACGGGAATTATAGATTATTATATTTATTGTAACATAACATTTCAAAGAAAATATAGAGAATTAACTATCTTAGTTAGAAGATAACAATCAACCACTAAGTTACCAATCATTTCTGCTAGATTGTGTAACCTTGAACTGTATTCCAGAAAGCAAATGGGAGCATGGTCTTTCAACCTAGCTCGAAACATGTGTGCACGAATATATATATATATATTATCTTTTACGTGGAAACATGTCTTTATTAGTATATATACATACGTACATATATATATATATTTCTTATAATTAGTATTATATTCCTTATTCGAACGTGGTTTTATTTACAATTCAAAACATTTGTAGACATGCACTTCTTGTTACCTTTTTAGGTCGTATATGGTGAAAACTATAGTTAATTTTGGGGTCAAGCGTGAACTCATCATATATAATTCATTGTTTCATAACGATTTTTCTTTGTATGCTTTTCTTCTAGCTAGTAATTAGTAGTATCAATGTTTATATCTTAACAATTGCTTTTTAATACTATAAATTATCCAACTTGTGATCACATTATTTACCCAAGTCAAAGAAAGATGATTCGGATCCGTCATCAAAGAAAGCATACCATAAACAAAAGGAACAAATCACAACTTGTGATTAATTAAAAATATATATGTATATATATTTATACAACTTTTCATTAGAATCAAATTACAAGATTAAAAAAAAAAGAGAAATCTATTGTAACCACGAAACTCATTATGGGTGTGTATTGTTGTGTGTTTTTTTAATTGAAAAGATGCTATCTCCTATATAGTTTTTGTTTGACTTCATTTTCTCGAACAGTTTACCCTAAAAAAACTAAAAATGAGGACTTCAAGAATCACGTTGAAACTACGACATCTAGATCACGTGCCGTGATTCGGTTCTTCTTGTTCGAAGTCCACCGATGGCGGATGGCCTGTGCTCAATTGTAGTAATTAATTAGCCCTCCTTACTTAATTAGTAATCTTCTCCAATTAAATTAGTAACTAGTAATTTATGATTTCCTGTGACATTTTCTTACCTTTTTTCTTTGGTTTTAAATTAATATATTATATGATACCTGATATTTTTTAAGAATGTGATTTGGCGAAGGGACCATGAGTTGATAATCGTGTATGTTTGTATATATGGACTACACGTATAGAACAACTTTGTACGCCAACAATTAGTTTATAGAAATATACATTTTTATGTGAAGAACATATAAGGTAAGATACGATAATAACAAAAATTACTAGAGACTGTAAAGTTTAATAATATCGAATATCATTGATTCATTTCCATAAGTTGTATGTGATTGTGAACATAAGAATTTAGATGTTTCACCGATCCTTTACAATCTTATAATTAGGATATCGTACATGATACGTGATCGATATTGATGTCGATTTCATGAGCTTAACTAATTTCAAAGTTTAAGAATCTCATGTTTATTTTTTTTTCCGCTTTGATAATATATGAAAAACTGTACAACAGCCTGGAACTTTCCACCACCATATATATATATATATATATGACCAATAATAATAATAATAATAATAATATTACCAGCAATAGCAAACACACTTTAAAGTTTAAAACACAATCGCTTGATACATTTAAAATATTCATAGCGTGTAACGATGTATAATTATGAATGAGAAGATTCGACTTTTATAAGCAAATGACGAAATATTATTATTAGTCGCAACTCGCAACAAAGAAAAGAAGAAGAAGAAGCCAGAAGTCAAAATCGGAAGATCCAACTTTATGGTTTTTGTGGATATATTTTCCATTATAGTTTCAAAGTGATATGCTAATGAAGTAGTTTGCCCAAAGGGTGGTGGTAGTAGTTCAAATTTTAGATAAACGGATAAAACCATATAATGGTGTCGTTTGTACGATAATTCGGATTTGGACAATATTTATCATGAAACTAATCTATATTTGAAACAAAAAAAATAACTATCATATGAAATACTCTCTAAATCTTAATTATGTGAATCGAAATAAGCTTTCTTAAGGATAGAAGAAGTAGCCCAAGCAATATTGTAGTTTTCTAGGTCGAAATGGAGTCCCCACATTATCTCTTTCAGACTTTAACAATAATGTATTAATATGTATTGAAAAATGCCGAGGTGGGCATAACTATGCATGCTTAGCATCACTACAAAACTAAAGTTGGAAGGAGCTTATATATATGTATAAAGGAAAACTGTTCTGATTCACCTCAAAGTTTTGGTCCCTTAAATCAACATATCGAAGATACAATTTTGATAAAGATAAAATAAAGAATATTCGTGTGCACCAAAAGGTGACGTGCTTTGTTTTATTGGAGTTTGATGATTCACTTTGGTCAAAACCCACTTGAGTTTTTGGCCCATAATGATAGTAAGTGTATGAATTTTAAAGATCTCTCTTTCTTAAAAGTTCTTTGCTTGACTTAAGTTGTTTAATTGAAAGAATTTACTCATAATTACTTGATTAACCAAAGTGCTTACGTCTATATCACTAAACAACTAACATCTGTCTCCACCAAGATGAAATACTATAAGTATATATATATATATATATAACCTTTTGCATACATATTGTTTATTTTTTTTCCTTTGCTTTCATCATTGGATAAGATCTAGCCGGCACATAAAACATTCAAAACCATATCCATGCTGAAAAGTTTAATATCATGGTCTAATCCGTAATGGGGGTAACCGGAGATGTAACATCGTCGATCTTATAAGTAAGAAACATTAGACCATCATCAATGGTAGCTTCTTAGGGCTAAGATTTCCTTAAGAGAGTACATTATATAAGGTATTCTGTTAAGAAAATCTTAGCCCTAAAAAGCTATCATTGAGGATGCACTTAGGAACCAGTCATTTGAAATGATCTTTATATATTGTAAAACTAGACAAATATTTGTTGTCTACACATCATTTAGTGTATAGTATAAGAAACATTAAAGTAATGTTTTAACCAAAAACGATTTCATTTTGTATGATGTTTGGAAAAACATGAGTTGTTGTTTTATAATAAAGTGATTAATAAATAAAAGATGGGATTATGAAAGGTATTTTTTTAAATCATTTTTTCTTAATTTATTTGCACTATGTGATATTATGAGACAAAGTGAGTATATAGTTTGTTTGAATTCTACACTTTCATCTATTTTGTTTACTTAGTGTTCTTAATAAACAATTTTTCGAAAGGCTTTTGAAATCTTATGTTCTATATTTCTCTGTTTTTGTAGGATTCAAGGAATGCGAAAAGCTTGAGAGACGACTCAGTACAATCTTATACGAAACGAGTTCTTCCGTCCGCTATGGCACCACCAATTGAAACAAACTGACTCTTGCTTCTAGTTCGAACAAAGGCATATTATAAGACGCAGAGACATATGTACAACTGTGATCAGAACTTGTTTGATGTAAACTAATCAAATCCAAAATGATGCTACCTACTAGACTCGTTTGATCAAGTAGTATTTTCCAGAGGAAGAAACGAATCAGATCATCTCACCGACAAAAAAAATACAGATCATCTCAAAAATTCAAAAAGCAAAAAAAAACTCACAAAACTAGCTAGAAGCAATATGCAACAAAACCAGTAAACACCATAACTTTTGTCTTTGTTTTGATCGATCTAACGCACTATGTTCTGAAACTTACAGCATCCTACTATTTGCTTTACACACCAAACCAAAATCTCAAAATCTACAAAAAAAAAAAAAACACAGTAGTACAAATTATTTCGATAACTTGAGACAAAAAAAAAAAAGGAGAAGATTTCTCACTGATCTTCAGCAAAAAGAAGCCTCCGAGAAGAAGCAACTCCAGATTTCTTGTTGTGACCTTCTCGGAAACCTGAATCTGATTCGTCGTGATACCATCCCACCGATCTCTGCGCTTCTTGAACGATCTGCGATATACCTGTTTCCAAACAACACACTCATCTTTAAAATTCAAGAATCCCATCTGAGAAAACAGAGTGTGGTTTGAGTGTTTACCTTCTCTGACTGATTGCTTGTTGTGTCGGATATCGTGGATTGTGGCGGAGATCTTCCAGTAGAGAGGACGGCCGACATAAAAAAGAACCACCATTAAACCTATAACGATCAGTATACGGAACCAGATCCTCGTTGATGATGGAGACGCCATTGATCTTCTCTTCCACTGATCCAATCCGAAAAAACAGAGAAAAACTCAACAGATTCCCAAAATAAAAAATAATTAAAGAATGATTGAGAAGAGATAGGGGTAATATGGTAATTTAGTCTTCGGGTAATTATAAGTGAAGCCTCCGTTTCGCGGAGAGGGTTTACATGTTATGCTTTGTGATTAGCATGTTGAATGATATAAAGTTTTGACATTACATTTTTATTGATTTCTCCGGATTCTTACATATACCAATCAATAACCTAATTGATGAAAACTTAAACGTGAACAAAATAATAAAAACCCTAAGTCTAAAAACATTAATGCAAAACCCTTATCACATTCGAACTCTACTCTTTTTGATAAAAAAAAATTCACATAAATCCGGCTAATTATGTTTCTCTTCGGATACAAGCTTGGATCTCTTCGAGTGTCTTCCCTTTTGTCTCAGGCACCATCTTAGCCACAAAGATAATCGTCATGGCTGCAAAAGCAGAGTATATATAGAATGTACCTACCCAAACAAAAAAAAAAAAGGCTTAGCTTCTTAATTTTGCCTTTTCAAAAGAAGACATTACGATTGTACCTGGAGAGCTCCAGGTCATGAGGAAGTTAAATGTGTAAGAAACGGCCCAAGCGCCTGACCAGTTCACCAGTACCACTAAGCTTCCTGCAATCCCCTTCACGTTTATTGGAAATATCTGCATTTATTTCATCCCCAAAAACAGAGCACCAATTCAGTGTTTACTCTACTAAAAAGTGTCAGCTAACTTGCTACTCAAGTACCGTCTTTTAAAACAATGTTACTTGTTACACAAGGAAGCGTCGTACCATACCTCTGACATTATCACCCAAGGAACAGGTCCCATTCCAATGGAGAAAGCAGCTACGTAGATCTGAATAGTGAAGAAAAAATACAGGAGTTTTAGTACTACTATCATGAACTATACTAAATGTTTAACAAAGACCTCTGTACTTGTGTTCTGTTTGTGGTAGTAAGTAAGAAACTAAGAACTAAGCTACACTTACAAGTACACCTCCAACGGCCAACATAGGAACCCATTCAAGCAACAAATTTTGTTCCTGAATCACAAACATAAAAGAATCGATGTTACAATCTGATTTAACGCACATATGAATAGATTTACAAGCGATAGCAGGGTTTAGGGAGGGTTTATGATATGAACCTTGAGGAAGAAAGATGTGCCAGTGAGAATACATCCCAAGAAGATACCACCAGCTGAAATCTACAGAAACATTTGTCCATATTAGTATAAAACTAAACTTTGGACTCGAAAACCCTTTTCTTAAGTTTAAATATTTTACCATTATTAGTGGCCTTCTTCCAGATTTGTCTATCAAGATTGTTCCAAGAACAGTTATGGGCACCTGTTTAGAATGATTCGATCTGTGTTAAGGTTTTGAAAAAAACGAACTTTATCATAGAGAAGAATATTGAGTGAAGCAAAAACGTTTATGCACCTGAATACAAGCTATAGCGATTGTTCCGAGCTTCCCAGACGAAAATCCTGCAAATGTTTTGAAGACATATGTCAGAATTTAAACTGAACTTGGTTCTGATTGAAGATGAGATATTGAGGTCTATCTTTCTTATATACCGGCTTTTACAAACGTTTCGCTTGCGTAGAATCCTATCCCGTTGATTCCCACAAATTGTTGGAATACCATTAGGGAAACACCAATCTGAAGAATAAAACACCAATCTGATCAGTATACACAAAAGATTGGTAAGTTTTTGTTTTGGCTACTGAAACTTACAATGACAGATCGACGATATTTCTTGGACACAAGATCTTGGATTCTCGCTTTTGGAAGAATCTCTAGAGCTTGAATCGAGACTTGAATACCTTCTGCTTCATTTTTGATATCTGTATCTTTTCCTCGCAGCTTTTGTAGTGCTATGCGAAACTCTTTCTCACGGCCTGCTTTTGCCTGGAAAAGCAAAGGCATGAAAGATTTCAATCATGTTTTTCAAAACTTATATGGTGTAAAGACCGATAAAAATCATGAATCGGATAGAGAAAATTACCAGCCATCGAGGAGATTCAGGTATGAAGCACAAGCCAAAGAGTAAAGCAATGCAAGGAGCAAGTCCTTGTAAGACCAAAAACATACATACTGATCAGTTTCCAAAGGGAATTTCTATAAAAATATTAATCAAGAAACCGAGAGAAATGTACCGGTAAGGGCAAGAGTTTTCCAAGAAATGAGAGATCCGATCAAGAAAGAAACGGATGAGCCGATCACAATCATGAGTTGGTTGAGTGTTGTGAGTCCACCTCGGAGATTCTTTGGAGATATCTCAGCAATGTACACAGGGACCTGTTTTTATAAATATACATTCGAAACTAAGAGTTTTTTAAACATTGGTTCACAAATATCAACATAATTTGCCCCCCAAAAAAAAACAGAGTGAACTAGAATTACACAGTTTTATCTTTGACTAGTACATAAAATAATTTATTTAAAGGTTTATATAAGATTTTTGTTAGTAAAAAAAAAAAGTGAGTAAAATTACCACATAAGAAAAAACTCCAATCCCATATCCAGTAAAGAACCTTCCTACATCAAGTAACAAAGCACCCTGCACCACATTTATAACATCATATATATTTCCATACAAGTTTCAGTGTTTCAAATAGTCAAAAAAATAGGTATGTATGTGTAGATTTAAATACCTTGGAGAAGAAGACAGCGAGCCACCCTATGATGCAGAAGCAAGCTGACGTTCTCATAGCCTGAAATGAGTGTTGACATATAAATATTGGTATTTTTTTTTTTAATATAATACTGTTCAATTATAATTTCGGGATTGGGGAAGATTTTACTCCTTTTCGGCCGGAGAAATCTGATATTTTCCCACTCATAACAGCACCAAGCATTGCACCTATTGTCAAGATGGATCCAAACATGGAGAACTGCATTTTTCACACACACACACAACAATGATCTCATATACTGCAAATCTGTAATAATAAAGATATGTCTAGTTCAATGACTTTGTGATTTCATGAAATTATGCGTATAAATAATAAACTTTAAAAATATTATAATCCTAGTTAAGAACAAAACCAGGGGATAAAATATTGGTAAGCTAGAAGTATAGACACAAACCTCAGCAAGGGAGAGATTGAGATCTTGTCTTATAGATGACTGAGTAGGCGCTGAGTATCCAACCTTTTTACAAAAGAGAAAAATCTAAGAAAAATAGTTTGGCGATCAGATTGAAAGAGAGAGAGTGTGTCTAAAGCCAAAACTTACACAAGAGCCAAACTCAAAGGAGCCACAGACAGCAACAAAAGTGCTGAAGAAAACCATCAAGTAGGACTCATCATTAACCTCACTCTCTTTTTCATCATATCGATCAGTCAAAAGTGGTTTCCCTAGATCCTTCACCTTATTTGCTGTGTCACCCTTCTCTACATCATGTATTTCCCTAATTGCCATCCTCTTTCACGCTATTAACTCTTTTGAGAGCAGGAAATATTCAAGGAAAGATACAGAGAGAGATCACTATAGAGAGAGATGTGAAGAGTCAGTTTCGTGAAATGGGTATTTATAGGTGTATGTAAAGTCCTCGACATGGGACGAAGATATTTAAGATATTTGTCCTTCGACGGCAAATTCGATAAATAAAATAATAAACGGCGAGAATGATTGAGATTAGTACTGACGAATATAGTGGCTCATGTGGGATGAAGCTGTCACTTACATGGCTCTGATGTTACACTAACCAATTCTAGCTACTCCTTATCTTTTTTTCCTATTCAAGTCAAGTTAATATCTTTACTATTTATGCCTTAATCTTTATAAAAGTAATGTAATCTCATATTACGATCAAAATTCTCTATCAATATTGTTTTGAAAAAATTATTTATTGACTTTAATGTTGATATATTAACTAATGTGGGTCTAAAAGTTTACTCAACTAGCCATTGTGATTGTGACCAGGTGCACGTATCAGCTAAATCTGTCAATATATATGTTCTTATATACGTAGTTATATATATATATTTTTAATTTATGGAGCTAGTCGTACATATAATATCCTTCCGTTCAATGAATCATGTGATGTGTTGTTCTATAGAGTGATGACATGCACGGTCGGACAATCAACTTTTTAGATATGTACCAAATTTTGATGTTTGATGGCATGCAATTGAACTATCTTTGCTCATTAATTTGGTGTGCAGAGTAAGATGAGCTCAACATTATATGTTACTCTTTCGAAGGTATAAGGTGCTTCTTTCAAGCTTAATTAAGTAGAAAAATTAAAGGTATAATAATAACAATTGATTTGAAAACTGAGATGAACTTATTAAAAAATTGCAATTCCTTGACGTCAGTTGTTGAACAAAGGCTTATACATATACAAACATGTCTTGTGAGATTTTGAACTTGCATATCTACGTCCAAGTAATCACTAATAGTTTTGTATTTTGTTAAAGAGAAAGGCTTCTCAATGCAAAAAGAAAAACAAAAATGGATTAGTTTATTATGTTCAAATTAGCACGATAAAGCTAGCGTTTGATACGTTTGAAGAAAGGTGCGTGTATACATCTTAGCCAATCATAAAATATTAGAATGTTGTCGTTTACCAAAATATGACTCGGAACTGACGCATTTCCATATGTGTATCTGTGTCTCTTCATTGTTTTCAAATCTCACCTCTCCTTTTGTCTTATTCTACCCCATTTGCGTTCTATGTTGCAACTAAACTTACTGCGTTTAAATACAGTACTACTTAGAAAGAAAACTATCTCGACTATCTTTCTACAAACCATTATTTTATCACTTATCAACATAGTTTTAGAAAACGTTTTTGTAGCCAAATGAGATAATGTATTGTGCAAACAAAAGCAGATTATTCTTCATTGCTAAATATTTTAGAGCGATCATTCAGTAGTAGTATTCCTGAATTGCAATAAGAACAAACGACAACATTTGTTTACAACACGTCAACACGTTAGGCTTTTACAAAATTTCCCTTACTTTTTTAGTTTTGACTACGGGTAAGGTAACCAAAAGATTGCTGCTTATTAGTTTATTTGGATTGAAAATAATTAGAGAGTTAAAGCTACGAGAGCCATTAATTGCTTGAAGCAGAAAATTGCACAAGATTATGATTAGGGTTTGTACAAGAATCATTTCTTAGACCAAGAAGAACCAAAAAAAACAAAACAAAAAAGGGTTAACAGTGAGCGAAAGCAAACCCTAATATACAGATAACACTACTCGATGAGGGATATAACCAATCACTGATCAGACTATTTCCTGTTATTACAGTTGCAGCAGCACCACCGGTCTTTAAGAAATTAGGAAGAAGAACACAGAGAAAGAGTCAGAGTACTCATCTGATCATGAACCATCTCGTCTCTTTCCAAAGGGAATCTCTCTCAAAAGCTGTAGCTGAGCTCTATTGAAAGCTGATACAACTTTTTTTTGTTTTTATAGCCCTCTTCAAGCTTTTGATGAACACACAAGTATGGTTAAAATGAGACGACTCTGCAATTGAATTTTTTATTCAAAGTTTCTGCGCCAATCTTGTCCGGATTGCCACTGCAAGCTGTGTGACCTTGTTTGGATGATAGAGAACCGCACAGACCGAAAAACATACAGCAAATGTAGCGATTAAGAAAACAGTTTGACGTGACCTGAATTTTAGGGTAGAGTGTATTGGTATACAGGACTTCCTTGGCCAGTCTCCTATGTCATTTACGTTCATGACAACCTCTTTGTTTAAAAGAGGATCAGTCTCTTTTCCACCAATATCTGGTGAACAGTCTGCCTTACAATCTAGTCCTGCTTCCTGATCCTATCAACATAAGAAATGGAAGACATTAATAAACAAAACTATCCAAATTCCAAGAAACAGACACAAGATTGTGTGCAAAACTATGCAAATTCGTCATATTGTGCCAAAGATATCAGGAAACACAAACTATATTATCAGCAGTGGAGCAAAAAAAAAAAAAACAAATGTGCAAGACAAGGGATGATTGTGGGTAGAGTCCAGTATCAATCAAACCGGAGCAAAGAGAAACTCAGATATTAGTGAAAACCTGATTGAAGTTTATTATTCTTGATGATTTATGCTTCTGGAAACTGCTCTCACAACAGCAACCTGATGAAGGAAGAACATTCCCTGGATTCACCTTTGACTCTTCATGGCTTTGATGCTTTCTGTTAGCATCACTCGCCAAATTCATATTTTCATGTAGAAGCCTCACGTCGCAGTCACATGTACAGTGAACAAGACTGTCTGGCTCCATTTTTTTCACCAAAGTTTCCAGATTGTGCAGTACATTTCCCAAGATTGACGACGAGTTATTTTGTATCAGATAATTCAACACTCTGTTGTATCTTTTAATCTGACATCGGTTTATCGTTTTCTCAGTGCATTCTGCAGAGGGAACCTTAACTGACCATGCAATATCTAACAAGAGGCCACTAAAGCTGCTCTGTCTCTCCCCGAAATCCATGCAACAACAAGTTGAAGAACAGCAAGCAGTAACTCCTTGTCCCTCTGGAACTAGTGTAGCATTGAACTTCTGCTCTATTTCTTTCATTTCGGAGCAAATCGATTCATCTCCAATAATTAGAGGTATAAAATTTGATAAGCCAGATTCATTTTCAACCTACAAAAGGATTGGCGGAGGACCGTTTTAATATAAGCTACTTACAAAAATGTTTATCATAAAAAAATGAGTACCTCGACAAACGCAGGTCCGAAGAGATTAGGGTCAGAATTCACAATATTGATCTTGTAGAACTTGTTATTACAAGAAAGCTTCCCATCCTGGGCCGGTGTAGGCACAACAGAATAGTTATGGGGTAAGTACTTCCCAGAAAAAGACACAAGAAACCTACAACACAATAATTATCTGTAAGCTTCATTTTATTATTTCCTATCTAGAATATCTTAGTGGTCACAAGTGAAAGAAATCAAACCAACAAATGATAATAGTAATCCAAATGCAACATTCTGAAGTTTCTTGCAATATCAGCTTCATCATATGAGATATAAGACAGAACTAAATGAGAGAAAACTCCAAGCATAGATCAAAATTAGGTTGACATACATACCGACATTTGGGTTGCAGAAGGTTTCGTCCACAAACAACGAATTCTATTGGTTTTCCAGCTTCAAAACACGTAGGATACACAAACTGTAGTTTTGGTGACTCTAATTTTACATCGACTCTCTTTAAAGTTGTTCCACCTGTCAAAACCAAAATAAATAAGAATACACTCACATCAAAAATTTCTAGCTCACAAGATTAATGATTATCTAATCCGATAGGGAGAAAGAAAAACAGAGAAGATAAGTAAAGCACATCAACTTGCCTTTAATAAGACGGAAAATCATGTTGTTCAAATAGACAGTCATCGAGCCTCTTCCAAATAGCATCTTTCCAGGTTTAAGAATAAATTCATCCAGATATGCCACAGGATCTTTAGACAACTGCTTAAAGGAACAGATAGGAAAAGCTTATTACAGTGTAAAATCAAGGTGAGAGCTCACAGGAAGAGAATCTAAGTTTGTATTTTCTCTCTCCATGACACAATCATACTGAATAGAAAAAAAAAGAGCTCCCGGTCACAAGAAAACATAGGCGTTTTAATGGTACTTAAGAGGGGAACAGGTGCATAGAGACAGAGCACTAGACACTCTACTGAAAAGAACCAACTATATTATGTTGTATTGCGGCACCAAGAACACATAATTGATGAGTAAAAGATAACAGAATGTACCTTCGCCCACATAATCTCTGGCATTGCTATAAAGACGGTCAAAATTGTACATCCTGGACGGATATAGCCCTCCAGCTCTACAGGCATGGTGGACAACCATTGGAATATCTGAAAATTCAATTCATCACATGAAATTAGTTCGTTGAGATACTGAAAAAGGTTTACATAGCCTCTGAACACTAAACTGTAATATATAATTCTTGAGAATACTTGATGACGTAGTCTCCGTGGGAACTCTGCTGGATTCCAGTCGTATAGCTTGAACGAGATCCGACCAGTCGGACACTACAATGAATTGAAAATTAGTTTATAAAGCGCACACTTTTTTTATAAGAGTGGGAGAAGAGAAACCCACCACAGTTGAATAAGCGCTTTTGTTGTCGCCACCAGAAGGTGAAAGTTCAAATTTTGTATCATTCATTCCTTCATCTGGCTGAGGTTCACCTGAACCTGTAACAGAGACAAAGTTGTCTGCGTTGATGCTATGGGTAAAGAGTACAGAACCCTGAGCTGGAATATGTGGATCTTCAAAAATCAAAGAAGCATCTTGTTCTGCTCTCTGGTCACTAAAGCATGTATTGTCTGCTTCAAATTGACAACATGGACACACAGAATCAGCTTGAATTTCCAAGAGAGATTAAACATTTGGGAATATGCAAAGCAAACAACTAAAACAGAAAAACACATGATTGTATTTGATTAGTGCTATTCACTTATACCTTTTCCATCCTCAACATCAATTACGCTGTTATCATTCTGTGATAGCACTTGCTGTTGTTTTGCAGCAACGCCTCCTTTATCTACAGGTTTCCTTTTCCGTCTGTTGTTGTGGCGCTCTAGCTTTCTCCGACAACTGCGTTTTCCCTCATCAAAGTCTGAGAGCACGTGAAACCTGCCAAATAGGTGCACTCTCTGTAACGACGACAGCATAGATAGGACAATAAATACATTAACGATAACACTGACTACTACACAGTTGGTAGCGAAAAAACCCAGTTAAGCTCAGCCTATGCTGAAGAAAGAGGATTGGTTAATCATATATGAAAACAGTGAAATCATTCAAACTGATCAACAGTCTGAACCCCAAGTTATCCAATTTCCTAATGCTAGATTCAACAGTTTCTATACCAGTCAAAAAGAGAAAAGCAACTCGATCTTAGATGATTTCGTGTTGCAACTCAAATCTCTAGATAATTTCAATCCAATAAAGAAGATAGTCAACCACAAAGCCCACGAGGGGGCGTTGGAGATATAACCTAAGACAATTATTCCCAGCTTCAGCTACCAAATCCATTTCTAAATTCCACCTGGTCAAAATATCAAAGCTCTAGAATGCAAAACGATAAAAAGAAACATACTTTCCACACTGTTGACAGTATCTCTTATTATCTCCGTCAAGCACAACAAAGCTAGCATTAGCACAGCGGAGACAAACCCTATGCCTCCTATGGTACCCTTTAAGCTCGCTTATATCCACTTCACAACCCGGAACCTGACATCGAGCTACACCTGACCCGCCGCGAACACGCTTCTTCTTGGGTAGCTCAGCCTCCTCCAATTTCTGATCAAGCTCCGGACACGAACAGGGAAGCATACCTTCAATGAAATTGGAACAAATCAACCTCGGGTCTCGCTTCCTAACCCGATCGGAGCCTGAACCAGATTCGTCCGGAGAAGGATACGCCAATTCAGATTCCGCAAGAGGTTGAGTCGGAATCAGCTGCGGCAGCGGAGGAGGAGGAGGAGGAGGAAGAAGAACGGGAGAGAAAGGAGCTTGCTGATCGGAAGAATCAAAAGAGACGAGAAGGCGATCGTCAGCAGCGAAGTCAAGGAGATCTCCCCAATCCCAGAGAGCGGAGGAATAAGTGGAAGGATCATCGTTAAGCAATGCAGGAGGTTGAATCTCCATCTCCATCTCCGGCGGCGTAGGCGATTGCGACAGAGAAGACATCTGAGTCTTCAATTTTTTTCGTAAATTCTCAGAGAAACATCGAAAGGTCCATCGGTTGTTGAGGGAAGCTGGTGATTTTGGTTGAAGGTTTTAGGTAAAATTTGCAGAGAAAGTCATCAAAATTCTGAGAAAGAAAAACAAACAAACAAACAGATTAGAGAAATTAAAAATTAGACTAAAGAGAATAAAGTATTGTATAATTTTCTAAATGGAAAAGATAAAATAAATTATCTAAAATACAATAGTCTTACATTATATGAAATGACTCAATGAATTTGAACAAAATGAACTCGTTGAAGTAATAAACACAATCATGATTAGTTTGTTATTAATCGTGTTATAATAATCTACTCACATATTCCTTTCTCTCCCTAATTGATTCACATATATTCTTTCTCAAATGCTGAAAACTCATTCATCTTGAAAAGACAACTAATAACGATTTTAAGAATCATATAATTTTGTTTTCTCAATTCAAAAACAATTAACAATAGATATATTTATCGTTTTTGTTTGCATGATATAACATTTTCCTTTTTTTTTGTCTTTCAAATATATCACCACTTTTTGTTTTGTGCCAATCATTTTCTATCATGTAGTGCTATATTTTGGACTGGTTGGTTTTATAGGTAAGTAGGTGGCTCATCAAAAATTATAAAATCCGATGTAGATGCATTAAGTTTTTATATAACCACAATATTTAGTATATGATGATTGATGAATATGGTTACTAGAAAAACCGCAAAATAATTACTAAACAAAAAAAATTTGGGATGCCGAGAGCGAGAGAATACAATTAAAAGAAAAAGGATTGAGCTGTGTAGGAGTGTGTCGGGGCGTGAGAGACACGCGTTATATGGTGGCAGAAGGTGATTGGTTGAAAGGTGAGTCGCGTGTAAGCTACGCGAATTTGTGAAACCAAACAGTTCTTCTATCGTTATCGAAAACGACGCCGGATCAGTGTTACTTGGGACGTGAGCGACCCAAAGTGCTCTCTCTTTTGTTTTTTTTTTATTTCGTTTCTTATCCAACAAATTATAGACACGCGTCTCATCCGCCATGTGAGTAATACTCCTTTTTGTACTACAAATTTTAGCTACTTTATTTGTCTGTCTTCTTCTCGTACAAAATATATTGGGGGGAATGAGAGTAAATGTTGACACCATGAACAAATGAGGAGACACGAGAAGGGTCAGATGAGATTTGAGAATGAGAGGTATTGATGGATGGATTGGGGTTATTGGAGTAGACTTTTATCTACCATTGAAAATGCTTATTTTGACTTAATCCTTGGCTTATATTTGATGATGTTAACATTGCATATATTATTAATACTGTAGACTAGACATGTCGCTTTTGTAAGCACAAATTGAAAATGATATTTGTATATTGATAATTTATAATAAGGAAATCAGGGTTTACAACGTATGAATCTTGCTTTACAAGGCAATCTACTTGCTCTGTCTGATAATTGAGTCTAAGAACAAGTTTAGCTTCCAGATTAAGCCACAATGATACCACTAATCTTTTCTTTCACACTGTGCACATATCATTGCATCACAGATTTTGATGTTTTAGTTAAACTACAACAAAATCGAACACCAATTTGTGAGCATAAGTTTTCCATCCAGACAAAATCTGCTGAAAGAGTTTGGTTTTTTTTGTGCTTGTTACCTACGATTGTGGTTATGTAGTAGGGATGCCAGGAACTTGAGGAACGGCAGGTTTAGGCTGTTTGATCTTCTCCACGAGCACAGCTTGAGTCGTGAGAACAATGCCGGCAACAGAAACCGCATTTTGGAGGGCGAATCTTGATACCCGACAAGGATCTGCTATTCCAGAGTTCAGAAGATCCTCATACTTACCAGTCATTGCGTTGTAACCACTTCTCCATTTGAGTTCTCTCGTTTTCTCCACCACAACTAATCCATCAACCCCGGCATTGGTTGCTATGGCCATTGCAGGTGCTGTGAGCGCCTGCAAAAAATGAAGAAGAGATTTTCTAACTTTTGACAGATGTTTAAAGAAACCAGAATGGTTAAGAAAACAGGTTTGGTTTCGTCTTGAGTTGTCATACCGTCGCTACAATGTCTGCACCTATCTTTTCATATGAATCTTTCAGTAGATTCTTCTTGATTCTCGGGATCTCATCTAAAAGATGGATATAAGTGGCACCACCACCTGGAACTATACCTTCTCTCATGGCTGCAAATGTAGCATTCTTCGCGTCCTCTATTCTAAGTTTTCTGTCCTCAAGTTCTGTTTCGGTGTGACCTCCCACCTGAATTAAGACAGGGTTAACCTGATTTATTCACGAGGACTCAAAAAAAAAAATATCAAGAGCTGAAACAGTTAGAAATAAAGTTCTGATGCAAGCCAAGTTGTTGCAGCATATTCTAAACAAAAGAGGTTATTGTAAAATCGTACCTTTATTATAGCCACACCTCCTGTGAGCTTAGCAATTCTCTCTGCGATCTTTTTTGAAAGATATGAATTATCTGTCTCAGCTAGATCCTTCTTCATCTGAGCAATTCTTGCCTGAATCTCAGGTTTAGTTGAGTCGTCTGCCACTATAGTTGTCGAATTAGCGGTGATTATTACTCTCCGAGAAACTCCCAGCTGATCTGAAGTTGCGCCCATGAGAGTCATGCCTAAATCTCCGGAAAGATAATCAGCTCCTGTTTTATATCATTTGTCATGTTAGCAAGTGAAATAGGTCGTGTGAAAATCAACATGGAAAGTACAAATGATTGAGAAAACCCAGGACCTGTCATGAGTGCAATGTCTTGTAGCAAAGCCTTTTTCCCATCCAACATTCCTGGACATTTCACAACAGCAACATTAATCAAACCTTGCTTCTTGTTCACTACCAGTATCTCAAGCACTTCCGTGGAGATATCTTCCGCAATTATAAGGAGTGGAACACTCAGTTGGGAAGTTTTCTCCAGTAACGGAACCAATTCCTTGGCTGAAGTGATTTTCTGATCCGTCACAAGGATTTTAGCTTTGTCGAATTCCACAGTAGATTTCTCCTGATTTGTGATGAAATGAGGCGACATATAGCCCTTGTCAAACTGTACAAAAGAAATTTTCTTCATCAATCGCAGAAACTCCATGGTTTGATAATCTTAACTATGGAAAGCGTGAAGCTTATAAAACAGCAAAATAAAGCGGGAAACGAACCTTCATTCCTTCCTCAACTATAACAGACGTTTCTGATGTGGAAGATGATTCAATGGAGATGACACCATCAGGGCCAATCTTTTCCACAGTTTCAGCAATCAAATTCCCCACAAATTCATCGTTGCCAGCAGAGATTGAAGCCACGGCTACAGAACACAAGAATCCCTTTTTAAATTATTCCAAATTACGAAAAATGAGGCCGATCCAAACTCAGCTATGGTTATAAGTAGTAAAGTAACCTTTAACATCACTCTTTCCTTTCACAGGAATACTTCTCGTCATCAACACCCTGACCAACTCTTGAACAGTCTTGTTCATTCCATTCTTCACAGAAACAGCATTAGCTCCAAAAGCAATTGCCAAAGATCCAGCTTTGATCATTTCTCTAGCCAAAACGATTGCAGTTGTTGTCCCATCACCCGCTGAATCATTCATTTTAATGGCAACCTACAACACATAGAAACTCCCAAGTCTCAGGTTTGCCAAGTCCATAACACTTTTAAGCTCGAACAATGAACTAACGAGGAGAAAAGGGGAATCATTTAGCCACCATGAATGAATAACCTCTTGGATTAATGTTGCTCCAGCGTTCTCAATCGTATCAGGAAGCTCAATAGATTTAGCAATGGTGACACCATCGTTAATAACTTTGATTGTATCTTTTTCAGCTAACACTACATTACGCCCTGCATCGTTTCCACATTAAAACTCAGTTCTTTATCAATTCCAAATGAAGAAAATTTGAAATCCCAGCTTTAGTAATAAGGATAAAGCTGAAATTTTTTTGCTCACCTCGAGGACCTAAAGTACCGGAAACAGCATCAGCTAACTTATCAATACCGGCTTGTAGTGCCTCTCTGCTATCTTTTCCGTATAGTATCCTCTTGGATCCTGCTCGCACCACTGAGAATTTTCTCGGTTTGTTCCTCTGACCACTACTACGGCTCTACAAGAGCACGAGGAAACTATTTCGGTTAAAGAAAAAAAGAAAGATTCTTGGGGATAAGAAATGGTGGCGAGGAGAGTAAAAGGGGACTTTACCGGAGAAATGATTGTCGGCGAGAAAGACGACGGTGATACGGCGAACATTTCGTCTCTACCGGGCTATGGGGAAAAAGATGCGACGGAGGGTTTTAATTGATGTTTGGGTTTAGGTGAGTGAGTTTTGTGAATTCGATGACCCGAGCGAGTCAAGGGACGAGTCCATTTTTTTTTTATTTTTTTTTTGGTAAAATGTTAAGTAAGAGTCCATTTTTTATATACTTTATAAGTTCTTTGTTTTCCAGGGACAATTATTTTTGATAAAATACATTATAACTTATTTATTTTAATTCTTATACAGTAATACACTACTTGATTGTTTACTTCTAAGTTTTAAGCAAAGGCTAATCTTCTTTTGTGGGTGTAGTTTAAGAGAAAAAATGTTATATCAAAATCTTTTCCTTTTCTTCATTATTATTTAGTTGAACTAAATTAGTTCAAAGAAGTCCAATGAGAAACAAAGAGACAAACTCCATGAAAGATCAAAGAGAAGGAGAGAGACTTCTTTTTTTGGTTTCATCTATGGACACAAATGGATTCATCCGACCATCTTGCTGAACAGTGTAATGCTTCCCCAATAGAACAGAACAGAACAAAAGAAGAAGGCTCAGTGCTTGGCATCTTCTTCCTCGCAGAACTTGGAGTACTTGTCTGAATCCATCAGTTTCTTCACTTCACCTGCATCACTAAGCTCCACTTTTATGATCCATCCTTGTTCATATGGGCTCGAGTTCACCTGTCAAATCCAACATAACCAAGAATCTCACCACTTAAAACATGCTAAGCTACGTTACATCACATTCAAGAAAAAAAAGACTTTTAAACATCAAGAAAGAATGCTAAAGAGGAAGTAAAAAAACTCACCAAAGCAGGGGACTCGGAGAGGTTTTGATTGACTTGAAAGACCTTACCGGAGACAGGGGAATTGATATCACTAGTAGCTTTGACACTTTCAACAGCTCCAAAACTCTCACCTTGTGACACAGAACGTCCCACATCAGGCAACTCTACATAGACAACATCTCCCAAATGCTCTTGAGCATGATCCGTTATACCAACCGTCGCTTTATTCCCTTCAATCTTCACCCATTCATGTGAATCCGCGTATTTCAGATCCTTCAATACCACTTTTTTATAACCACAAAACATAACCAAACACTCAGCAGACATAAAAAAAACAATTGCTTCTTCAAGATCAGATAACCAAAAGCCTCCTTCTTTACTTAATTATCCGATCAAAACACACATAACTTTTTGAAGAAGAACAATCACAGATCAATATTTCTCAATCGAAACCAAGGGAAAAAATGAAAAGAGATCGAGAGTATTCACCAGACGAAAACCCTCGCTGGGAAATGGAGATCCTGAGATGAGAAGCAATCATAGAAGAAGCACACAACAATCTCGAAGCCATTTTGGTTTTTCGGTTCGTCAGGCTGATGAAATGGTGTACAAAACAAAACAGAGAGGAGTTGTTGATACACAAACACAAAAACTGAGAGTGCAGTCACCAAACCACTTATTAGTAATATTCTATTCTTCGACAAAAAAAAAGGTTGGTGGATTTGCTTTTTGATTGACAAGTTCCTAATTAGTATATTTGGATATTTTAATTGTGTTGAGTTATTTTATACTTCATCTAGAGTTTTACGATATGGTTTGATATGGTTTATTGGATTTGATACAGTCAAAAGGAAAATGTCATCCAATATATTTTTGTGTTTAAAAAATTTAGATTCTTTGTATAAAGACAAAACTCATTAAGATGTCAATCTCTCAAACGATCAAGGGGGAAGACTTGAGAGATATTCCGATCATATAGATAATTACAACGGAGATAATGAGTAAGTGGAGAGAAATTGTAATTTATGGAATGTGCGTAAATAGGATTAATGGAGAGCCAAAAGACCATTGTAGGCACTTTCTTGCCGGCGGAGAGGAAGGAACCCCTGAGGCTTTCTTCTGTCATGGCTGCGGTTGCCATGTATGCTTCCATTTGAAAGATGTTATAAAGGTTGGCACACCCATCACATTTTATTACTTGATTCTAGATATCTAATTGTGTAGAACTTAAAATCTTCTAAAATACTACTATGAAAATTTGGATTGGACCGGATCAATCTTTTTGATTGATCATTGATGTACTTACATGTCCGATTCCAACTTAGTGCAAAGAGAGCTTTAGTCGTAAGAAAACACAAGGCTCACTCTGACGATAAGATATGTGCAATATAGATTTATACAGTTCCGATGGTCCTGTAAAGGTAGGAGCCGTTCTCGTCTGTGATATTATTGATTTTTGATTTGATTTTGTGCACTTCAGGAGATAGATATGTCAACTGCGATAGCTCAATACGGAAAATGCTTGAAAAACCATACGGCTTACATGGGAGGTCGGTGCTCACTAGATGGTTGCGGTGAATTCATGGCAGCCGGCGAAGAAGGAACCCCGGAGGCTCTCTCTTGTAGCTAACTATGTTAACTTAGTACCACCACTAGTCAATCAAAATACAAAATAATTGTAAGTTGTAAACTGAGTATTTTGTTTTCCTTGTGTTATGTATTGAGAGCAACTCCAAACTTTCTACTATCTTTTATTTTGTAAGCCCATTTATGTGTTCCCTCAAGTATATAAAGCCCATAATGTTTAAAATCTGTAAGCCCCATAGGAAAAAGCCAGACCGTAAACAAAGCAGCTTTCCGGCGAGTGTTGCTGTTTTGAAACTCTCTTGAGAGTCGTCGATTCCATCCTCTCTCCCTCCAAATTTCACTCCCCAAAACTCACATTGCTGCTGCCTCTGATATAGGGTTAGGGTTTGTTCTTGACGAAATCTATCCATGGCTAGAGTGAGGAGCCGGAGCAGAAGCTATAGCCCCCGTCCTCGTCACAGGTCACCACCGCGCGACCGTAAAAGCTACGAAGAGAGCCGCCACCGTGAACGACCTTCTTCTCGCGACCACGAATCTTCTGATCCTTCGGGTCTGCTCATCCGTAATCTCCCTCTCGATGCTAGGTCTCTCTCCCTCCCTCTCTTTCTCTATTGTTCATCATCGTCATGTGTGGATTTTAAACGAATTGTTTAATCGGCTCAATTTCTGAAATGTTAGCTAGTTTTTGTTTTTTGTTTTCTCAGGCCGAACGATCTAAGGGATTCGTTTGAGCGTTTTGGTCCACTCAAGGACATATACCTACCGAGGAATTATTATACTGGGTATGTTTCAAGCTTTGTCTTCTGTATGCTTAATAGTTTAATTTCCTAGATGAGCTTTAGCTTTACTAGTAATATCATCTAACAATGTACATGGATTTTGAGGATTAACATTATGAATGTTCATGTTCATAACCTTTATAGCTAGGTAGACCTAGTTTTTATTTGGTGTTTCTCAAGTAGGTGTTGTTTGAGCAGGTGCCTATAATTTCGATTTGATGATCTTTTGTGGTTTAGGGAGCCAAGAGGGTTTGGATTTGTTAAATACTGTTATGCTGAAGATGCAGCTGAGGCAATGAAGCGAATGAATCACAAAGTTATTGGTGGGCGTGAGATAACCATTGTTTTTGCTGAGGAGAACCGGAAAACTCCACAAGAAATGCGTACTACTAACCGTACAAGGTGAAACTTTTGTTTCCTTGTAACCAGATTTTCCTGTAAATGTAGATGCGCTGTAAGTAATTTTCTCAGTTACTTTCTATTTGGTTTAACAAACATAGTGGTCGACATGGGGACTACAAGAGGACTTCACACAGATCACCAAGGCGCAGATATCGTTGTAAGTAGCTTCTTTGCCTGCTTATAACCTTTTAATATGTATCAGGACAACTACTGTTTAATGGTAGATATGTACTCTGGTGATGCTTACTAACTGAGTCCTTTCTTATTCATCAGCTCATTCACATTCACGCTCTCCTTCGAGGCGAGACTCAAGGTTTGCTCACTTTCTTTTTGATAAGACTTTTTTCTTTCTCGGACTTTGTTAATATGTATGCAAATGGCACGCATTCCTAGTCACTTAGATTGTCTGCCAGTTTTGTGTGTGGATAATACAAAGAGGAGGCAGAAATCAGACACTTCTAAGCTGATAAGTCTTGTAGAAAATGTTATATTCTATTTGTGTATCCTATGTCTAGGAAAAAGGTTCATTGTCTCAGTATGTAAGAGTTTATATTCCTTCTTGTTTTTCTTTGACACAGGCACAGTAAAGTAAGAGAGGATGATTTGTACTCTCCTCGAAGGTCAAGATCTATCTCCCATTCTCCTTTGCCCCGAAATGAGAAGAAATACAAGTCTAATAATGTGTCTCAAAGCCCAAGGAGAAACCGTAGAAGTCCTGGAGAAGAGAGGGTGCTTACTCCAATTAGGTCTCGAAGTCTGTCAAGGTCACGTTCTCGATCATTAAGGTAAAGAAATAGCTGCGTTGTTATTTAACCAAAATGCCTCCCTAGTTCAGGGACTAGAGCTAGCGCTTTTGACATCGAGTTGATTTTGTCTAAACTGTCTTTGGCTCACATCAAAATCTCTATCTCTATTAACATGTGTGATTATGTTATGGTGTTTCATTGCAGTCGTTGATAAATAAGAAGAAGTGGGTTTCTAAGATGTTCTTCTGGCTTTGAAGAAGACAAATTTCTTACTGAAACTCTGAAACATAAGGATCTTAATCATTTTTTTGGGTTGATTGTCTGTTTCACTCTTTAGATAACCAAGCTTAATTTCCCTTTTGTAAAAAACCTTAGAAGATTCTCGAAAAAGTTCACTTCATTGACAGTCAATGCTTTTTCTGTTTGTATAAGTTCATCAATATGGGCATTATACACTTCAATCCACAAGCGTAACCACCAAAGTTCACTGCATTACATTCCAACGACATTTATTCATCGCAAAATCCATTCTGTGCTAATGAAATGAGCCTCTGAACAACGAAAATTGAGTCATTTGGTTGTGTTTGAGACCTCACTACAAAAGCATTTGAGACGGAAAAAATGGGATGACAACAAACAAGAGAGTTGAGTAAAAAGCTCATTAAAAATGAACAATTTTGCTTTATTAGGACATACAAATCAAAACATGACAAGAACTTGTGATTCTCATTTCAAGGGACACACTTTCTCGAAGGCTTCTTGCTCTTTCCTACACAGATCAAACTCGTTTGTGTAGTAATACATACACCCAACATAATCATCCATCTCCTTTTGGCACTTCTGGTGAAGATCCTTCAGCCTGCAAAATCCATCAGAAAAATTACACACAGTTCAAGGATATCACAATGCCGACTACACTTGGCACATATATAGCTCTTCTGAACTCTAAGTCACACAAAATAATGACTCATTTATTTCTATCGTCTTCAAAACTATCTAAACTCTATGATCATCCAAAGACATGGAAATGCAGAAAATGCATGGCATGTCGCATAAATTACACACAGATCAAGGATATCACAATGCCGACTATGCATGGCACGTATATAGCTCTTCTGAACTCTCACTCTTATACAAAACAATGACTCATTGATTTCTATCGTGTTCAAAACTATCTGAGCTTCATAAAAAAGAAAAAAGATTTGATGGCTGATTTAAATGACCATATAACTTCCATAACTACTGGTTCTTGTTTTTGCAAATGATCTCATGCTCATGGCTAAAGGATAACTAAACCCTGTTGGAAAGAGATTCCCCGAATTGCCACACCTATGTTCCACATACTTTTGCTCAATAGAACTAATCGATGCCTAAAGGTCCTAAGTTCCGAAAATCTCTACTCATTTGACCCCATTTCTAATTACGAAGCTTACACTCTGTGGCTACATTCTTAAATCAACCATTTGATTACTCAATCAACATCATCGTCAAAACAAACATAAAGCTACCTAAACATACATAGCCAACATTAACGAAAAAAACAAACAAAATGAGCTGAGAGAATACGTACAAACCAAGGACGCAGCGAGTGACGTCACGACCTTTGTCGAGGCACTTCTCGGGGTTAGGATCATTCTTCTTGCATTTGAGGAACGCAACGTTCTCAGGCATACATCGCATACCAATATGCTTCGCTGACGCCGTCAACACCGCAGAAGTAGGGATCGGGTTCCCCGTCGCGTCCACCGCACTCGACATCGCTCAGGAAAAGAAAATTCGAAATCCCTAACCAGAAACCCAAATTAATCCAATCTTATCGCAATCCAGAAAATAAAATAAAAAGAATAATCAAAATCAGAATCCAAACAACGAGCTAACAGGAGTGAAGTAGCAGAGAACGAACATTGCCATACCTTTTCAACGGATCGATTTGGATCTTCGTCTTCTTCTCCACTGAGTATAATCGGAATAGGAGCGAGAGAGAGAGAAAGAACAAAACCAGGTGAGTAGCTGAGACAACAATGGGCCAAAATGGGCCTAGTTAGAGCCTAATAAGTTAATGGGCCGATAATAAAACTCTCTTTCCATCAACAGATCAGAGTGTTCCTTCTCTTCACTCTCTTTGCATCTCTCTGCCGCCGTATCGCCGCCGTCTCGTCGCCTTCTTTCATCGGTAAGTTCCCGAGTTTCCATTGCTTCATCTGTCGAAGTTTCATTCTGTGAACTCTAGTGTTACATTGTTGTGATTAGCTCTTGCCCATTTCTCCGATTTTGATTGAATGACCTTTAAAAACAATTGCATATTTTTGTTAGTTTACCGGAATATTCGGAATGTTATTGAGGTGAAAATCATTTGATTTCAAAATTTGAATAAACGAATCTGTAGATTTCGAAAAGGTTCGTGATTGCACTTTGGTTCTTATCTTAGTTTTAGTCTTGGTTTTTTTTAAGGTCGCATGATGCAAACATTAAAATTGAGATAGTGATCGTTAATGATGAACTCTCATTTTATGGTTGTAGAGTGTTTTGAAGTGAGAAGAAAAAATGGGGGACAAGAGGAAGAAGACGTTCATGTTCATCCGCCTTGTCTCAGCTGCTGGAACTGGATTCTTCTATGTCAAGAGGAAGAGTACCAAGGGACTTCTTGAGAAGCTCGAGTTCCGTAAGTACGATCCTAGAGTCAACCGTCATGTCCTCTTCACTGAGCAGAAGATGAAGTGACCGGAAACTCGATTCTCTTGTGTGTGTCTCATTACATTCCAAGAGCCAAGATCTTATCTCTGCAAGTAGTTTATTACTTATCGATGAATTAACTTCTCAAGTTTAAGTATTGGGTGTTTTTAGACTTTGAGAGTGTTTCAGTTTGAGCATCCTTGAGAACACATAAATAGTCAGTACTGTCTCAGGGTGTTTAAAAAAGTAAAAAAACTTTATCATAAACCAATATCAACTACTGCATCATTATATCCAATAAATAAAGAAAAATTAACAATCACATCTAAGAATATGATTCTTCAGGTGAGACTCTTATCTGCTGGTGGGACTCGAATTTTTAATCTCAAACGAGGTGAATATTTTCTAGAGCGTCTTGGAGTTTCAAAGAGTTGTTTAAAGAATGACAAAATGACACAAACTAGAGCGTCTTGATAATTCAAAGAGCTGTTTCAAGACACCAGGCTCGTGTTTACCACTGACACTAACAGCTTCGAGAAGCAGAATTTGGTCTAAGCATTTTGGTTGGGTTTAGTTCGGTTTAAGTACAATTGAAATTAATACGATTTGGAGTACAATTTCGATGTACTTCTTTGCTTGATTAGATTTGAATTAATTCTATATGGCTTCTGTGTTCATACTTCATAGGATTCGATTTTGGTTTCAGTTTGTACCGAAGTTTAACCAATCTCAGCTCTTTCGGTTTGGTCTGAACTAATTTGCCACTTGTTTTCTTTTCTTTTTGGTCCCATCATATTGATTGATAGATTAGTACAGCTTATGTATACAAAGAGTGCAGCGATATCGATGGAGGTTTCCTGTTATATAATGTAGAAAAAAACTGCTGATGATTCCGAAACGCGTATTGAGTTTTCCGAAGAACTTAGCCTTTGTTATCAACTTATCATCAAGACGACGACGACAACGATGCAAGATCAAGTAACTGTAACCGAGGCGACATTTACAAGGATGTCGAAACCAATTGGGATGATGAACAAGATTCAAGACAGAGAGTATGTATATCCGGGGACAAAGTAGGTTTTACAATTTTACTAGTTACTTGCTACTTGCTAGGCAATTTACTTCTTCTTTTTTTCTTTTTTTGGATGGTCAACGTACGTAACTTTGGAAATAGTGTTTTCTGGTTCTTCCTTTGTTCTATACATTGAAGTTTCCTTGAATGTTGATTGCATTGTCGTCTTCGTTACCATAAAAGTAGTATTCTCATCAGGGGGAATACAATTAATACGAAGAGGGCTGAGTTTGACTAATTGAAGAATAGTATACTAGAGTTTGACTGATTTTTCAACTTTTTAACCTTTTTTACTATTGAATCAAAGAGCAGCAGCCAGCAGTAAATGTTGGATTCTGAAGCATGCATGTTGGATTCACACTTAAAATTTACCAGAAAATAAACGACAAAATTTTCTCAAATCCCCTTTCAAGTTTCGCTTCTCTTCTCTCCTCTTGGCTCAGAATTGTTTTGTTGTCGATCAAACTTGATTTCGATTATAATGGAAGGATCTTCAATACAACCGCCCACCAATTGTGTTCTCGCCAATGATTCTTCATCTTCTTCATCTTTTTCAAATCCTCCTCATCCTACTTCTTCTTCTTCTTCTCAGGTATTCAAAATCTGTAGATTCTTGGGTAAATCTATGAATTCTTGATTATCCAAAGTCTCTGTTGGGTTTTGATTGTATATGGGTATATTGCAGAATCGCTTGGGTTTTACATTTTCTCTTAGCTCAAACTTGTTTTTGTATCGTTTCTGATTTTATAAGATTGGTTTCTCTAAATTTTCTGCCTTTGTTGTGAAATTGTTAGGAAGGTTCTTTATTTATCAAGTCTTGAGATTTTTAATCATTCTTCAGGTTAAAGAACAATCTAGTGAAGGTGGTGTCTGTAGATCTCAACCAAGTGGAAGCCAGTTGGATGTTTCAATCCAGATACCACCAAAACCTATGCCAAGTTTAGGAATCTTGCGAAATTTGAGTCTCAAAAGGAAAGCTTCTCTGCCAAACTATGAGAGAAGACTGCTACTAAGTCCTAGTGTTTCAGAAACCAGTGAGAAGCCTCTTGTTGCTAGTTCCATCACTTCTCCTTATTGGAAAAGGTGTTTGTCACTTCCTTCTACTAATGCTGCTAAATTGTCAATGGCTGCATCTACTCCGCCTGTTTCTGCTGTAATTCATAGTGAACTACCTAAATCTAATGTGAGTTATTTCGTGTCTTTTACAGTCTCATTTTGATTCCAGTATGTTGAAAGAAGGATTTGGATTTTTTTTCTTTTTCTTAAAGGAACTTCCTTTTCGAAAGTATAAGTTTGGAATTTGTTTGGTGCAGAAAGATGGTGTTCATGCATCAGTTTCAAGATCCTTGTCCATGCCCGGGAGAAACAAAGTGATTGTACGAGCTATCTCTTTTGACGACAACAAGAATCACACTTCAAACGAAACAAGTGGCGGTATGTGCTATTTCCCTCTGAATTTTTGAGCTCATTTAGTTTTCTTTTGGTTGTTGCTTTATGAATTCCTAGGAAGTCTGAGTGTTGGATTATGATACGAGGACTAGATTGATTCACTAGAAGCTTTATCAATTCCAAGAAATTTGATTTGCCTTTGATCAGTGAAACGGCAAGTTTTCACACCCGTATTATGTTCCTTCTTTCTTCTGTTTTCATTGGCAGACCAAATCACTCCTGTTCCCGCAGAAGAAACAGAAGAAGAAATCCCTGAAGAAGAAGCAGTTTGCAGGATTTGTCTTGATGTGTGCGAAGAAGGTAACACACTGAAAATGGAATGCAGTTGCAAAGGTGACCTCAGACTCGTTCACGAACATTGTGCCATTAAGTGGTTTAGTACAAAGGGAACGCGAATCTGCGATGTTTGCAGACAAGAAGTCCGAAACTTACCAGTGATTTTGCTTCGTGTCCCAACAATTAATCAGCTTACCAATAGACGGGAACTCACTCAGCAGAGTTCACAACCACAAGCCATTAGGTAAGTCAGACGCTTTAAGATCTTTTTTCTTTTTCAGAAGTTCCCTGAGTAATTCTAACAATTGACCATCAAATTACCGCTGCAGTGTTGGGCAAGAGTTTGTAGTGCTTGTACTCATCAGCACCGTCTGCTACTTCTTTTTCCTTGAACATTTACTGGTAATGCTTCCTTTTTCTTTCCCTAAGTATTCGTAAACAGTAAACACATACTTTTTGGTATTTCCCTATAGAGATCCTATCTTTCATTACAAAGACAGCATAACAGGGAAGTTTATCTGCTCTGTAGATTCCTGAGTTGAAGTCGCAAGCAATCTTTGTTGCAGCCCCATTTTCATTCACCTTATCTCTCTTAGCCTCAAGTTTTGCCGTCATCCTCGGTATAATACCACTCCCTAAAGAAAATTTCAAATCTTTTTTATTTGCACCTGAACACAAATATATAAACTTTTTAAATGTTATTATCTGGACTTGCAGCAATCAGAGAATACATATGGACATACGCTGCTCTTGAGTTTGCATTAGTGGCCTTAACTGTTCATCTGTTATATACTACAGTAAGTAATACTAAACCGTATGTTTAAAGCGTTTAAAATACTTACAATCTCAGACCTCCGATTGAAAAAAAAATACTCATGAAAAGATCATTTCTATTTCCAGCTTGGTGTACCAGTTGTCTATGCAATGCTTTTCGCGGGGATTCTGGGTTTTGGGATGACAATGGGCTTAAACTTGTTGTGCATTTGTTATTCCTCTCAGCATGTGCGGTTTCAGCAGAATCCGAACTTAGTATAAAAAAAGTCTCTTCCTTTTTAAGTTTTTTCTCTTCTTAAGGCTTGGATAGTTGGATATGAAAGGGCAATGCTGAATAGATGGGTTTCACCTAAAACCTTGAGACCTGTATATATATATGAGTTTGTCGTACTTTTGTATTAAGAGACTAGCTTTTCTGGAATGACATTTACAGCGAGAATGTGTGAAGATTCATGAAATGAAAGAGCTGTTGTGAATGTGAATGAGATCAGATTTTACTTCTTTCTCAGAGTCTCTAGCTTCAAAATCTCTGAGCAGTAATTAATGCTGGACGTTTTAAAAATTTGTGTAAAAAAAAGTGGGGCGTTCCGAGAATCGAACTCGGGACCTCTCGCACCCAAAGCGAGAATCATACCACTAGACCAAACGCCCTCGTTGTATGATACAAGCACTAATAACTTTCTATACGTATCTTCACTGACCCTGACTTGCATTGACAGACACTTAATGCTCTATTACACCAACTGATGAAAGGAAGGAAGAGGCAAAAATATGGGAAAAGGGGTTTCCACCAACATGATTCCACAGTTGTTAAGTAGACTAAAACTGGAGTTAGACACATACTTTGGATGAAAGTTAACGTCCTAGAACTGAAAACTACACATTTCGACGGAATGTAAAACCCATTTTACTACCAACTACTAGTCTACTAACAAGGAAATAAACCTCCCTACAAGAATTAGTCTAAGATCTTCGCAATTTAATGGGCAACGCACTTGGATCGATCTCTACATAGCCTCTAAGAGCTCCATCTCTCTCTCCAGTTAAGCGGAATGCAGGAACACAATGAGAGAATCTGAACAATTCACACCTCGGGATCTTCTTTTTCACATCGATGCTTCCTTCCACCTTTTCCTTGAACACCGAAATAAACCCATCCACCTGTTCCAACATCATAACCTCAATGTGGCTGTCATTGTCATCAAGAACTTCAACAACCTCGTATTCACACTTCTTCAAGCTTGCGGCCTTGATTGTTTCAGTCCAGTTCTTGTATAATGCCCAAATTTCGCCGGTCTTTGGGAGGACAATGTACTCGTTTTTCCTGAATTGCTGTTCTGCCTTAATCTGTTGTGAAAAACCAGTCACTTTAGTGAGTATCTCGTCCTGACCTTCCTTCAAAATGAACTTTCCGCAACTGACTGGCATTTGTTTGTCGCGCCACTGTGTAACGTTCCCAAGAAGTAATTTTGGCTCTAGCAGGTTTATCTGCAATTTGAATACCGGCCTCCATATAGTCTGCTGAATCTTGGCATAACACTTGGGCAAGCCATCCTCTTTGCTGTTCAATGACCATATCTGGCCAGGTGCAAACTTTCCCTCTAATCTATCAGCGCTGAAGTTGTGGAACTGGAAATTAGGAATGACGATACAGTCTGGCTCCGATGAAGGCGGAGAGCAACGATGGACTTGGTTAGACTTGGCAACTTCTCCTGAGACAGGGACAGCTTCTTCTTCAATCTTTTGTGGTAATGCAGCTGTATCGAGCTCATAAGAACCAACGGGAACTCCATTCCCTTCTTTTCCTGTCAACTTGGTGGAGGGAATGCTGTGGGAGAATCTAAGCAACTCATGAGGCAAAATCTGAAATTTGTATGGTCCATCACCCGGTGCAATTCGACAAAAGACACTTGTAAAGCCTTTTAGTTTACGCAAAAACGCAACCTCTATTGCAACCCCTTCAACATATTCTGACAAAATCTCAACAAATTCATACTCATACTCATGAGATGAACGCCGACGACCAGAAGACCAGTTGATGTCCCAGTTCTTGAAGAGAGCCCATGTTTCTCCTTTTCTTGGGTATACCTTGAAAGTATCATTCGTACTTTCTGTTCTGCAGTGAATCAGATGAGAGAACGATGGAGTTCCATTTATGTTCTCTTTTCCACCACGTTTGAAAGTACCAACAGAGATGGGCAATTCCTTGTGAACCCACTTTATTGCTTTCTCATCATCTGGTTTAGCCTCTAGCCATTGTATTTTAAGCAGGAAACTAGGTTTCCTGATGACTTTACTGATGATGGCATAGAATCGAGGCATTCGATCCATGTCATCATACATTGCCCATGTCTGACCAGCTTTGAAACACACTACTTCCCTCAGCTTCTCAAAGTTAGTGAAATCAGGATCTGTACACTCAAAAATCTCTGTATCTGATGCACTCCCTGAACTTGAATCCTTTGCTGCATTACTGGCATAAGAACCCCGAGAGCTTCCAACTTGGTCTTCTTTTATCTTCTTTTTCCTGTTTATACCGTTTGGTAAGGTTCCTGTAAACCGTTGGCTCTCATGTGATTTCTTTCTGAAATCAGACTCCTCAGCACTTTCTGCATCCTTTTCTTTATTGTTATCATCGCCTTTATTCTCTTTATATGAAACCTGCTGCTTGTTACGGACTGACCTCCGAAAATGCTGTCCACCAGTAGACCCCGAATGTTGCCCACCAGCTGGAACTTTGTCGCACTCAATGCTACTCTCACTGCAAGAGCCGTCACTGGATTCAACCATCTTCTTCCTCTTTCTCTTTCCATTGGTGTTTTCAGCAGAAGTACCCGATTTTTTAGATCTAGCACCCTCTTTACTTGAGGAAATTTTGGCAGAGTTCTCAGGCTGCTTCTCCGGTGCCTTGGCTGTCTCTTGAGTTGGAGCTTTGCTCTGTTGGAAGGATGCAAAAGTCGTCTGAACTGTTGGACCATGGGAAGTTTCTTGAAAAGCCATGTATTGCTTACCGCAACACAAACAGCTCATTGGTTTGTCGATAAACTCCCTCTGATATTCATACTTCCTGTGACAAAAGGCGCAGGAGGTACGAAAGGTCGAGCTACCATCAAACCCAGCTGGTTGAACTTGAGGTTTTTTCTGGTTTTCAGGTATTTTCCTAGTTGTTGAATTAACATTTGTCTGGAAAACATGCTGATTAAAAAAGGTTCTGGGCGGGGCTTGCTGGGGTTGAAATGACGGAGCTGGTGCTGGTGCAGGTGTAGGCCTTCTGAAAACGGGTTTTCGTCTCATGTCATGAATCCTCCTTTTTTCTTTGTCCAAAAGAACCCTCTGAGCCTCCCCAATGGTTTTGAAAGCAGATTCAGCACCAGGGAGCTTGTTTTTGTCAGGATGAAGATAAAGGGCAAGCTTCCTATACTGTTTCTTAATGGTATTTTCATCTGCATTTTGATCGACCTGAAGAATCTTGTACCAATCAGTCTCATCCCCAGATTTCTCCAATGCAGCACAATGCACATCACACACCATGATCATGCGAGAAACAACATTCTCAAGAGTTGCATCCATTTTCTGAGCCTTAATCGCAACTCTACGAGCAGTTGTGAAATCTGACTTGCCCATCCAATCTTCTGCTAATTCTTTGGCTCGAAGAGCCTCATCTTTGTTACTCATACTAAATCAAACCCAGATTTCAAACCCTACATTAACAAATTCGAATTCACCACTGTAAGACAAGCAAAAGACGAAACAGCCAAACAAGTTTTCCAACAAAGGCAGACGACCACATTCAATTCAGAAATGAGGAACAAAGTATAAAGAGGCGAATCTGTGAGAGACGAAGGTAAAACAATGGGCATTTGACAAAACCAAAGACTAGCTATAGAAGAAGACTAAACGATTTCAGGAATCAAACGAGAAGTGAAGAGTGAGATAATAACAGAGAACAGAGAGCGTCGGAAACTCACCGGAGTATGGAGGAAGAGGAGAGGAGGAGATAGGGCAGCGTCAGAGCTCACGTCGATGCCCAACTGCCTCTTTGACTGAAATCTGTCGTCGTCTTCGTTTGTGGGGGAAACACCTCACAGTTTATATGGTACTCTGGTTTTACTGTAATTTTTAGAAAGTTTAAGGTCATTATACCTTTTTATTCTTATATATTTTCTCTTAAGCCCTTCAAATGTAGCTATATTACTACATTTTTGTGAAGAAAAGGGTAATTTAGTCATTTCACTTTCATTCGAAAAGACTTTTATGCCCAAAATAATTACCTTGTTGGGTCTAAAATCTTTATTTTATAAGAGTATGTATTTTTGTTTTAGGGTTTTAAGTGAAACGTCTTATTCAAACAAATTATACAAGAAATCGTAGCAAATGTTAGTATCGCTAAATTAATTATTGAATATATTTTTATGATATTTGATAAATTATAACCAAATAAAAAATTTTCTTAATATTTTGAAATAAATAAGTAATCACAATTTATATCAATTGATATATATATATTCAAAACTTGAATTCATATAATTTTTTTACAATAGACTACTCTAATATAAGAGTCGTTGATTAAGTCAACTGACTCTGTCATTTTCCACACAGCATCCATTGTAGTTTATGCGCTTCCTCATGCCAATTTTGTTTACGCCTAATTGCTACCACAAACCACAAAAATAAAATTATATTTTGCTAAAAAAACTAAACTAAACAATATTCAATTATATTTAACATTATTTAGTAATTTACTATTATTCCGAAAACTCAACATTTTAATTTAAAAATAATTAAGTAAATTCTTGTATCTCTAATTTGCGATTAAATTGTAATTAAATAAATAATTAAGAAAATGTTACAATTATTTTGGTATGCCTTGTGAGTAAGTGTGCAGGGAGTGTACATCATCATTCATTAATTTACATTGTCAAATGATTTGTAAGGAATATTTTTATGTACACTATCTTAATCCAAGAGATGCATGTCAAATGCAAAGGAAAGTAAAAACTAAGATGTATTGAAGAGTTAGTTTCAAATTATTTTGCCTATTAAACCTCAAGTAATGTAGCATTGTACAGAAAATATATGAAATTTAACATAATATTTAACATAGTAAATCATATTTGCCTATATGAAATTTAATATTTCATAGCTATTCAGTATCATCCATCATCCATCTTCATCTTTAACTGTTTTTTTGTAGTATTATTCTCTATGATCAGTTCAATATTTGTTTTTTGAGTTCAAATTTTACTGGAAACATTGGAAGGGAACTGATAATGCATTTTCTTCTCATAATTAGTTCTTATTAGCTGATGTTTGTTTAATATCATACTTGGTCTACAATTTAATTTCCTAATCATGAACTTGAGCCTACAATTTTCTTTAGTCTAACGTAATTCAGAAAATCTATATTTGTTAAGAAATATTATTTATATAATTAATTTTTGGTATGAATATTTTTGACGTAAAGTTATATTATTTTTAATATATTTTTGTTATATATTTAATTAAATTTAGATTTGTTTAGAAGATTTGTAATATGAGTTTCTTATTAAGAGATACGAGTTCTTGAACAAAAATGGACGAATTTATCTACAAAACCCATATTCTTAATCTAGGCCATGAACTATTCATTAACTAAAGCTTAAGCTATCTCCTTTCAGAAAAACGAGCATGAGCTATAACCTTTTGACCAAGCCACTTACGATCAATTTGATTCCTGATGAGAAATATAACAACAAGGGTCAAAATCAGTAAGCCGAGATAAGCTAATAAGTCATCAAAACCTGAAACGTATTCAATCCATATTCAAGAATAATTAACTAACTTAAGCAGTTAAGCTACTTCTACCAAATGCTCTTCTGATTAATGCTCAATCAAAGCGCATATGGGAAGTGAGAAAAATCACCTGTAGTAAGAGGTTATTGTAAAACATGAAGTAAGATTCTGGTCTTAATCTTAAACCAGCAACAAACGAGTTTTGACTAAAAGTGACCAAAAAGCTAAGCAGAAAAAGGAATCCTGTGCTAACTTCCCTTGGTCCTTTGTTCTTGAATCATTTGTCTTAAATCAGCACGTTTGTAGGTATTGCTCTATAATTACCAAAGAGAAGCCACGGATTTAACCGTAATTGAGAATACTTGACAAGTTTAAACCGTGAGTAGGAATTTGCAGTGAGAAGAATACTTGACATGGTAACACTCGTAATTTATAAACTTGACAAGGTTTAAACTTGAAACTGTGATCTGCAGAGAGATCACTTAAGTCTTAAAAAGGCAGATCTGTTAAATGCAAGAAATAGTTAAGCCCACCTGCAAATACTTGCCATTCAAATTACAGATAAGAACATACTTCATGTAACATCATGGTGAAAGTCTTAAGATTCTAAAACCGAAAACATATTTCACAACAAAATCTAACAAAAAAGGTAATCCTTGGCGCTTTCCGTCCCTTTTCTTCTCTCAATTCCTCTGTTCAACGGTATTTAACGTTAAAAGGTGTCGCCCTACAATCAACACTTAATAACTCTTTCAACTCTCCGTGCATCTCTTTGGTTACACGGGTAGCAGGAACCCTATTCGAGAATCTGATCCTTTCTGACTTTGGGATAGTAAATATTGGTTCCGACCCTTCATCCTCGTTATATACATACTCCGTACATGCGCTAAACAACCTATTCTCACTTTTATCATCATCACGAACGGATTCGTACTCCAGCAGTTGGACCTCATAGTCTAAAGTGTCATCAAGAATTTCAACCATGTCATAAAGACCATATTCCAAGTCTTCAACATCAATGTCACGACTCCAATATCTGTATATAACCCAAACTTCACCAACCTTGGGGAGAATGGTATATTCAGTGCCATCCAAGGACGTTTGAGGAATTATCTGCTGTGAAACCTCACTTGGGGTGATTGTTTCTAGAACTTTTCTGGCGTAGAAAGTTCCACAACCAACAGGCATTTGCCCGTCTTCCCAGTCAATAACATCCTTGGGAAACCTAGTCTTCTTTAGCCGACCTATGTGTAGTTTGATTACCGGATCCTGCTTATATGCTTGAGTAAAAGTGATTTTCTGAACCCTACCATAGTGCAGAGGCAAATCATCATATCCACTGTAAAATGACCAAATCTGGCCAGTCTGAAAGACCTTCCCCTTGCTAGCAAAGTAGATGACTTGGCGTTTGGACTCTATATTACTCTCAGAGTTTGAAGGAACGATGATCTCTTCGATTTTCTCTGGTAACGCAGCTTGGTCCAGCTCGTAAGCATCTTTTGGCACACCTGTTCCTTCAACTTCAGTCAGTTTGAAGGAAGGAACCCTATGGGAGAACCGATACAAACTGTGAGGTAAAATACGAAATATACCGTCATAACCAGTTCCTATTCGGAAGAACACACTAGCAAACCCTTTGGCTTTATGCAAGTATGCAACATATACACCACCTTCATCAGCGTAATCTGACAGAACCTCGACAAATTCATACTGGTAGTTGCGGTGAGAATCTGGCTCCGAAGACCATTTAATCTCCCAATTCTTGAAAAGTGCCCATGTCTCGCCTTTTCTAGGGGATACACTAAAATGACAAGTGTTGAAGGAATAACAACTTCTGCTGAAACAACGAGTGTTGCTTAGTTCATTGCAATGAATAACATGTGAAAATATGGAACGATCCTTTGTGTTCTGATTATTGGCAAGCCTGAACTTACCAACAGAAACAGGCAAGTCTTCTTCAAACCATTGGATCTCCTTCTCATTATCTGGATCTGGCTCTAGATATGTGATCCTAAGCCCAAAACAAGGAGCTGAAACTTTTATGATCTTAGCATACAACCTAGGCACCCCATCCACTGTATCATAAATAGCCCAGGTCTGACCAACTGCAAAGTTTACCTCTTCCCTCAGCTTATCAAAATTGTTAAACGTTGGACCAACACATTCAAAGGTGTTTGGTTGTACTGCAACTTCTGAACTTGTGTTACATAGACCAGAGTTATTATTTGCCTGAAGATTCTGAGAGTCCCCCAATGCAGCTCCCACTTCACCGTTCCTGTTCATGGCATTTGGCAATGTTTCTTTGCAAAGATCAACCTCAAGGAGTTGCTTTCCTCTTCCAGACTCTTCTCTTGCACCTCCAAAATTATCCGCCACAACTCTATTGCCAATTTTGATTAGATTCACAATAATGTCTTCAGACTTACTGCCATTTTCAGTATTAACAATTTGACCACACTCATCATTCCTCTTTCTCTTCTCACCAACCTTATCAGCACATCTCAAACCAGGGGAGCTTTCAGTTGCAGAGAAATGTATGTCTGGATTCTTACTAGGGACTGTTATCTGTCGTTGCGAGGACAAAGCTTGAGACTTTTCTTGCTGATTCTTAGGTGTCGATACAGCCAAATCAGCCCTTATCTGATGGCTCCGGACAGTTTTTTTCCTTGTAAGAAGCTCATTTACAGTGATATCCATCATCAAACAAGACAAATTCCACCTCTACGGGTTCCTACAGAAAAAAAAAAAAAAAAAATTCTGGTTATCAGATACAATATGACATTTGACACATAAACTATAATGTACTTATAATATACAAGGTCTGAATCGGCTTTTATAAACAGAGATGTGAATATACAAACGCCAATGTTTGTAAAAAAATAAAAAAGTTGAAGCATTTCAAATCTAAAGAATAAGAACCCTAACAAATCTAAACTATACTGTACAATGAGAAAGACCACACAAAAGCGAGGAAACCTAAACGGTACCCCTAGACACTAGATTCAGCTACAACACAAAGACGACAACAAGTAAAGAGTATAATATAATTCACAAAATGGTTCGACCAATTTACCAACAATGGCGAAAAAAGGAAATCGCAACCGTCGGCGGCGGAGCCTTTTGTCGGGCAAAGAAAAGTGAAAGCGAGCGGACAAAAAAATTAAGTATATTCAGTGTTTTTTTCTCGATTTAAGGGAAGGAAAAAATCTAAAATTCTTTTCGCGGTAAATAAAGTTCATTGAAAATAATATTTCGCGGGAAACAAATCCAAAACTAAAAATTAGACGAAGAGCCAAAGGCTTTTATATAAAACCGTATATGAGAAAAGTTCAACAAGGTTGAGATATGTGATCAGCAGAGAGATCACTCAAGTCGACAAGAACACATTGCTGCAACAAACAAACTTGCAATGTAAGAGATACAGTTGTTGTCGCACAAATAAACAAAAACACATTTAGAGAGAGAGGATCCCAGACCAAAGCAACAAATTACTGGCTGTTTCTTCACATCATATAAGATAAATATAAAAACATACTTGCATCAAAATGCACCAAAAGCTAACAAAAAGTAATGTAATCCTTCCCTCACTTCCCCTTTCAGCTATGCCAATTTAAGGTAATGCTCCAGCATCAAGAACTTCAAAGAGCTCTTTCAAATCTCCGTCTATCGCCTTGGTTACTCGAGAAACAGGAATCTGATGCGAGAATCTTTGCCTTTTTGACTTGGGGATTGTAATTATCGCTTCTGACTCATTCTCCGACTCATGTTGCCTACCCTCAGCTGCTTGCAAGAATTTTTGTTTTTCTTCATTTTCATTACCAAACGATGCCAGCTCCACCGCTGAAACCTTATAGTCCAAAGTGTCATCAAGGACTTCAACAATTTCGTATTTGTAAAAATACCACCTTTCCGTCTCCTCATTATAAATTTCTTGAGGCAAGTATGTGTATATGGCCCAAACATCGCCAATCTTGGGGAGAATGGTATATGCATATCCATCCATGAAGGTTTCAGTTTCAGGCACTATCTGATGTGAAACATCATCAGGATCGATTACTTCGGTACCTTTCCTCACAAAGAAAGTTCCACAACCAACAGTCTTTTTCTTGTTTCGATATTGGGTCGCATCCCCAGAGAAATGAGTAGGCATTAACCGAGTTACGTGTAGTTTAAATACGGCTTCTTGCTCGAATGCCTGAGTAAAAGTGATCTTATGAATCCTACAATAGTGCCGAGGGACGCTCCAAAAAGTGTAATATGACCAGATCTGGCCAGTTTGAAAACCTTTCCCTGTACTCCGAAAGCAGAAAGCTTCTGGTTTGGATTTCAAAGCGGTCGGCACTGCTAATAGATGTGAAGGGACGATTGTCTCTTTAATTGTTTCAGGTAAAACAGCTTGGTCCAGCTCGTAAGCATCTTTTGGCACACATTGTCCTTTACTTCCAGTCAGTTTGGACTTCAACGCGGTCGGCGCTGCTAATAGATGTGAAGGGACAATTATTTCTTTGATTGTTTCAGGTAATACAGCTTGGTCCAGCTCGTAAGCACCTTTTGGCATACCTGGTCCTTTACTTCCAGTCAGTTTTGACTTCAAAGCGGTCGGCGCTGCTAATAGATGTGAAGGGACAAGTATCTCTTTGATTGTGTCAGGTAATACAGCCTTGTCCAGCTCGTAAGCATCTTTTGGCACACCTTGTCCTTCAGTTCCAGTCAGTTTGAAGGAAGGAACCCTATGGGAGAACTGGTACAATCTGTGAGGCAGAATCTGAGATATGTTTACATCACCAGTTCCCATTCGAAAGAAAACACTTGCAAAGCCTTTTGCTTTATGCAAGAATGCAATAGATACACCAGCTCCATCAGCGTAATCTGACAAAATCTCGACAAACTCATACTCAAATTTGCGGTGAGAATCTGGTTTTGAAGACCAGTTAATGTCCCAGTTCTTGAACAGAGCCCAAGTCTCGCCTTTTCTTGGGGATATAGTGAAATAACCATTACTGATTCCTTCATTGGATTGGATAAGATGAGAGAATCTTGAACGAACTTTTGTATTCTGATTATTGGCAAGCCTGAACTTACCAACAGAAACAGGCAAGTCTTCTTCAAACCAAAGTATCTCTTTCTCATCATCTGGGTCTGGCTCAAGATATGTGATCCTAAGCCCAAAGGAAGGAGCTGAAACTTTCCTGATCTGAGCATACGATCTAGGCATCCCATCCGTTGTATCATAAAGAGCCCAGGTCTGACCAACAGCAAAGTTCATTTCTTCCCGCAGCTTATCAAAGTCGTTAAACTTTGGACCAACATATTCCGAAGTCTTTGGTTTTGCCGACTCTTCTCCCCTGCCTGCATCACCATTATCACTTAGCCCTCTTCTATGGTTATGTAAAACACCCTGATTTCCAGAATTACAACTTCCACCATATTCGTTCCTCTTTCTCTTCTCACCGACAGACACAGCACAAGATGAAGAACATGTTACAGAATCTTCAGAAGAAGCGATATCCGTCATCATACAAAGAAACAATTAAGCACGCAAGAGAGTCAACTTCCTCTTCCTCTTCTAAAGTACCTACAGAAATTACAATTATAGACATGGCCGTCAGATACTTTACCAATGGTGAGATAATACACACAGAGAAAGACGTCAATTGATGTTTGTATAAGATGAATGACTCAGCTAGTTAGGTATTGGACAAGCGAAAATGTAATTCTAAAATCACGCATAGATCAAAGTGTGGCTAAACTTACAAGTGTCCCAAAACACAAATGTAGAAAGTGTTAAGCATCTGAAACTAGAAGAAAGGAATATGAACCCTAAATTTATCTTCGTTGTAGATATGAAACACAAAACTCACGATTTGGGGAGAAAGCGAGAACACCTAAACCCTAGATTGAGCAATATCGCTATTAATTTAACAAAAACAAAACATATAGATACAATCGACTAACCGATTCGATCAATTTACGCAACCAGCACAAACTTCAGCCCTCGTCGTCGGCGAAAGCTTTTGCCGGAAAAAGAGAGGGGGGTAGGTTTAGTACCAAAGACTAGTGAATTGAAAATATATCCCACGTTTCCCGAGAATGGTCCATTTGGCGGGAAAGCTTAGCCCTATTAGTTTCCTAGTTATAAAAATAATTTCAAATATGACAAAAAAAGAAATAATAATAATTTCAATGGTCAGTTTCAGTAGATCATTATTAAAAGAAGTTTCAAGTTTATTAGCTTTTAGTTTTGAACTGATGCGAAGCTGTAAACGGCTGAAATCACCATGCTCTTGTGATTTACACTCAATCACATATTTATGCAAGAGAGGTTCAAATTCAAACCTTCAAAATAAGAACGACGAACAAATCAAATGACTAGTATACATGGTGAAAAGTTACTTGTTACCCTTTTGACCAAGAGAAAGAGGGAGCAATAATAGTTAGTATCCTCATAGCTTTCCCGAAATACAAGTCTTTCCATAGATTGAACCAACAAGAGAAGCATGTCCATGAAAAAAGTCTACATAAGTTTTTAGGTCTCAGATCTCAAACCATAGAAAAATTTTCGACCAAATGCACCAAACGCTTCACAAAATGTAATCCTTCTCTACTGTTCCCTCTTTACTCCATGGTCTTGAAACCTCACGTTTGAAGGTAAGGCTCTGGAATCAACTTCAAAAAGCTCTTTCAAATCCCCGTTTACTACCTTGGTTACTCGAGTAGCAGGAATCTGATGTGAGAATCTGAGCATTTTTGACTTGGGGATTGTAAATGTCACTTCCAACCCATCCTCAACGTCCCAATCAGGATGCCTACTCTCAGCTGCTCTGAAGAATGAATTTTTACCTTCCTCTTCATTAGAAAACAATGCAGGCTCCAAAGCTAAAACCTTATAGTCCAAGGTGTTATCAAGAACTTCCACAATGTCATAGCTGCAGGAACCCATGTCCTTGAACTCCTTGTGACACGTCCAAGATCTGTATATGGCCCAAACATCCCCAGTTTTGGGAAGAATGGTATGTTCAGTTCCATCCATGGAGGTTTGAGGCACTACAAGAAGTGAAACATCATCTGTAGTGAATGCTTCGAAAATTTTAGTCACCATGAAAGTTCCACAACCAACAGGCATTTTCTTGTCTTCCCACTGGATGACATTCGCAGGGAAAGGAGTAGCCTTTAACCGATATACACATATTTTGACTACTGCTTCCTCCTCGAATACTTGAGTAACAGTGATCTTCTGAATCCTACAGTAGTACAGAGGCAAGTCATCTTTGCCACTGTAATATGACCAGATCTGTCCAGTTTGAAAGTCCTTCACCTTACTAGCATTGGAACTTTCACCATCCTCATTCGTCTTTCTACTCGCATCACAACTCAAACCAGGGGAGAGAAAATTACCAGTACGAGATGAAGAAAATGTTGTAGCACCGTCAGAAGAAGTGACATACATCGTCAAACAAAGAAATGATAAGCACTTGAGAAGGCAACTTCTTCTTCTTCTTCTAGGTGTTTCTGCAGAAGATACAATTACATAAATGACCATATGATACTTTAACATTGGTAAAAGAATAGACATCGAGACTTTAATCTATGTTGTATAAGATGAATGAAAAACATATAAATTCTAAGCCCACACAGTTCAAAGTTCAAAAAGGGGCTAAACAAACACAAAATTCGAAGCATCTCAAACCTAGAAGGAAGTAATAAGAACCCTAATCTCATCTAAAGCATAGAATGAGCAATAACCCTAGATTCGGGGACTAATGGAGTTACAGAAATAGACAAACAACAAAACAGAAAGTAGTTACAATCACGGAAGCGATTCCATCAGTTAACGGAACCGGAACAAACCTCAGGCGGCGGCGGCGGAAACTTTTGTCAAGTTTGTGGCTTTGTGCTCCCACGCCCGTTTCAGCTACAGAGACGACCTCTCTGTTTATTAAAGTTGTTTATAAAAACCTCAAAGATCCCGAGGATTATATCCTGCAACAACTTATTTCCGTAGGTTACAATACTAATTCACATCTAGCACAAAAAAATACTTATCAATCACGTTTTTTGTTTTTTGTTTTTCTATAACGGTATCGGTAACAAAATTGGAACTTTGATTATGTTTTTTCTTTTTCTTTTGAAAACTTTGATTACATCTTTCATCAGTAAGAAAGTCTTAAGTAAGTTTCAGGTCTTTAAACCAAAGAACAAACATTTTGACAAAATGCACCAAAAGCTAACAAAAAGTAATACTTCCCTAGTCCCTACTCTTCCCTTGCTTCCTTCGCTCATTCAAACGCTCACGTCTAATGTCTGAAGACAGGGTCATTGAACAAACAGCTCTAGAATCAACTTCAAAAAGCTCTTTCAAATCTCCGTCGATCAACTTAGTTACAGTACTAGGCAAGCAGGAATCTGATGCGAGAATGTGAGCCTTTTCGACTTTGGGATTGTAAATATGACTTCTGATCCATCTTCTTCCCCATCAGTATCACGATGCCTAGTCTCGGTTGCTCTGCAAAATGTTGTTTTGGAACCTTCATTAAAGAGCGACACAGGCTCCAACTCTAAAACCTTATAGTCCAAGGTGTCATCAAGAACTTCCACAATATCATAGTCATAGTATTTCTCCATGAAATTAAACTCATAGTGAGGAGTCCACCATTTGTATATGGCCCAAAGATCGCCAACCTTGGGAAGAATGGTATATTCCTTTCCATCCATGGAAATTTCAGGCAATATCTGCTGCGAAACATCATTAGGAGTAAGTATTTGGATACCTTTCATCGCTAAGAAAGTTCCACAACCAACAGGCATTCTCTTGTCATCCCATTGGACGACATCCTCAGGGAAATGTGTGGCCTTTAACGGACTCATGCGTAGTGTACATACTGCTTGCTGCTCGAATGCTTGAGTTAAAGTGATTTTTTCAATTCTACCGTAGTACCAAGGGAATCTTTCGTAACGCCTATAATAAGACCAAATCTGCCCAGTTTTATAAACTGTTCCCTCAATAGGAAAGCAGAGAGCTTCCGGTTTAGACTTTAAAGCGGTAAGCTCTGCTAATAGATGAAAAGGGATAACTTTCTCTTCCATCAATTCAGGAAATGCAGCTTGGTCCAGCTCGTAAGCGTCTTTTGGCATGCCTTTTCCTTCACTCCCTCTCAGTTTGAAGGAAGAAACCCTGTGGGAGAACCGATATAAACTGTGAGGTAGAACTTGAGATATGTTCGAATCATCTGTTCCCATCGGAAAGAACACACTTGAAAACCCTTTTGCTTTATGCAAGAATGCAACAGATACACCAGCTCCATCAGTGTAATCTGACAAAATCTCAACAAAGTCATAGTCATAGCTGCGGTGAGAATCCGGCTCTGAAGACCAGTTAATGTCCCAGTTCTTGTAAAGCGCCCAAGTTTCGCCTTTTCTTGGGAAAACAGTGAAATGAGCGGAGTTGTTTCCTTCATCGCAATGGATTACATGAGAGAATCTGGAACGATCTTTTGTGTTCTGATTTTGTCCAAGCCTGAACTTACCAACAGAAACAGGCAAGCCTTCTTCAAACCATAGTATCTCGTTCTCATCATCTGGATCTGGCTCAAGATATGTGATCCTAAGCCCGAACGAAGGAACTGAAACTTTTTTGATCTGAGCATACAGTCTAGGCATCCCATCTGCTGTATCATAAAGAGCCCAAGTCTGGCCAACCGCAAAGGTAGCTTCTTCCCTCAGCTTACTAAAGTCATTAAACTTTGGACCAACAGATTCAGAAATCTTTGGTTGTGCTTGTACCGACTCTTCTCTCCTTTCAGTATATCCATCATCATTTGACACCCTTCTATTGTTATGTCCAACACCTCGGGTTAAACTATTACTACTTCCACCATATTCGTTCATTTTTCTCTTCTCACCAACACTCACAACAGCACAAGCTGAAGAAAACGCTGTGTCATCGTCAGAAGAAGCCACTTTCATCAAAGTCTCTGAAACAGCTTTCCTTCCAAGAAGCTCGTTTGAATTTGAATCTATCATCGAACAAAGAAACAATTAGCAATCGAGAGAAGACAACTACCTCATCTAGGGTTCCTGCATAAGATAAAAGTTCAAAAAGGGCTAAACTTTGAAAAACACGAAGTGCCGAAAGTGTGAAGCATCTAAAACCATGAGAAATAAACGCCTAAACTAACCCTCTTTGTATTTCTGTATTTCTGAAACCCTGGGAAATAACGAGAACACCTAAACCTTAGATTTTAATGCGACATATAGAGATACATAAATTAACAATCAACTAACCGAATCGCTCAGATTTCGCAACCAAAGCAAACCACAATCGTCGACAGCGGCGGAGGGCTTTGCCGGGAAAGGGAGAGGCGTTCAAATAGGCCAGTGGGATTTAGGAGTAAAAAGAAAAATATCACACTTTCCCCGAGAATTGGATCAATTTTGTTTGCCGGGAAATTAATTTAGCCCTATTCTCTATTGGCGGGAAAATTATTTAACCATATTCTCTATTTTCAACTTGATCAGACAAAGATAAATTATAAAATTAAGTATAAATAGATTATTTTGTTTTTAATTTGGTGAAGAGTATTTGCGTTTCTGTGTTAAAGAAACAAAACACACAATTGCCAAAACCGTGAGCTCTCCTCTTGGTCTGTATTCTGTAGCTGCAAGGAGAGAGCTTGAGCTATTTCTTGTGATTCTTGGGCGTCGATGCAAGTTGCATATTTTATTTGGGGGTTTTCAAGAAATAGGTAAAAATTATATGTTTTATTTGCATATTGAATCTGTAGCTTTGTAGGTGATAAATCTAACTACACTAATTTGAATGTTGTAGGTGATGAGTATGACTTTGTTGAGGAGGAAGCGAACATTGTTCATGCTTAAGCGTGCATCGGAATCATCATCATCATTTAGTTATGCTTATGTTTATGTATATTAATTTTTATGTTTTATGTTATGTATGACTACTAAGTTTGATTTTTGGATATTTATTTGTATTAATTGTTATGACTACTAAGTTTGATTTTTGGATATTTATTTGTATTAATTGTTATGAAAAGTAATAGTATAGTATAGAAAATTAAAAGTAATAATATAGAAAATAAAAATTTTTGGATAACTTAATATGTTAATCTTTAGATAATCATAATTAAAGTCTCAATAAAAAGTAATAGTATAAAATATAGAATATAAAAATTCATCTTTCAATTCAGATTTTAAGAAGAAAAATAATAAGAATAAAAGTAGGATGTCCATGCGCATGTACATCTGGACATGGTCTTTATTGGACGTGGACACAGTTTAGATCCGTGTCCATTTTGGCCCGTTCAGAAAAAGCCAACAAATAAATCTGTCCGTATGGACACGTCCAATGGGCGGTGGACGGACCGATTGACAGCTCTAGATGCAACCAACTGTACTACATAACATTACACTAAGGCCTAAACTGCTGCTTCATATCCATATATAAAAACATTCTTACATCATACAGAAGAATGTTAAAGATGCTTAACCAAAAAAACAAACCCCGAAAATGTACCAAATGATGTGGAAACCTCATGTAATCAGGAAAAGCTAACCAAAAAAAAAAAAAAAAAGGAATCATTGGCCTCCCTCGCTTTAGTTGCTCACTGGTATTAACTACGGAGAGCAAATGTTATCAGGCAATGCTACTGAATCAACTAATATAAGGTCTTTAATCTCTCCGTATACCTCCTTCTTAACACGGGAAGCAGGAACCTTATGAGAGAATTTGAGCCTTTCCGACTTCGTGATCGTAAATATTGGTTCTGACCCATCAATTTCGTTATACTGATACTCCTTAACTTCCTGAAAGAACTTCTTTTTCCTTTTGAGTAAACGTAAGAGCCTCTTTTTATCTTCATCTTCATCTTCATCTATGTCTTCATATTCAACAGGGCCGTGCTGGCGCTCCAGCAGTTGGACCTTATAATCCAAGGTGTCATCAAGAACTTCAACAATGTCATAGCTGCATAAACCAACCTTGTCTAATTCCCTGTATTGACTCCAGAATCTGTATATGACCCAAACTTCTCCAATCTTGGGCAGAATGGTATATTCATTTCCATCCACAGAGATTTGAGGCACTATCAGTTGTGAAACATCATCTGGACTGATTATTTCAAGAGCTTTTCTCGCGTAGAAAGTTCCACAACCAACAGGCATTTTCTTGTCTTCATATTGGATCACATCTTCAGGGGAACTAGTAGCCTTTAGCCGACTTATGTGTAGTTTATATACTGCCTTCTGCTTCAGTACCTGAGTAAAAGTGATCTTCTGAATCCTACCGTAGTACAGAGGAAACTCCGGATAATCACCGCAAAATGACCAAATCTGGCCAGTTTGAAAAACCTTCCCCTTCCTCGCAAAATAGATAGTTTGAGGTTTAATCTTTCTATCACTCTCACAGTTTGAAGCGCTGGCCTCTACTAATAGATGAGAAGGGACAATTTTCTCTGCTATAGTATCAGGTAATGCAGCTTGGTCCAGCTCGTAAGCATCTTTTGGTATAACTTTTCCTTCCATTCCAGTTAGTTTGAAGGAAGGAATCCTGTGGGAGAAACGATATAAACTGTGAGGTAGAATCTGAGATATGTCTGCATCACCTGTTTCCATTCGAAAGAATACACTCGCAAAGCCTTTTGCTTTATGCAAGAATGCAACAGAGACACCAGCTCCATCATCATAATCTGACAAAACCTCGGCAAATTCATACTCATAGCTGCTGTGAGAATCTGGCTCTGACGACCACTTAATGTCCCAGTTCTTGTAAAGCGCCCAAGTTTCGCCTTGTCTTGGAAAAACAGTGAAATGAGCAGAGTTGCTTCCTTCATTGCAGTGGATAAGATGAGAGAATTTGAAACGATCTTTCGTGTTCTGACTTTGTCCAAGCCTGAACTTACCAACAGAAACCGGCAAGCCTTCTTCAAACCATAGTATCTCTTTCTCATCATCTGGATCTGGCTCAAGATATGTGATCCTAAGCCTGAACGAAGGAGCTGAAACTTTTCTGATCTGAGCATACAATCTAGGCATCCCATCTGCTGTATCATAAAGAGCCCAGGTCTGACCAACTACAAAGTTCACTTCGTCCCTCAGCTTATCAAAGTTGTTAAACTGTGGACCAACAACTGCAAAGTTCACTTCTCCCTCGCCTGTATCTCCATTATCATTTGACCCGCTGCTACTGTTAGGTAAAGCACTATTGCAAGTTTCACCATATTCACTTCTCTTTCTCTTCTCACCAACACTCACAGCACAAGCCGAAGAAAATGTTCCTTTCATCAAAGTCTTTGAAACAGTTTCCTTCTTAGTAGCTCTTCGAAATGGTCTCAATCATCAAACAAAGGGACAATAAGCATTCGAGTAGACAACTTACCTGCAGAAGATAGAAATTATATATGAACCTCTGATACTTTAACAATGGTAAGATAATACACATAGAGAGAGAGAGAGAGAGAGAGACGTAAATCTATGTTTGAATAAAGATGAATAGCTTAAGTATTGGACAAGCATATAATTCAAAAATCACACAGTGACACAGATCAAGGTTATAAAAAGGGGATAAATCGTCAAATGCTCTGAAAGACAAAAGTGATAAGAACCCTCGTCAATTAAGCCTTTTTTGTAGATCATATAACTCGAATCTCACGAGCCACGATCGGGGAAAATGTGAGAACACCTAAATACTAAATTGAGCAATAACCCTAGGCTTAGGATGCGACATAGAGATACAGAACATACAGATACAATCAACAATTCGATTCGATCAGTTTAGTCAACCAAAACAGACCTCAGTCGTCAGCGGCGAAGGCTACAGCCGGAAAATTGAGAAGTGGATTTGAGTACGGAAGCAGTAGCACCGTCGTGTAGATATCCTACTTTTTCCCCGAGACTAAAATCTTTTGGCGGGGAAACGATTTAGCCCTATTCTCTATTTATCAAATTTTTTATATTAAAAAAATGATTTCCATGTCGACACAGAAAAAAAAAAATGATTTCCATATATTTTTGAGAAACATATGTAGCACAAAAGAAATGACTTGAATAAATTGTTAAAACATTGAGTATAACATCGATTTCACTAGTGAATTTTGTACATGTTATTTTACCGAGATGTTACACTCTCTTACATGATCCGACGATGACCTGCCTGTGTGTGAGTGTGAAGCTTTTTGGCAGTTTAATTCAATTTTGAATTTGATGTGAAGCAGTGAACGGTTGAAATCATGCAAGGGCGCCATTATATGCTCTTTGAGATTACTTACTTTCAAAGTTCAAACGCATATACATGCAAGATAGTTTTAAACCCTCTCATGCTGCTAACGGATCAGATGAGAAATATAAACATTGAGAATGTTCAGTACATTTTCTCATTCTGAAAACCACTGGTTACGCTTTTGAGTTTTGACCAAAAACAAAGTATGAGAGGCATCTATTTTCTCACCTTCTCAAAAGTCAGAATACATGATTTTCCATATATTTCGAACCAATATCAGAAGCAAATGCTTTAAACCAGGGAGAAATTCTATACAAGTACCAGTTCCTAGATCTTAATACAAAGAACAAACCTTTTGACAAACTGAGCACCAAAAGCTTAACAAAAAGTAATCCTTCCCTCACTTCCCCTTTGCTCAATGGTCTTGAAACCTCGAGTTTTTGGGTAATGCTCTATAATTAACTTCAAAAAGCTCTTTCAAATCCCCGTCAATCTCCTTGATTACCCGGGAAGCAGGAATCTGATGTGAGAATCTAAGCATTTCTGATTTGGGGACTGTTAATATCGCTTCTGACCCATTCTTATCGTTGCAATCAGAATGCCTACTCTCAGCTGCTTTGAAGAATGTTTTATCTTCCTCTTCATTAGAAAACAGCACAGGCTCCACCGCTAAAACCTTATAGTCCAAGGTGTCATCAAGAACTTCAACAATGTCATAGTCGCATGAACCCATGTCCTTGAACTCCTTGTCACAAGTCCAGCATCTGTATATGGCCCAAACATCCCCAATCTTGGGAAGAATAGTATATTCATTTCCATCCATGGAGGTGTCAGGCTTTATCTGATGTAAAATATCTTCTGGAGTGAGTATTTCGAAACATTTCCTCACCGAGAAAGTTCCACAACCAACAGGCATTCTCTTGTCCTCCCACGGAATGACATTCCCCGGGAAAGGATTAGCCTTTAACCGACTTACAGATAGTTTAAATTCTGCTTCCTGCTCGAATGCCTGAGTTAAAGTGATCCTCTGAATCCTACAGTAAGATGGGTGCAAGTTATCGAAACTGCTGTAAAATGACCAAATCTGACCTGTTTGAAAAACCTTTCCCTTCATAGGAAAGTTGAGAGCTTCAGGTTTTTCAGGTTTAGACTTAGGCTCCGCTAATAGATGAGAAGGGACAATTTTCTCTTCTATAGTATTTGGTAATGCAGCTTGGTCCAGCTCATAAGCATCTTTTGGTATAACTTGTCCTTCCATTCCAGTTAGTTTGAAGGAAGGTATCCTGTGGGAGAACCGATATAAACTGTGAGGTAGAATCTGAGATATGTCTGCACCCCCAGTTCCCATTCGAAAGAACACACTTACAAAGCCTTTTGCTTTATGCAAGAATGCAACAGATACACCAGCTCCCTCAGTGTAATCTGACAAAATCTCGACAAACTCATACTCAAATTTGCGGTGAGAATCTGGCTCAGAAGACCAGTTTATGTCCCAGTTCTTAAATAGAGCCCAAGTCTCACCTTTTCTTGGGGAGATACTTAAACGACCATAGTCACTTTCTTCATCGTATTTGCATGTGTAGCGGGTTACATGAGAAAATATGGAACGATCTTTTGTGTTCTGACTTTTCCCAAACCTGACCTTACCAACAGAAACAGGCAAGTCTTCTTCAAACCATTGTATCTCTTTCTCATCTTCCGGATCTGGCTCTAGGTATGTGATCCTAAGCCCAAAAGAAGGAGCTGAAACTTTTCTGATATCAGCATACAGTCTAGGCATTCCATCTGCTTTACTATAAAGAGCCCAGGTCTGACCAACCGCAAAGCTTACTTCAGCCCTCAGCTTATCAAAGTCGTTAAACTTTACACCAGCGAATTCAGAAGTCTCTAGTTGTACTGCACCTTCTGAACCTGAATCACATAAACTAGACTTTTCATTTACCTCAAGATCCCCGGAGTTCCCTGCAGCATCTTGGGTTTTATTCAACTTATGATCCGTGGTAATGACATTTGGGAATGTTTCTTCAGAACGAACAACTTCATGGAGCTGCTTCCCCGATCCCGGCTCTTCTCGCCTTCTTACATTCCCATTATCATTGAATACTCTTCTATTGTTGTCCACATCCCTGCCAATAACATCTTCAGATTTGTTTTGATTTTCCGTAGTGCAATTTTCACAACACTCGTTCGTCTTTCTCTTCTCACCAACTATCATAGCACAGCTCAAACATGGAGAACTTTCCTTTCCAGAGACATGTGTGGCTGGATTCTTACTTGGGACTTTATTCTTTTGTTGCAAGGAGAAAGCATGAGCTTTTTCTTGCTGCTTCTTGGATGTCGACGCAAGCAAATCACTCCTAATGTTGTTACACTTTGGACCAGCACATTCAGAAGTCGTTAGTTGTACTGCAACTTCTGAACTTGTATCCAAAAATCCAGAGTTATTATCTACCTTGAGATTCTGAGAGATCCTCATTGCAGGTCGCACCTGAGAATTTCTTTTAATGGTATTTGGCAATGTTTCTTTGCAAATATGAACCTCATAGTGTTCCTTTCCGCTTCCTGACTCCTCTCCTGCATTTCCAATATCATCCGACACTCTTCTACTCCCATCTTCACTTAATTTGACAATAACCTTTTCAGACTTGCTGCGATTTTCAGTATTGCAACTTTCACCATACTCATCCCTCTTTCTCTTCTCACCAACCTTCTCAACACAGCTCAAACCTTGGAAACTTTCCTTTCCAGAGAAATGTGTACCTGGATTCTTACTTGGGACTGTTTTTGGTTGGAGCAAGGAGAAATTCCCTTCAACCGCATTGAACTTCTTCTTGCATATCAGACAATTGAGCCATTTGTTGATATATTTTCTCAGAAAAATAAACTTGTGCTCACAGAAAGGACACATGGTCCAAAAGCTTGGACGAGATCTGAATGGAACTGTTTGAGGTTGAGCTTTTAGAGGCTGAAGCTGGTTCGTGGGTGTTGATTTAGCCAAATTGCTCGTACTAACATGGTTTTGACTCAACCTAGTTTTCTCCATAGTAGGCAGAGTTTTCTGACTTGATATTTTCCCTGGTGGATGGCCTTGAACAGGGGATTCAATCGCAGTGAACTTCATCTTGCAAGACTGACAACTAGTCGGCTTGTTGAGAAAGTCCCGCCTATGTAATCTGTACCTGACGGTACAGAACGGGCACATGGTCCAAAACTTTGGAATGCCACTGGAAGGATCTGGGGACTGAGGTTTCTGCGGCTGAGGCTGTTTCTTGGGTTTCAATGCAACCAAATTGCTCCTAGGCCTAGCAACATGGTTTTGACTTGGTTTAATCTCCGGTGTAGCGCCTATAACAGGGACTTCCTCCCCAATGAATTTGATGTAGCAAGATTGACACCGGCTCGGTTTGTTGAGAAGGCTTCTGTGGGATCTGTACCTAACAGCACAAAATGGACATATAGTCCAAAACATGGGACGGTCACTGCAAGGAGCTTGGGATTCAGCTGTAGTCAAACTCTCTGAAGCATCTTTCTTTATCTGAAGCTCGTCAATGGCAATATCCATCATCTAAAAAAATTTAAAACCAGAGTGAATAAACAACCCTCAAGAAGAGGACTTCCTCCAATTGATTCCTGCAATAGAATAGAGTTCATATAAATAAGGATCTGGCGAGTTTGTGAGTATTCTTTGAAAGCAATTTAAATCAAAAACAAAAGTAATAAGAACCTTAAAGCAAGCGTCTTTACTTTACATTGAGAAATCCAAAATATCACAGTAAGGGAAATACTGGGAGTAAGCATATACCCTTGGATTAGATTAACAAAAACAATGCATTAGATTCAAGTCACGTACCGGTTCACGTAACAGCAGCAACAAAAGCAAATCGCAGTCGTAAGTGGTGGCGGAGACCCTCTTGCCGGAAAAGGGAAAAGACGATTCGTCGTGCTCCTGAGATCAACACGTGAGGCAAATGTAACTAAAGAAAATTAAAAAAATAATATGTTTTTAGCGGCAACATTAGCAATACGCGGGAAACTAATCTGTATTAAGATATTATTATCTGATTGCAAAACAGTGACCAACTTAATTAATGTATATAATATACATATATATATATATATATATATACTAAATACTTCTTTTTTAATATCATGATATAGTTTGTGGTCTTCTGATTTGCAAGTAGAGAAGCTTCTGACCAAACTGCAAATACAGCTATTTCATATATGGAGAACTTACAATGGATCAAGGGAATAGTAAACCATGAAGAACTCTTAGTGGATTTTGCATCATAATCTAAAACCCTTTGGACCAAAAAAACGCAAAAAGTAAACAAAAGATTAATCTTTCGATCCCACTGTGTTGTTTCAGCTCCTGAGTCATAAAATCAAATTAACAGGCAGTGTCTCGATATTAGGTTCATACACCTCTTGCATAGCTCCATGTATCTCTTTTGTTACTTTCAAAGTAGGAACTTGATGCGAGAATCTGAGCAGTTCGGATTTCAGGATTGTGAATCTCACATCGACGCCATCAATCCAGTGTTCTGTAGCAGCCAAATATACTGAACTAGAACCTGCACGGTCAGCTAACTTAAAGCCACCATCAGGTGCCAACAGCAAAACCTTGTATTCATCTTTGTCATCAAGAACTTCAACAAGATCATAAGTCTGGGATTGAAGATCAGAGACCTCAATGTCAGTACTCCAGTTTCTGTAGATAGCCCAGATATCACCACTCTTTGGCATGATACTGTAATTATTTCCATCCCCGGATGAGTCTGGACTTATCTGACGTGAAAATACATCAAGATCGGTGAATATTTCGAGAGATTTTGTTGCTCGGAAGTTCCCACAGCCGATGGGCATGCTCTTGTCAATCCACTGGAGGTTGCCTTTGATTGAAATAGCTTTCAGCCGACCAACATGCAATTTAACTACCGGATCCTGCTCAAATGCCTGGATAAATGTGATTTTCTGAATCTTGCCATAGTACCGGGGCAAGTTATCCTCACCACTGCAAAATGACCAGATTTGGCCAGTTTGAAATGTCCTTCCCTTACTAGCAAAGTGCACGCTTTGCGAATGTGTACTATTCTCGGAGGTTGAGTCTGTAGGCTCTGGTAGTAGATGCAAAGGGACGTCTATCTCTTTGATATTTGCTGGTAAAGCAGCGGGATCCAGCTCATAAGCACCTTGAGGCACACCTTCTGCTTCTTTTCCAGTCGTCTTAAATGATGGAACACAGTGAGAGAATTGATATTCATAGTGACGACAAATGTAAGTCGGAACAATGTCCTTGGTAAAGCGACAGAACAAGCTTAAAAAGCCTTTTGCTTTATGAAGGAATCCAGTAGATGGTTCACTTAGGTCAGTAGACTCTGACACAATTTCGGCAAATGCATACTGATATTTATTGGAAGAACTGGGATCAGCTAACCAGTTTATGTCCCGGTAGTTGTAAGGAGTCTTGCACTGACCCTTAAAGAAAGCCCATGTCTCTCCTTTTCTTGGGTATACATTGAAATTACCTGCGCCATTTCCTTCATTGCAATGAACCACGTGAGAGAACCTTGTGTGATCTTTTATAGTCTCATATTTCCCAAGTTTAAACCTACCAACAGAAACAGGCAAGTCTTTTTCATACCTCTGTATTGGTTCCTCATCATATGGATCAGGCTCAAGCCATGTGACACTAACATCAAAACCAGGAACCGAAACTTTTCTGATCTGAGCATACAATCTAGGCATCCCATCCACTGTATCATAAAGAGCCCAGATCTGACCAACTGTAAAATTGCTTTCTTCCCTCAGCTTATCAAAGTCATTAAAACTTAAAACCTGTTTTGCTCGTTCAGGTTCTTCTCCTGCTTCTTCCTTCTCCAAAGACCTGTTACCATCCATGTTGCTTTGTAGATCAAAAGCCTGTCGCTTGCTAAACACAGACCTCTGAGACTGCTCTCCTCCACCAAAACCAAGATCTTTTATAGCTGTAGTGTCACCAACTATAATAACGTCTTCATGATCGCTGCTGTTTCGACTTTCTCCTTCTCTTCTCACCAATCCTTCCCTCTTTCTCTTCTCACCAGTGTTTGCGGCAGAAGAGAATGTCTGAGGAACAGACTTTTCCATCACAGTTTTACCCTTAAGTGGCTCCTCCAATATGATGTCAACTCGATCAGGGTCAGTCCTTTTCATCAACAACAACGAACAAATAAAGCAGTCAAAACCAAGGAAACTTCAAAATAAGTTGCACAAGACTAACTGCTCTAAGCATTAATTCCTCGCTCATATGTTCAAACATCAACGAAGATAAAATAAAAAAGAGGGAAAACTTTCAAAAATCCTAGACGAAATTTTCCAAAATCGGATGGAGCAACAAAGAATCCTTTTTAAAAACCCCATTTTTAATCATAGTTAGAAACACGTTTGAATAAAAAGAAGTTAAAAAAAATACCTAAAACCCCTCCAAATCCCTAGATATGTATCATGATAGAGAGAAGAGTACCCATATTGTCAAACAGTAAGACAGATACAGCGAGTTTAGTCGGGTAAACAAAAAATAAAGGGAACAAAGCCAAGCAGGGAGCTTACTCTGTTTAAGAAGCCGACGTCGGAGAGAATTGTGGTCCGGTGAAGGTTACGTCGTCTCTACAGGAGAGAGAGAGAGAGAGAGAGAGAGAGAGAGAGAGAACGAACTCAAATCGAAAACTCTTTTTCACTTTACTCTGCCAAATTTACCCTCTTCCCTTTACACGGCGGTAAAAAGCTCTATTGCTTACTAATTTTGGCGGGAAAGTGTTTCGCCCAGAAGAGGATAAATGGGCTAAACGATCACATAGGCCCAAGAAGCCCAGCTAATCATTTTTAATTTCATACGCTATAGCTTCCCATTTTTTCAAATTCTTTTTTCAAAAATATAATAATTATCCTAAATTTGTCCGGTCTTCTTCCTTAGGGTTTGAATTTTGAATTGTCCATCTCCATTAGCTCTCTACCATTTTCCCCCCTCTGTTTCTCTCTCTTCCCAAATCCGTTCAGCAACGGCGATTCTCTTTAGAGCTTTGAGATTTCCGAATCGGATCTCAGGTGAGGTGAAGCTCCGACGATGAATCAGTATCACATCTACGAAGCCATTGGACATGGCAAATGCTCGGTAATTTAGAATCTGCTTTAGCATTTTACCCGAGATTTTTTGTTCGTCGAAGTGTTTCGTTTAGTAACTTTTTGTTCAAATCGGTTCGCAGACTGTGTATAAAGGAAGGAAGAAGAAGACGATCGAGTATTTTGCCTGTAAGAGTGTCGATAAGTCGCGGAAGAACAAGGTTCTGCAAGAGGTAATAATCAGGAGATCTGTCTCTTCCCTTGCCGAATTAGCGATTTAAGCTTGGATTACCTAAGTTTTTTCTACTTTGTGCTTAATTTGCTTGATTTGAAGGAGTTTAGCTCTGGGATTGTGACGGATTCACTCTAGATTTGTCAAATCGATGCTCTTAAGTTTCTATTTCTGTATAATGTTTGCGAATTGGAAAAGTCCGATTGATTTTTCCTGATCTCTGATTTTTGTAAGTTATTTGGGTAAGGATAAATTTGGTACTTATTCACTTCCTTTTCAGGTCAGGATCCTCCATTCGCTGAATCATCCAAATGTACTCAAGTTCTATGCTTGGTAAAACTTACTAACTAATATATAAACAATTATCTGAATCTCTATATTTTTATTTGCTTCTAATTATCGTCTTTTTAATGTCTCAGGTATGAAACTTCTGCTCACATGTGGTTAGTTCTGGAATATTGCGTTGGGGGTGATCTCAGGACGTTATTGCAGCAGGTACCGCTTGTAATTTGGCTATATTGTTGATTATATATATATGGCCACAGGTTATCTGAGAGTCACTTGTTCTGCAGGACTGTAAACTGCCGGAAGAATCAATCTATGGTCTTGCCTATGATCTTGTCATAGCCCTGCTGTAAGATCATTTTTTAAAACCATTTTGCCACGAATTCTAGGTGCATCTGAATAATGTTTTCTCTCATGGACATTTTTTGCCTGAATTTCTCAGATATTTACATTCCAAGGGAATTATATATTGTGATCTGAAACCATCAAACATCTTACTCGATGAAAACGGACATATTAAGGTACGTCTGTTGCTGTGTTTTCTATGCAGGTGTCTAGTTTGTGATGATAGTTTATTTCGTTTTACTGATCTCATATCACTGTCTTGCAGCTATGTGATTTTGGATTGTCAAGGAAGCTAGATGATATTTCTAAATCTCCTTCCACGGTAAACAATTTTGTCCGTCTTTTTTTCTATATAAGCTTTACAGTAATAGTGAATCTATGATCTTAAATGTCACCGGAAACTGCATGTCATTGATACTTATATCTCTTGTGAAATCATTTGCATCAGGGAAAACGTGGTACTCCATATTATATGGCTCCAGAACTATATGAAGATGGGGGGATCCATTCTTTTGCATCTGATTTATGGGCACTTGGCTGTGTGCTATATGAATGTTACACAGGAAGGCCTCCTTTTGTGGCAAGAGAGTTTACCCAGCTTGTGAAATCTATTCATTCAGATCCAACTCCTCCACTCCCTGGAAATGCAAGCCGTTCATTTGTCAATCTCATTGAGTCTCTTCTTATCAAAGACCCAGCTCAAAGAATACAATGGGCAGACCTCTGTGGTCATGCCTTTTGGAAAAGTAAGATAAATTTGATTCAGTTGCCTACTCAGCCTGCTTTTAATGATATGATTGGCATATACACCAAGCCATGCCTTTCCGAGCGTAACGGAGACAGACCAAATAAGACCCCTCCAAAGTATCGGGAAAAGGATCCAAAAGGGGGTACAAAGCAAAATGAGAACTCCAATCAAGGTTCAAAAGGCCATGAGACGCCGCTAAAGGGAACACCTGGTGGTTCTAAAGCTCAAACAAAGCTTCCTAGTAAAATAAATGAGGAAAAGCTTGGAGGTCGTCCTGGTGCTAACAGACAGGTGAATATTTTAAGATTGTCAAGGATAGCAAAGGCAAATCTCCAAAAGGAAAATGAGAAGGAAAACTATAGGAGACCCTTACCTAATAGTAACGAGAATTGTGCTGAAGTGAAGATTGAGAACACTGATATGGAACTTGATTTTGATGAAAACAATGACGATGAGGGACCTGATGAATCAGAACGAACCGAGAACGCCTTGTGTGCACAAGATGAAAGAGTTATGAGCCAAAATGAGAGTCACAGAAGACAAGGAGTTATAAGCAGTAATGTGCAAGATGAAATACCAACCTCAGTTGAAGCAAGAGATTGCCATGAAGAGCAGTCAGAGCCAATGGACGTGTCAGCTGCGCCACCTAGTGCTAGTCCTCTACTTAAAACTCACCGGGGAAGAGAAGTTTCTGGGGTTGCTGTTAATCATGACTCATCTAAAACACCTACTAGCCTCACTGACGTCCTTTGGCATTTATCTGATCTTTCTGTTAGGCCTGTTATGCCCAGCAGAAAATCTGACAAAGAAGCTGTGCCTTCTCTCTCATTCGAAACACCACAGCCTTCTGATTTTGGTAAGATGGGAAAGCAAGAATTAGAACCGCTTAACCATAAGATCATAACAGTTCTAAGTGGGAGCAGTTCTGGCCTGTCAGAAAAACAGAATTTGATCAGATACCTCGAAAAACTGAGTAGCAATGCGGATGCAGCCAACATCCTGACTAATGGGCCAATAATGCTTGTTCTTGTTAAAGTTCTGAGATTATCCAAGACCCCAGCGTTTCGTGTACAAATTGCTTCACTAATTGGTTTGTTAATTCGGCATTCTACTTCAATCGAAGATGACTTGGCAAATTCTGGTATTTTAGACTCTCTTACTAATGGCCTCAGAGACAAGCATGAAAAAGTTAGAAGATTCTCTATGGCAGCTCTAGGTGAATTGCTATTCTATATCTCAACTCAAAATGAGCATAAGGATTTCAAACCAACAGAATCCCCTTCAAAAGAAATCCGGTCTGCGTCGGGTTGGCAGGTCAGCATCTCTGAATTATTACTCTTATATGGTGGATCATTTGTCTTTCAATGTTTCCGGTGTATTTCTAATGGACCAAAAGTCCATTACCAAATTTAAATGGTCTATGACTCTATGTTACCATTTTTCATAGCTAAACAGATTTTTATTTTCTTGAACCAGGTTTCAAATGCCTTGATTTCTCTTGTGTCATCTGTCTTACGAAAAGGAGAAGATGACCTGACGCAGCTCTATGCGTTAAGGACGATAGAAAACATCTGCAGTCAAGGAGCTTATTGGGCTACTCGTTTCTCCAGCCAAGATTTAATTAGTAACCTCTGCTATATCTACAGGGCAACTGGGAAACAGGAAAGCATGAGGCAGACTGCTGGATCATGTTTAGTCCGTCTTGCTCGCTTTAACCCTCCTTGCATCCAGACGGTCGTGGAAAAGCTTTCATTGAAGGAAATAGCTTCATCTTTTGTCAAAGGCAGCGCAAGAGAACAGCAAGTCTGCTTAAATCTTCTGAACATGGCTATGATTGGAAGTCATACATTCACAAGCTTTGGAAGGCATCTCGTGACATTGACAGAGGAGAAAAATCTTTTTCCTAGTTTACTCTCCATCATAGAGCAAGGAACAGAAGTTCTGAGGGGAAAAGCTCTTCTCTTTGTTGCATTTCTCTGCAAAAACAGTAGGCGTTGGCTGACAAATTTCTTCTGCAATGCCAGATTTCTCCCTGTGGTGGACAGATTAGCTAAAGAAAAAGACATTTATGTGCAACAATGTCTTGAGGCATTTGTGAATGTAATCGCCTCCATCATACCGGGGTTGCTGGATACAATAACCAGTGATATCCAACAACTGATGACAGGAAGACGCCATGGACCGGTCTCTCCCCTTAACAGTCGAGCTCCTTTAAAGACCAATGCACACTTGTTCCCTGTGGTTCTTCATCTTCTCGGAAGCTCTTCGTTTAAGAACAAGATGGTAACTTCACAAGTCCTAAGGCAGTTGGCAAATCTTACAAAACTTGTGGAAGCATCATTTCAGGTCAGTATTTGTAGCTTTGCCATCCCTTTTAGATAACTCTTTTAGCTCAAACGAAATGCTCTGTTATTAAATTTAACACTAATGTGATTGGTCAATTGCTCGTCAGCGTTTGAATTCCTTGCCTTCATTATGATGGGATTATTATATGGTTAGTAGTGCTACTCATATGATGGGAATAAGATTTTCATACAGCTAATTCCGGAAACTTCCAACTAAATTACTTTCTTTCCTCTGTTCACTATAGATATACTGTATGTTTAAAATGCTGTAAAGTTTGTAGATACTTATCTCCTCTTTTTTCTAATATATAGATTGTTTAAGTTGCTAAATGCTTTATAGATACTCATCTCTTCTTTTCACTGTCAGATGGTTTAAGATGCTAAAAGCTATATTCATTAGTTGATCATAAAATAATCCTCACGAGTTGGTAACAATTTGCAGGGAAGAGATGACTTCCGTATAACCCTTCTTCAAGTTCTAGAATGCATAGCAGAAGATGCTCCTCTGGTTACACAAAATGCTGAGATTATTATCCGTGAGATTCTCCCGTCTCTGGCTGGAATCTACAATGGGAACAAAGACGGCGATGCTCGGTTTCTCTGTTTGAAGATCTGGTTTGATTCAATGACAATTCTCTTAACCGAGTGCACTGAAATCGAGAAACAAACATCTGAGGATTTGAAGTCAGTATCCAACTCTCATTTCCTCCCTCTCTACCCTGCATTGATCCAAGACGAAGATCCAATCCCAGCTTATGCACAAAAGCTCCTCGTCATGCTCGTTGAGTTTGACTACATCAAAATCTCCAACTTATTGCATCATAATACAGTTTTACAATGCTTTGAGTTTCTTCTTGGAGACTTATCAAGCGCGAATGTGAACAACGTCAAGCTCTGTCTTGCCCTAGCCTCAGCCCCAGAGATGGAAACTAAACTGCTCTCTCAGCTCAAAGTAGTGAGGAGAATAGGAAATCTGTTGGAATTCGTGAATGCTAAAGACATGGAAGATTTTCTTGAACCCACTTTAAGTCTCTGCAGAGCTTTTCTGCTACGGTCACTTGGGAACAAGAAAGGTCTCAGCTCCAACTACACGAAAGAGCCAACACTTTTATCAGAGACATCTTTTACATTCGAGGTCGATCCACAGGAATGTATAAGAGATATTGCTGATTTCGGCAGCAACATTGGCCTATTCTTGCACTTAGCGGCTTTAGATGATGACTCAAGCATCGAAGTTGCAGATGTTGCCTCTGAATGTGTTGTGTTGCTACTTAAAGCGGCTTCGAGAGAAGCCACAACTGGATTTTTAACCAATCTTCCTAAGATCACACCGATTCTTGACTCGTGGCACAGGAAGAAGGGCACGGAGCGACACTCGTTGATTCTGAAAAGGATCTTGCATTGTTTGGGATACGCTTGCAAGCAATATCTATCGCAGGCGATGATTTTGTCGATATCAGGACACGATGTCACTAAGATCAACGCCATAGTCTCTGAGATGAAGAACTCAGATGTGGCTGGTCTTAATAGCGTCGCTTCCCTCGTGGCCATGGAGTTGCAAAGATTGCCTCGTTAAACAAAGGTAACAGTTAAATGATAGTTAATTTTTGTTTTAAATCATTGGTAAGTCTTTCTACATGCTCTGAATCTGGTGTTGTTAAACCAGGGATTAACGACAATAACGTTGAGCTGTAGATGTTCAGTATGATGTACCGAGGTAAACAAACTCAAAAACCATGTGACATTGAGAAACAAGATCTGTTAGTCTCGTTGTAATGTATATTTTTCTCATTTACAATTTTTGTACCACTACAAACTAGTTCAGATTAATATAAGCAACTCTGAATTCTCGAAACTAGTGCATGGTTAATTCAGATTAGACTACTAGTCTGGTAATTACAAAAGATGAAAAAACATACATGCTGATCTTAAAAAGAAAGAGAGAAGTTGCGTTGAGTAAATCCTAGGAGGGTCGTATTCTTAGATGCTGTTGCTTTAATTATTAGAGTACGACTTTTCTGTGTTGATAGCAAAAAATAGTTCAATTATAATATCATGATGTCTGTGTTCTTTTTTTTATATAAAAAAAAACTAAAAAACTAAAAAACTAAAAAGGAATCACAATCAATCCTTGTGGAAAGCCCTTAGCTTTTTTTCAAAAAGAAAACTCTCAAGTCTTCAATTATATCTTCCAAAACCAAATACATGAACCATGAAAATCTCGACATGTGGTTAACGAAAAGAAACCACTTCCCTTGCCACTGAACTGAACCAACTCCAATATTATTGAGTTTCCAACTCAAATGCAGAAATGCTCTTTAGACAATTTAAACTGCACCACTATGGAACTTTACAATTCCTTTTGTGTAACTGTAAGAAGAATCCAGTATACTATGTATTCTCTATAGATCATTCTGTATGTAAAGTAATAGCTATGTTCATTGTATGTAAGTTAGTTAATTTATAAACAAAAATATTGGGAATCTTTGTTCAAAAAAAAAAATATTGGGAATCTAGAAGCAAAACAAAAAAAAAGGAAATAGAAAGTATTCTACTATTGACTATCACATACACAGTGACACAGAGCAACCAAAACAAAACTGCATTCTATATAATTCATTACTATGAAAAAAAAAAACAGATGTGTATTGAAGTTGTGAACAAAAAAATAAAAGTAGCTGATTGGAAATTGAAAATTGATATGTTTGCAAACAAGGTCTTCTTCTCATTAGTCTTTTCCTCCCAAAAAAAATAATTATTATTATTTTAAAAAACAAAGAGTAAAAGCTTCTTTTATATAGAGAGAGAGACATCATCATTACAACTCAAATTGCACTCCGATCAGTAGATCGAGAAAGACACATCCAACCCAAAACCAAAAAAAAAAAGACACACTCAACTTTGATTTTTCTTCATCATTTAAACCAAAAAAAAAAGAAAAAAATGGCTTTCTCATTTCTCAAAACACTTCTCATCATAATCTTCATCTCACTCTCCTCTCCTTGTCTCTCTTCTAATTTTTTGCCATCTTCTCCGACCATCTCTCCCTTCCAACAGCTTTCTCCGGAGATTGCCCCTCTCCTCCCTTCCCCCGGTGACTCTCTTCCTTCTGACGACGGCGGCGGCACTATCCCCTCTTCACCAAGCCCTCCTGATCCCCACACTGATGACGGCTCCTTCCCTGACCCTTTGGCCTTTGCTCCCTTCGCTTCTCCGCCGGTTTCTTCTCCTGCTTCTCAGTCGTCTCATCCTCCCCTTGGAGTTTTTTTACTCCTCACCGTTATCCTTTCCTCCGCCTTAGTGGCGTCGTAACACTACTATAGAGTTCACTTCACTTTTATATATACATTAACGAACGTTTTGGTTTCCACGTGTTTGTCCAAATGTATATCATTCTCCAATAATTTCAAATATTGTTAATTCTTCGTCATTAAGCTCATAACAATATGGTGTTAGACCATCCATATTGGCATATTATTTTGCTTATTTCTTTTTATTTGACCCTCTTTGTCAATGTGGGTCGATGTTAATCATTTCTATTTATATAATCATTTGCATGTATTTATAACAACGATAACATATATTATTTGATCCCAACTTCACAATGTGTTAACGTGTTTTGTGAAATCAACCAGTTGATGGACAAAATTTTCATATCAAAATCATGGTTGTTTTTTTATTTTACATGCATTTTTATGATTGTTATGAACTATTAACATTGACCTATATAAAATTAAATAATTTGTGTTAAAGTAGGAGAATCTTATTATGTTTAGGTGAACTTCATTTGTCTGTTTCTGCGCTCTGTTTGCTTTTCTATGATAAAGGACCTTTTGAAAAAGTTTAAAATCATGTTTTAAAATCGATGCTTTACGGATTTGAATACCTAACGACGATTTGATGAGTATGCATAAACTATATTAATTAAAAGAAAATATGATGTTGTTCATATAGTAACTTCTTTTAAGAAAAAAAAATGAGAATCATCTCTTTTGTTACATACTACTTATATGAAGATATGCATACTACTTTATACGATTCACATGAAATAAATAAAATATGGGATATGTAGCTTGATGATAATTGGTAAAGACTTGAAAAAAAAACTTTCATTTTCCTCATTCCAAATTGCTAAATGGGACTTAAGAGTATGCATGTGACTATGTGAGTAGCTCCCGAGTCCTGACGATGCCAAAGCATAAAGTTTCCTTTATCTTGTCTCATACTTTTAGTTACTTTTAAATTTTCGTAATAGTTTGTTGTCAAATCACACTATACTATTAATTCGATATATGTATATGTATATATATGACTTTATAATTTAAGGATTGTGCGTGACAGATTGTATAATCACTACAATGTTGTGTTGGTGCCCACTTTAGTTTGTCCTTAGTGGGAGCAACATGAAGCTCTATATCAATATATATATCAAAGGATGAAACCCATACTCGATAAAACTTTATAATTCTTTATTTAAAACAGATCTCTTAAAAAAACAAACACATTTTATCATTTTGAATCTGTATATATATATATATATATATATATATATATCTTATTATATAACACACAGGATGTTGTTGAAACATGTTATGAATTCATGTTTTCAGTTAATTTCAACATGCATAATCAATCATCAAAATGAAAGAATTAACAAAGTGTTGCATGGGAAACATCGCTACATGAATACGGCTTAGACAAACACACACACACACTGAGTTTCTTGTTGTTGTTGCAACAAACACACTTAACCGATAACTAACCAAGCTATAAACGAAGTCCAGTTCACGTAACTCCTAGGTTTTACCTTTTTTTAACTCAGCATTGTACTCAACAAGGCAACAAATATCTGATGCTGGCCACATATCAACCCTTCACCCAGGAGGCCCATGCGCAGGCCTGTTCTTTTTTTCTTTTTCTTTGTGTGTAAAACTCAGGCCTGTTCTAAAAACCCATAAATTAAAGCGGTTTTAAGAACTTGGGCCACACCAAATCTAAACTGGTGAAAATAAGATAAAAAAAAGTTTCAGAAAATCAGTAGTCAACAACACTCATGACATTGTTATGGAGTATGAGATAAACGGGGAGGATGGACAGATGCGGTTGAAACTAAGAGACGTGAACGAGAGACCATAGTCGGTTGAAAGAGATGTTACCTGTTATAAACATATACTAACCGATTATAAAACTGAAACTGTAATCGTCGACACAACAGCAAATGTAATTAACTAGACTAAACATAAACATTATACAGTAGTATTGCGTAAAATATCTCATCAATAATAGTTTAAAGCTAAATAAACCATGCGTGGAAGTAGTGTGCTTGGAAGATGACAGGATCTTATAAAGTAATTGAACTAAAAAGCACTTCGTACTTATCTACTACTTACATATTTTTGTATACTATCGGAAAACTATGTACTGGTAATACATACTAGTTAGTAGTTCCCTTTGGTCTATTTTGTCAACAAAATAGTTAGGTTTGGCTTTAAAAGAAGAAGAAAGGGACAAAACCCACAAAGGCAAATGCGACATTTAATATTAAAGTACCCACTTTTGGGTTAACCCAATCATTCGATTGACACACTCACACAAACAAAAAAATATACGAAGCAAAGGAAGGATGCCAACCTACGCTACTAAACCCACCCAATGTTTTCTCTATACGACAAATAAATTTTATCTATGGTTAAATGAATCTGTATACACAGATTACAAATACATTTGCACGTCGTTATATACATACGTTGATTCATTAAGAGTTAAGACATATGGTAGCATCCCTTCAAAAGTCAAAGTCCACGGGGGTGATAATATAACTTAAAATCCCTCAATATATTGATATGACTTTTTCTCATACACGTACACGTTATTATCTATTGATCAAATCTGGTTGTATACTATACCATTTTGTAAGAAAATTGTCTTCTCTATTGATCGAATTGAAAGTCGTATTGCTTGCTCCTCAAAAGGTCGAAGAAGGAAAACGTGGAAGGTAATAAATAAACAACTAGGAAGGGGACCAAGAATTCCATAGGCATGGGCAAGGGCTACTACTACTACTACAACATTTAGCAGCGATGGTTAGATATTTCTTAGTGGACCTCGTAAGAGCAAGATTATCAATGGTATCTAACATTTTAATCTTAGAGTTAGTTTAATAATAAATTTGAAAAAGTAAGAGTTAAGAGTTGTATTTGTGTTTTTAGTTTTGAAACATTTTTATTGCTAGTATATTAGGTTAAGGATCTTAGGAAAAGAAAAATTATATAAAAATTAAATTAAATTAAAATTTATAATTTGAAAAAACTTTAGAATTATTGAAAAATTTTAAATTAAAAACATACATAAGATAAAATTAAGGAAAGAAAGAAAGAAGAGAAAAAATAAGAAAATTGATTTTTCCTCTTACTTATCCTAGAGAATTTTTGATGAATGTTCCTTTTAGTGTATCGCTTTTTAAAAATACCCTTCTTTTCTATCCATTTTTAAAAATACCCCTTTTCAAATATGAAAAATTATAAACTTTTATATGGTTGATAAAGTACATCAAGATCATCATTACTACGGGAAAACTAAATCCAAATTATTATAAGGTTTTAAAAGGTTATAAACGACATTTATAAGGTTTTACAAGGTTTTTAAAAGGTTTACAAAGTTTTTATAAGGTTTTTAAATAATTTTTAAAAGTTTTTTAAAATGTATTTATGCGGTATTTTAAATTTACACATATATAAAGATAATTTGTTTCTATAAATATAAATTTCAAATTTTATAGTGACTTTTTAATAAAATTAGAAATAAATATATATATATTTATCCTACTACCCAATAGAATCATGGCACGTGTACGCTTCTTAGCACACTATTTAGATCTTAAATAAGATAACTTCTTAGTCATTTTGATGTATTTTTGATTTAATTAAATCACAAATAATCCTAAGAATTGTCTAAGATCTTGCCTATAATGTTGGTCTAAGTACCTTTTGTATTAACTGTTTTTTTTTTATATAGCCCACATGAGTTGTTTTTTGATAATAATAAAAATATATATGTATTATTTATTTTGAATACAACAATATATGATTCACCTTCCTTGTTATGTACCTGATTGATATTTTTATAGGATAAGATTAAATATATATATATATATATATGCATTGAATTGATATGAATCTGAATTATGTTTTCTTTTCTAAAATAATACTTATGTGATTATATGAATAAACTTGAGTCAACAAGAAGATTATACCAATTAATAATGATTTTGAAATTTGATTATTGTTTTTGGCTTTTAAAAACAATGGAATCTTATCCAACCCACCAATTTTTCTCAGCCACCATTGGTTTTTATTAAATTTCTTAACAACCATAATTGTATTTTTCCTAATGGTATTGGTAGCCTTAATATTTAACTCAAATAATATATTGTCATTATTTCTATAATTTTGCTTTTGTTCGGAACAAATTAAAATCAATTTTGATGCATAAAGGTTGTCGGGATGTAACAAAAGTGTATATAAACATTTGTTTCTGTCATTTTATGGAATTACAGAAACAAGAATATATTTTTAAGGATAACCCAATCAACATATATCTAAATTTTTCTCTTTATAAAAAAAATTATAATTCCAAATAAGCTATAAGTTTTTTTTTCTTTCTTCTTGCTTTTTATAATGTACCTTTTTTGCCGACTGGTATAATAATAATTTACACACACTGTATTTATAAGAACCAACAAATTTTTATTTTTGATAGAAGTAATAAAGCAGAGAGACGAAGCTCTCTCTCTCTCTCTCAATAATTGTTTGAAACCAATCTACTTCGTTCCTCTCAACAACACCACCACCACTTCTTCTTTCTTCTTCTTCCACCTAAAACCCCAAATCATCATCACCATCACCGATCCATCTCTTTTAAAAACCCACCCTTTAAGTATTCCCAGAAGTCGCATGACCTTACGTAGCTTAATCCTTGAGATGCGTTCCAGGCCGCATCGTGTGGTCCACGATCTTGCCGCAGCTGCAGCAGCCGATTCAACAGCTCCTGGTTCTTCGCAAGATCACCGCTGGTCAGAGATCCCTGATGAGCTTTTAAGGGAGATTCTGATTCGGGTTGAGGCTGCGGACGGTGGCGAATGGCCTTCACGACGCAGCGTGGTCGCTTGCGCCGGCGTTTGCCGTGGCTGGCGACAACTTATGAACGAAACCGTCGCTGTCCCTCAGATCTCTTCTAAGTTGACTTTCCCAATCTCTCTCAAGCAGGTCATTAAGTTTGATTGAATTAAGACATAAAGTTTCGATTTTTAACTTTGTTGACCATTTTGGAATTATCGACGACAAAATTGGAAAACTGAGTCTGACGTTAGGATTGTGGAAGTTGTGTGAATCAGAGCTTCCACTTTCTCAAGTAAAATATGAGAATTCGGCAAACGCTGGTCTCTGGGTTTGCGTTTTGTATTTGCTCTCAAAATGCTGAGTGGCTCCTAAATTATGATCATTAAACCAAAGATATATGAGATTGTGTCTGTTTGATTCTTGTGTAGTTTTATTGAAATGTTGTTTAATCGAAGAGGCTAAAAAAAGTTTGTTCCTTTGTTGTTGTGTGTCTTTCTATTGCAGCCTGGTCCAAGGGATTCTCTGGTCCAATGCTTCATCAAACGTAATCGTATTACACAATCGTATCATCTGTATCTTGGATTAACCAACTGTGAGCAATACAACTATCTGTTGGAGTTTGTTTTTCTTTTCTCGTTTCTTGGTTCTGCAATTTTTAGGTTGACAATCTTTCTTCGTCTGCACAGCTTTAACGGATGATGGTAAGTTTCTGCTTGCTGCGAGTAAGTTGAAGCACACAACTTGCACTGATTACATTATCTCTTTGCGTTCTGATGATATGTCCAGGAGAAGTCAAGCGTATGTTGGTAAAGTGAGGTGCGTATATATGATCAAACCGTCTTAAAATCATTAATTTGACACTTTGGTTACTGATTTTAAACCTATTGGAATTCTAAATTGTGTGAGAGAGGATTCAAATTTTCAATATTGAGTAAGAGTCTTATTGTATTGTTAGCATTTTGAGATTGACATATTACTTAACATGATCTAGTAAACTAAATGAAGGTCCACTAGAGAGGTGCTTTGCCTGTTGATATAAAAGCTCTTGTTTATATTTTCCTATCTCTATCTACACTCTTGTTGATATTTTGCTCTTTCTAAACTTGTGGTAGATCGAACTTCCTAGGAACGAAATTCACTGTCTTTGACGGGAATTTGCTGCCGTCAACAGGAGCCACAAAGTTGAGAAAGAGCCGATCTTTTAATCCTGCAAAAGTTTCATCAAAAGTTCCTCTTGGAAGTTATCCTGTAGCTCATATCACATATGAGCTGAATGTCTTAGGATCCAGGTAATGATTTGTTTCAAATTTAACTTTCCAATTAGAAAACATCGTCGTCTCAGCTTAGTTACTTTTCTTGGAAAATTTTCTTAACGTTTCCTTGGTCTCTGGTAGATTAGTCGTAGTTTTAAAATTCAAAAACAGCGATTCTTGAGAAGAGTTGCTGAAAACGATATAGAAGTTTCCCTTTTTGAATTTTCCAAATTTTGAAATATAGAAACTGAACAGTATCCACTGTGGTTTGATGTGGTTAGGGTGCAAATTCAGTTTTTAGCGTGCATATTTTTGCTTTCTGGAAGGATTTTAAAAAGAATTCAAGGTTTTAATCAGTTAATTTGCATGATGTATCTTTAGTTCCGAACTTCTGATTTGTTTTGGTTAAACCCGATTGACCATTTTTGATAGTCAAATCTGATTTGTAATCTCTTGATGGCACTGATAGGGGACCTAGAAAGATGCAATGTGTAATGGACACAATACCTACAAGTGTAATGGAGTCCCAAGGAGTAGCTTCAGAACCATCAGAGTTTCCCTTCCTCGGTACTCGGTCAACTTTCTCTAGGACTCAATCAAAACCATTGCGGAGCAGCTCTAGCCACCTGAAAGAAACTCCATTAGTGTTGAGTAACAAGACGCCACGGTGGCACGAGCAACTTCGTTGTTGGTGTTTGAATTTCCATGGCCGTGTCACAGTGGCTTCAGTGAAAAACTTTCAGCTGGTGGCGGCAGCAGCTACCAATGGCAGTGGCGGTGGCATGGGGTCTTCCCCGGAGAGGCAGAACGAGCGGATAATACTGCAGTTTGGGAAAGTCGGGAAAGATATGTTCACGATGGATTATGGATATCCTATCTCAGCTTTCCAGGCTTTTGCCATTTGCTTGAGCAGCTTTGAGACTAGAATCGCTTGTGAATAATTTGTGAAACTTTTTCAGAGGCATCACTGTATTTATCTTTTAAAGAGCATTTTGTAGCATTTTGTAAATTGTGATCTTTTAAAAGAACATTTGCGATCTTGTATTTGATAATGTTACAGTTCCTTGTGTTTTGTAGCATCTTGTGAATTGTTATCTTGTATTTAGTAGTGAATTACAGTTCATTTACTTGTGAATTGTAAGCTTCAGGACATTAAGTTTTGTGTGAAGAAGACATGGTGGCAAATAATTTTACAGTAAGGACAAAATCTATATAAATGCTAAAACAACATGAGACTATTCTTTTATTTACATATTGCATCTTCATCAAGCGGCTTGCAAACTAGGTGCACCAGTACCCGAACCTATGTTCACTGTGTTGGTTTCAACCTCTGCTGCTTGATCGTCTGAGGACAACTCGAATTGGCTCAGGTTCCGGACAAAGACTGTGAAATCATGGAAATGCTCTGGGGAGAAGAAAAGGGCTCCCATTCTCTGGTAAGTGAACAGATCAATTCCTGCATTCTCATCCTTCAGATTCTCAACGATTCTCTCGAACCCACCAGGAGCCGGGGCGGATGAGTTTTGCCCTGAAACAACCACTCCTTGTTTCTTGCAGGATGTTTTGAGGTGGGCGAGTAATGACTCGGGGCTCGAGAGAGGTGACTGATGCTCGTCGGATAGATCCATTCCCGGTATTATCATTCTACAAGAGTTCTTTGCGAAGATCTCTGTGATGGCTTCGTACCTGTCTTGACCATTAGGGCTGTAGAATCCAGCTGTTAACTCAGAAGGCTGAGATCTTAGCTTGTTCCATTGGTGTAGGAGAGGTAGCTTCCCACATAGAGGCACTCCAATCCCGCTAAATGCAGATGAAGCAACAGAGAGGACACGGTCTGCATGGGAGGTGAGAAGAGACGAGTACCAAGACAAGAAGAATTCACCGTACTGAGTTTCCCAGGACCCGCCATCTGAGAAGAAGGCAGAGGAATGAGGCTGTTGATCATAAGCAGGAGCATCATGTGGACCACCAAGTCCCCATAGAGGGTTTCCTGAGGATTCGGCGTAGCTTTTGAGAGCGGAGAGCATGTGTTTGTCATAACACTGGAATTCTCCTGCGCCAGAGCGCTTGGCATCGTGTTGGTGAGAAGGGTATCTTAGCTCACCATCTGGTCCCAAACCTAATGTGATTCCCTGCAAAACAATGAGCAAAAAATCAGGAACTAAAACCAGAGTAGACGAATCCAGAACATAAGAGCAAAACAAAGAAGATATAGTACCGTGATAGTGTTGCCCATATAATCTGAGAAAACAGTCTTGAAGCTCTCACAGAAACCTCTGTAAACCTCCATAGGTGTCTTACCATCAAGAACAGGAACATCATCAACTGCAAACGACAAACAATCTTTGTACTGTTGTCCATATCTGTCTGTAAAATAGACCCCTGGTACAGCTTCGCCGATCTCAGCCACCCAGTCAGGGAGACCAATATCCGTTTGTTTCGATCCGTGGAAAGAGAGCGAAGCGTGGAGCTTGAGTCCGACCTTCTTAACAATCTCTGCAACTGCCAAGTAGCCTGACCAATCATATTTCCCGGAAGCTTCTTTCTCAACGACTCCCCAGAAGATTGGTAACTCAATGCCTTCAACACCGAGTAGCTTCAAAGCTTTGAGCCCAGCAGTGATGGCTTTCAAGTGGTTCACATTGTTGCAGCCTGAAACTGTATCTAGTGGAAGCCCAACGAATAATTTTACGCTATCGAGCTGCAACAAAGACCAAAATTGATTCAGAATTGGATTTTAAATAAAGGAAAGATAAAAAAAAATCACCTCTAAACACTAAAATACAATCATTTCAATTTCTCCGATTTCTGCAGATTCCCCAAAGACAAATATGCAACTTGTTCAAATCAAAATTGGAATGACTACCTCATAACCTCACCTAAGCAAATTTGATAAAACAAATCACTGGATCTGAGTAAATCTGGAAAATTTTAAAGTTTTTTAAAAAAGAGAAGAGAAGAGGGTTAAAAAATTACCGATCTAGATTTAGGAGTGGAGTTAAGAAAAGGGACTCCATCGGAGACGATGGCTTCGCATTTGACAGATCTGGGAGAGCACCGGATGGAGAAATCCTTCAATCTCGAGCTTTGGCTCAAGAAAGTAACCTTATTTCTCGATTCGCCTGAGATTACAACGGACCCAAACCTGAATCCGAGCTCTTTGTAAGCTAATTCAGCTCCCCTGAAGATTCTCGTTTGAGAGTTGCCAATCACTGAAACTTCCATTTCTCAATATCAAAAGTTCAAAAACAACCAAAAGAATCGATACCACAAACCAAAAGACCCGAACTTGTAGCAGAAGATAGAAATGGATTACGATAAATCGCAAAAAACAAAGACGCGTTTTGACTCAAAAGAAAGAACTCACTTTTTTTTTTTTAGGTGTTGGTTGTTTCGGAGTTGTGGATTTCGTAAGGATTATATAAGAAAAAGAGAGAAAACGTTAATCTAGTGGATAAAACGGTGCCTATTTGGACATAACACGTGTCGTTACCACAATGCTCCCATACTTGTAGCCGCTTAAATATATTTTTTTCACTTTTGCTTCCATTTAATGACAATATTGCTGTATTTTAAATTTGACCACGAAAAATGAAACTATTAAGGAAAACAACACATACTATCATCCTTTTTTCGTGTTCAAACCTTTTTATAAAAAAGTTTATTTCTAGTGGATATCGCACAATGAATCATATAATAATGAAAATGCTTATATTTTTTAAGTCTCTTTCGACTGTTTTCACAATTTTTGAGTTACAGAAATATTTGAAATACTTGTACTTTTTATAGTTTCTAAATTGGTATAACCGGATGACGTAAACCAAACTAATCTATTATGGTACAATCAATTAGAAATATTCAAAATACTATAATTCAAGATACGACTATTCTCTCTTTTATTTTGGAGCAAACGGTACTATTTCTCTTAATCCTCCAATTTTGTGGTCAAAAACTGTGAACTTGTTTTATATTCGAGCCCATAAAAACATCGTATTGACAAGAGTTTTCATTTTATATAACTTCAAACGAATGGATCAAATATATCACCACCTAGTCTTTGCATTTGATATATATATAAAAATAAAAATAAACTTATTTCTCATCGTTTAAGGCGATCGAGAGTAGCGTACGGTGATAATAAGATCTCAGAAATATAAACCCTTTAACGAAAAAAATATCTCAGAAATATTCATTTTTATTACTATATCAATAATTTAAGGTGTAAGGTATACATATTAATGCCAAGTTGGTTTAGGTAGTTAGAGGATCGAGAGCATCGAATCTTATCCAAATTAACTGCATAGACCTATTATATCTTGGATTCGACAAGCAATAATATTATCCAGAACGTATTGATTGGTGATTAAATATATGTTTCTAAATGATTGCTTTGCAATAGTATGGTTGCCTTGGCTTGACCAGCTGGCCTACTAATACATCAAATATTCACGTTTTATTAACGAACAACATATATGGAAAAAACACAATCATATCGTATAAAATTGACGTTACGTTCAAAAGTGGAAACAGTAAGTGGATAACATTGTATTGTACCCGAGAAACTTGCGTGGTAATGAGAAACAACCACGTCATGTCAACTTGTCATCGACGAGGCTGTGACTTTCTTAAATTATTAGTAATAGGACTATTTTCACTGGCTCTGATTTTAATTTAACGTACAGTACACACTGGTTCAGACAAGTTGACACGTGTCGTAACATGGGAGGTTAAGAGAACCCATGCTGACTCAGGTCCATGCAAGTATGTTCCCCTTATTAGATTCTGTAGTACGGTGAAGCTCGCGACTATTGATTTGTTTATCCACCACATCCTCTCGATTCTTCTTTCTTTGTGGTTTTAAAGATTTTATCATGTATTTTTATTTTTAGTTTTAAAATAGGTAAAGTATAATATACGTACGTGTACAAGGCTACAAAGTTGTGGAGTTATACTAGTTATAATTGTTTTTTAGAGAGATCATTTGTGTATGAATTGATCTGAAATACCAAAGAAAAATACACCGTCGGTAATTACTTAGTCATTTTACTAGTTGCAGTAAACATATATAGCTGTTGTTATCCAAAATTGAAACTAACTCTGGTTGATTTTAAAACCCACATAGCAAAATCTCACATCATTAAAAACACCGTCTTCTATATTAGTCTAGCTAATAAAGTAAGAAAGCTAGAATAATTTCGGAAGACTTTGACATAACCAATAAAAGCATTTTTCGTAATAGGAAAAGCGCAATGAGAGGTGTCGTGGCATTTTATGTATCACTAGAAGTAACACACAGGAAATTGGCGTTTGGGAATCAACGAAAGGCCTTTAGGTCGTGTAAGGTAGGTTTGAGTTTGAACTTTGAAACATTTGGAACCAAGTAACAATTTCGTCCACTTGTATGCCACTTGACAATGACACTTGATCGATGCGTATACGATTTCTATTTTCTAAATCCTTATTAGTTTACATTTGTCATGATTGATTTTCACTGAAATATCTAAAAAAAACTATTTTTCTTTAATCAAAATCGCCCAAGCATAATCTTTACAAATTTAGGTTTCTTGAAATATCAATACGTATCCTAATTTGTCTACCCCTTAAAATCTCATTTTTGTCTTAAAAAATATTGTTATGTTCTAATCTATTTAAATTTCGATGAACAATCAAATTTTTGATCAACTGTTGTTTAAGAGCTCACTTTTTTGCATACATGGCAGCTCACATAAAATTTTCAGTTTTTTTTTTAAATATGATTATGTCGTAATATTTTGATGATGATTAATCACGACGGAATGCAATAACATGAAACATAAAACAAAAAGAAAATATGAAACCATATATCTTCGGAGTGGGTATTGTAACGGGAAGACTTGAAGTATTTAATGAAATGGGCTTTTTAGATATATAGACATAAGCCCAAATGTTTTTAAAACATTTGTATGTGTATTGTGTGTGCTCCCCACGTCTCCTATGAGGTTAAAGGTCAAATCATAGAGGTCCTAAGAAATTTATGTTTATGTCGATCTTCTGGCGTATGTGAATTGTGAAATATGAATGATAAACTGATTAGACTTGAACCCATGATTCGAGAGAAACATAATAAGGATACATTACTACAACATGTCAACATGCATGTCAACAAGTAATTGATTATACATTGACGGGAGAATATGTCGTAAGTCTCCGGACCATAAAAATAACATTTGCTATGAACACAACAAAACAACAACATATTAAAACTCGATATATATTCATAATTAAAACACGAAGTTGGCTATAGCTGATTCAAGTCCAACGAAAACCAATTTTAAAAACAAAAGTAGCAATCAAAAACTCAATAAAGACAGATCCTTCTCAGCTAACTTCATTTTATCTCTCATTCTCAACTCACCTCACCCTTATAAACTCATTCATCGCTCATCTTAAAAGGACACAATAAGAATATGGGTGGGATGTGTATGTCTTCGTGTTGTGGTGGTGGTGACGATGATGGTTCCAGTCTATTAACACACCTCGTCATAATTGTTGTTATCTGTCTCTCTGTCATGGCTGTCTGCACTTCCAACGAACGCCGTACAGCCGTTCGTGTCGTCCGGTGCCGTTGACCAACGTTTGATCGGTACAACAAAGTCATGCATCTATATATATCATCATGATCACATCTCTACAAATATATCTCTTTCGGATTCTCTTTGTATTTGTATGTGTCGGTTCTTGATTAGTGATGAATTAAACGTTGTACTGTATTTGGTTTTTGACTTTTTGTCTTTTCCTTTTTTACTAAATATATGGATCAGAATGATCAATCACATAATATCCTCCGAAATTTTTCAACATGTAAGAAAGTTTCGGGGTGAAAAAGAAATAACGTAAAATATATGGGGCTGATTTTGGAAATTATTTTTTATGTGTTTGAGGATGAAGATGAAGATCAAACGGGTTGATACAATGGCCTCACACTTCGTCTCTTGAGTAGTTTTTTAGTTTCCTTCGTTTTCTCGCACTTTCCTTCTCATTTTCCCGATCATCGAAGTAACATTGTACAGAGAATTTCAAATAATGTCACTTTGTTCTTCTTTCAACGTATTTGCTTCCTACTCACCAAAACCCAGAACCAGCTTCAAAAACTCCAATTTCGTTTCACAATTTCAGGTAAAGTCGTCTCCTTTAGCTTCAACATTCCAATTCCATGGGTCCTCAACGAGTCTTATGTTTAGTAGAGCGAGACTCAAACCAATTTCATCTCTAGACTCGGGCATTTCAGAAATCGCTACATCGTCTTCGTTCAGGAACAAAAGCCCTAAGGATGTAAACGTGTTAGTGGTTGGTTCAACTGGGTACATAGGTAGATTCGTAGTGAAAGAGCTGATCAAAAGAGGGTTCAATGTGATTGCTGTTGCGAGAGAGAAGAGTGGGATTCGAGGAAAAAACGACAAGGAAGAGACTTTGAAGCAATTACAAGGCGCCAATGTGTGTTTCTCGGATGTTACCGAGTTAGATGTTTTAGAAAAATCTGTTGAGAATCTTGGCTTTGGTATTGATGTTGTTGTGTCCTGTCTCGCTAGTCGTAATGGAGGGATTAAAGATTCGTGGAAGATTGATTACGAAGCTACCAAGAACAGTCTCTTGGCTGGGAAGAAGTTTGGTGCTAAGCATTTTGTTTTGCTCTCTGCGATTTGTGTGCAGAAGCCTTTACTGGAGTTTCAGAGAGCCAAACTAAAGTTTGAAGCCGAGTTGATGGATTTAGCGGAGAACAAAGATCCGAGCTTTTCTTACAGTATTGTGAGACCAACTGCTTTTTTTAAGAGCTTAGGTGGTCAAGTTGATATTGTGAAAGATGGGAAACCTTATGTGATGTTCGGAGATGGTAAGCTATGCGCTTGTAAACCGATCAGCGAACAGGATTTAGCAGCGTTTATAGCGGATTGCGTGTTGGAAGAGAACAAGATCAATCAGGTTTTGCCAATTGGTGGACCAGGGAAGGCGTTAACGCCGCTGGAGCAAGGAGAGATCCTGTTTAGGATTCTTGGCAGAGAGCCTAAGTTCTTGAAAGTACCTATCGAGATTATGGATTTTGTGATTGGGGTTCTTGATTTTATCGCAAAGATCTTTCCTTCGGTTGGAGAGGCTGCTGAGTTTGGAAAGATTGGGAGGTATTATGCCGCAGAGAGTATGTTGATTCTTGATCCAGAGACTGGAGAATATAGTGAGGAGAAGACACCAAGCTATGGGAAAGACACGCTTGAGGATTTCTTTAAGAAAGTGATCAGGGAAGGAATGGCGGGTCAAGAGCTCGGCGAACAGTTCTTCTAGTCGGAATTTTTTTATGCAAAGTGAGTTTGGCTGTGTAGTTTGTAAGTGATGAAAATATGAATATAAAATCTGTGAATTTGAGAGATTCGCTGATTCAACGACATTAGACAACAAACATTGCAGAGCATGTGCATTAGTGAAGGATCTTTCCCAAAGAGAAGTAAAGATATTGTGACAAATCTAAATTAAAGCTTGTATAAAGCTGGTTTGAGATAGCTGAATTATCCACCCTAACCCATTATCTGACTGATTTGTATCCCCTATTATCTGATTATAAAATTCGAAATGAATTCGCAAAACCTTAGTTTTCAACAAATCCTTGAAAACATATTATCCAGGTGATTTTTCCTGGATCAAGAATATATATAGAGTATATTATACATCATCCTCAATTTCCATCCCCCAAACACAAATAGTAAAATATGACAATACAAGAGAACAACAAATCCAATCATGAAGAAGACAAATGTGTGTTTTGCTATTGTGACCAATAATCGTTACTGATCATCAATCGTTTTTTTCTTTTTTTTTTTCCTTTTCCTGTTATAAGCGATCATCAACTTTGCCCCAGTTTTTTGCAACAAAAAGTTCTTGCTTGCTTTCTGATGGCATTACATGATAGATCTTGGTTTGTCATTGAGGAAGAACAGGAGGCGCAATCGCTCGTGTGTTGTAAGATCGACAATGCCCACATTTCTGTCCGATTATGTGGAAGTACACTTCTGTTGTGTCATTACAGTCGTTGCATAGTATCCAAACCTGTGGTTCCCGCGTAATCTTGTTAGAAAGTATTCATCTTTGATGTCAACGGAATATCTTTACCAGTCTTTAGTTAAGTGACAAAGAAAGAAACTTATTTACCTTCTTGTCGCGGTAATCAGAAGGCATAGCAGTGGCTTCGATCTAAGGGAACGAATTATACAAATTGATATGTTAAGCAATTGATTTTCAAGATTTAACATACTTAAACAATTCAGCAACGGATGTAGAACTAACCTCTTCATCCAGTCTCTGCCATGTTTTTGACATATCAATCACTGACCTCGAGCAAATCGGACAACAAAACCTAATCAAAATTTAAAAACCATCAATCACCCAATAAAACAACAACTTTATAGTTGAAACAAAGTCACATATAACCACAAGAAAGGGAAATTTACTTGTCACGCTTGATCATCTCGTGGTAGCATTCTTGGTGCATTGTGTGTCCGCATTTCATCACATTTGTGTCCTTTAGAGAGTCAAAAAGGTACTGCATTTCACGGCACACACAATTAGCTAAAAGTGAATATGTTTTACTGAAAATCTAACTTTTTCTTTATAAAGTTATGCCATAATACACATACCTCGTAACAAATAGGACAGTGATGTCGCATCGAATTCTCAACACAGCGATGGTTGTTGCGCAGACTAGTCGCATAACAAGATCCTAAAACCAAGTAATGGACAATCTTACAAGTTAACGCCCACAATATTGTGGTAGAATGAAACTGCACAAGAGAAAACTTTGTTGCTTTTTAGTTTACCACACTTCTTGCAATGGAAGAAGTTCTCACGCCCTCCAACTCTGCATCACGCAGAAGTGAAATGTCACGTGAAACAATCATCACACAAGTTCAAACGAATCAACCATTAAGAAGATATCTAATTCCATAGTCATCACAATGTATGGAGAAAGATTCTCACCTGCAAATTCCACAGTCATCACAATGGAACTGTCCTTTCTCAGTCTGAAACAAGACAATCAAGAATCATATACCGAGAAGGAAGAGATTCAAACAGGTGTAAAGTCAAAAGTTTTTTACATCATCATCATAGAATTTGCAGATATCGCAAAAGTATTCTCCCATGTTGACACCACAATTCGAACAAACTTGAGCTGCCTGAAATATGAAACAAACATAATTTTACACGCGAGCTGAGAGTAATGATAACTTAGTGATCACCATAACTCATAAGACAAGTTAAAGTAATATAAACTACAAGTGATGGGAATTACCAGCTGCTCCGTATCGCAAACAGAGCAAATCACCTGAAAAAAGCCATAATATACAACAGAGTTAGGAATAAATGGGTAATTTTTGAAGATCACGTAGTTCTAGCTAAAGGGTAAAGATGGATCGTACTTGTTTAACATCTTGGCGAACAAGATCGTGACGGTCGTAGATATTGCGCAATGTGCTCTGAAACACACACAACGTTTTTAATATCAGACAGGTTTAAAGGGTAGGAATCATAACGGGGAAAGTAACACGAGACTGTAATAAAGCTGAGGAAATGAGATCATACGGTGCTGTCGTTGTGACAATGGCGACAATCGAAGACTTCGTTGCAACATGGAGCTCTGATTTGGCATCTCCTCCTGTAATGGTGGCACCTGATACAACATGGAAGAGAAACAGATCTATATGGATCAGAAATGGTTATATGGATTGAAAATTTTGTGGATCGAGACACAGATCTACTGTTTCGAGCCAAAAACAAAAACGAATCGATTGTGTTTAAATGAATCAGAAGCTGAAAAAAGGAAGAAACTTTGTGAATCAAAGCTTAAAATTTCTTAGAATCTACGGATCAAGCAGAAGAAGAGAGACATGATCGTGAAAACAAGATACGACCCACAAAGGCAGAAACCAAAGAAACACTGATCTGTTAAAGCAAACAACAAAGATGACAAGGAATAGAGTAGAAGAGAAAAAACAGAGGATTGTTCATACCCGAAACCCATTTTGCCAAAATGAAGTCGATCATTGGGTGAAGCTTCCATGAGAACGGGAGGAGAAAAGCCAAGAGACACAGAGAGAGAAAGAGAGAGAGATGGGGGAAAGGAAAAGGTAAAAATATGCCTAAAAATATAGTATAATGATAGAGAGAGAGAGAGAGAAGTGGATTTGGATGGGCTTTTGAAGGAAGCTGAGAGTTTTATCGGAATCGCAAGGCCAGAAATGAAAACAGACCCCACGCCTTGTTTTTTTCTTATATAGGAAGAGGATAAACAACAACAAAAATTCTTCGATCTTCTTCAACTTCTTCTAGTTGCAGAAACGAAGAAAGAAACAAAGAAAGCAAAAGAAAAGATTGCTTTATTGTATATTTGTATTGTCTATCTCCGACTCTCTCTCCCCGAGTGAATGTTGTTAGCTTAGGAGTTCGTGTAGCTTTTTAAAGAAATGAGAATAATTAAAGAGGGAGAGGGAGATAAGAGAGAGTTGTGGTGTGGTGGTGATAGAAGGATGGGATGACATGGATATACAACCGTAACAGAGAGCGCCGCTTTATTGACCAATCACAGCTCTAGATCGGTTTATCTCTATTTATACCATTTCTATTTTTATTTCCCAACACTCTCACTCTTACTCTACTTTTTTTTTGACGGCTCTCTACTTTCTTTAAATACACATAAAATTTTGTGGTAAATTTGTAGAGTTTGTAATTTTTGTGGAGTATAAAACGATATTAAATGACCTATCTGTTTACCAATTAGAGATTTTTTGGAAGGACTAATATAGATAGTAGTAGTCTGTATTTTCTCGCTCTCCTCTAAAATACAAGTTTCTCGAACATATTTTGCCTTATAAAAAGAATACATTTTTATCATCAAAAAAATGGGGCAAGAAAATATATAAAATAATAATATATTTGACAGAATTATTTTGGAATAAGGTGTTTTGTCCTGTCCCCAAAAAAATGTTTTTTCTTCTATATTGTAAAATTTATAAAAAAATTTGTCTTAATCGTTTTATAATCAAATATCTTTAAACCTAATATATAATGATACAATAAAGGTAGTGTTTTTTATAGAGAAGGTAAATCGGGTTTTATAAAAATAATTTTTATGTAAAGTGTTAAAAATCAAAATTTACTGTAGAAAAGATTTAGTATGTTGTAATCAACATTCATAAAAAAAAATAGACTATTACCAATTTGCATGAGATTTAATGTCTTCACATGCATGATTCTTACTTAACCATCAAAAGTTCTAAAATTAGTATCTATAATTGATATAAATCATAATAACCAAAAAAAATTGTTCGTTGCTTGAGTCAGTTACATTGACCCCACCAATCCCATGGACCACGTGACGTGATGGTATCACGAACCTATCCATTATTAACGTTTTTATGATTGTTTATTATAAATAAAAAACATAAAAACAGGAAAAATAAATACAAAAACATTAAAAATAAAATCCAAAAAAGAAAAAAAGGAAAAATAGTTATGCTTTTAAAAATTTCTAAAAACATAAATATCCATAAGCTGCAAATAGTATCTCCGGTCGAAAAACATATAACGTTAAAAGGAAGACTAAATGTTTAGTCTAATTTTTCCTCTTCAAGAACTAAGCAACTCTCTCGGCTATTATTGCAAACAACGTCACAATCATGTGACTTTGAGCGAATTAGAGACATGTATAGACATTAGACAACTGCACAAAAGACACATTAGTACATTATTAACCTTAAAACACCAACTTTATGGATTACATCTTAACTAACAGAGAGACGCACAAACTAACCACAACTCGTAACAAACGGTACGGTGATGTTGCTTGCATTGACTTGATTGCAACATGGAGCTTTGGTTTGCCTGACATCTCCTCTTGTAATGCAACATGGAGCTTTGGTTTTGCCAAGATGAAGTGGATCCATTGGGTGAAGAGCTAGACTGAAAAAATGTAATGTATTCTTTTGACAAATCTTTTGTTAGGTATATCAAGATTACAATCGAATAGTTCAAATATTTTTATGGGTTACACCACCTATTAGAAAAAGGACTAAAAAAACAACATTGGTTCTGGAGGATGTTAGTCAAAGGCTACAAAAAAATATATTCGTTTCGTGTACATCTTATCAATATAGTACATGCAGGCCACTTGACATTCGTATCCACCATACCTTTTAAAACTTTCAAGATCGTCTTGGAAAATGCTTTCAATATAACATTAAACTACAAGCAATAAAATAGTGTATATTGACAGTATATAAAACAAAATACACAAAAGAAATTCAGAAATTCATTAGCCACAGAAACTTGATATCCATTCACATATTTACATAGTAAGTATTTAACATGGTGTTTTTAATTACATGCTATCAACCTACTGACTTGTTTACAAAAGTCTTGATTATTATGTATATACCACTTTCTTTTACGACAACAAAGAATCAAACAACACGTCTTCTTCATCCACATCTGGATCTCCCAACCTCCTTTTCCAGCAAGCATTCTTGTTCAAGACTTGCTGATTTCAACCAACTCCTATTGACTAGAGATTCTCGTTTTGGATAGACTTTTTGTTTCAATTATCTCCGTGGAAGGAACTGTCCGCGACAGGAATATGTTACCCTTTGAATCTTTCCTGCTGTAACTCTCCATCTCATGGCTCATCATCACTATGTTGCATTGTCTCCAAGTCTCACCCATCAACTCCACTCCAAAGTACGTTAAGTGGTCCGATATGCTACTTCCCATTACCGATCTGAAACAACAAGTGCCAATCATTATACTATGATACTTCAAAAAGAATTCAGTATCCAAGTGAAATCATTATGAATAGACGATGGATCAGGTGAAACGTGGTAGTAAATAATGATCCTATGTTTCCATTAATGGGTTTGTTCTTGCAAGTGTAGGTGTAATCCAGATATGAATTATATCAGCAAGTTGTTTCAGAGTGATCAAGTAGAAACGCAAAAGAGAGTTAGTTACCTGCTGCATGTAGGATCTTCACCGGTGTCGTCACAAACTTTCTCCACACCATAAATAACAATATTCAAAATATTGAGTTCTGTCACCCACACCTGCAATCCAAAAGATCCATTACCAAATGCTGTAAAAAAAAATCTAACAACAGTTACTGTGATAAACATCACGCGTACTAGAGGACACTGAGAATGAAAATAGGAAAAAGACGTTACCTCTGTTGGGAAGTGGTGGTATGTTTTTTGAGGGAAAAGATGATAGTAAGGAGGCAGGTGTGGAACTATATCATGGTCATGAATGATTCGGAAGGTATTAGGCACAAGCAAACTGTAATAAGATGAAAAAGCAGCATTCCCAACACGAGGTTGCCCAAATGTCATAACCTGTACGTTTTCTTCTCCTTCATTTACCTGCAATTACATCCCAATGGACATCATTAACAACTTTAAAGGACAAAACATAACGAAAAGAAAAGAACTAGTTCAACGTAAGGGTGTTTACAACTAGGTCTAACGCACAAAAGGAAGCCATGGCCCCTCCCATTGAATGACCAGTCACCATGATCTCGAGGTTCGCCCCATAGGATTTCTTCGCTCGTTTTACTGCATCTAAAACCGCAGGCCGTACAGTTGTATTGTGATAAGCACTATAAAAGCCATGGTGCACCTGCCATTGTAGATAACTATCACAATTTCCACCATACTACATGATGAGCAACTTAATGAAAAATACTTATCGTTAAAGCATACCATCGCATCTGGCATATCAGGGTAATTTAGATCGAGCTGTTTCCAGAACAAGTCTGAGACCCAATTTTGTATGCTGCACAAGTTTTTTGGATGATCAAGCTTCAACAAGTTTAGGCAAATGGTGTAGCTTTTAGATAGCATGGCGAGAGTAGTACCTGTGTTCTTGAGTTCCCCGAAATGCAATGATGATAGCATTCAAATCTTTAGCCACCCCAACATATGCCTGTTGTTACAACAGGTACTAATATTATTGATTGTTCAATAAAAAAATATCATGTCTAGATGTAGCTTATAATATCAGGGCAGACCTGTAAGCAGTGCTCAACGTCAACTATAACCTCTATTACCTCGAAACCCTGCACCATCCTTATAGACGTTAGAATACCCTATTAGAACTATTAGCTTTATACACATTATGATATTATGGCTTCAAACAGTCATCTGCTTCAATATGCTATACCTTTGTCAAACCATTGCATCTTTCGCATGTCCAAGTGAAGAGTTCTGACAAATCAGACATATAGACCTGTATATACATATTTAAACTCGATTCATCCCTTTGATGCACTTTATAAGCACAAGCTCTCTTCTTCCTTCCTATCTTGAAGAATAGTAGAGACAAATGGAATGGCTACTATAGTAATTATCGATAAACTTACCGCTGAAGTATACTCAACAAGTGTTATGGCAAGTGTATGGTTGTAAACAGGTCGACCATCATCGCTCTTGAACTTGAGAACTGCAATATGATGAAAGAAGTTACAATAAAATTTCACTTATTTCAAAATCTGAATTCATCAGTAGCCTCACAGCTATGTAAAATTGGCTCTTTCCGAACCATCACTCTCACAATTGTAGAGTATCCAGAGTAAAATTTTATTTATATTTTGCCATTACAAAGAAGTTCAAAACTTGATTAGGCTCATATAGACTGATATATGGAGAATCACTATAGAAGTTGCATAATTGATTACCTCTGCCACATGAAAAGGAAAGAAGACAAGCAAAAACTGCCAGCAAGAACAACCATCTCTTTTGTCCCATGTTCAGATGTTCTGCAAGGTCAACAATTGAACACAACCACATCATCATTTCAATTCATCACCAATCAAAATTAAGGGCGAAAATTTGAGCTAAAGCAAAGCAGAATTCAGAAGCAAATTATCAAAATTTAGCTTATAAAATGGAGGATCAAAGCAAGCGACCTAAATCCTTGATGAATGCAACAAAATCGGAATCTAGGACAGTGATCGGAGATAAATTACCCGTTGAAGAAAATAATAATTTCGGCTGAGAAAAGAAACGGCGATGAAAATACGAATATTATATTGATCATTAATTTCCAATTTACATCATTTTATACGCAAAGACGGGTGATGAAGGAGACGTGTTGGCTCAGATAGTGAAGGGTATTATTGGAACTGAGAGTGAGTTAGAGATGAGATTAAACTTGCGACGAACCTCAAGGAAGATGCGGTTGCGTGGGTCTTCTTCGTTAGGCTCTTCTCTGGTTTCCGCGGAACTTTGCGGCTTATTACGGCGGAGATACGACGATATATTCCGTCGAAACACTCTTTTCCGTCTAGAGGGTTCCCCTTTAGATCTAAAACCATTACATCATCTTTAGCATGTCCGGTTTAAAATCATTAAAACATTGACACTGTTATAAAACATGTGATTAATCTATTAAGAAAACATTCCTCTTGGTCATACATTCCCCTTGATCATACATTGCTCTTGGTCATACATTCTCCTTGTTCATACATTTCTCTTGATCATACATTCCACTTGGTCATACATTACTCTTGGTCATACATTCTCCTTGGTCATACATTACTCTTAGTCATACATCCCCCCTTTCAATCTTGTAGCACTATAAATAGATGAGGTTAACTACTCTTTATGTAAGGTTGAGTAAAAAGATAATAAGAAGAGATCTTTCTCTATTCCCTCTAGTTCTTGTTTTCCTCTTTGTTCTTCTCTTGGTTTGATCTTCTTACTTATAAAGAGACATAGTTTACAACACGTTATCAGCACGACGTTCTACCGTTCATCATCTAGGTTCATATATTATTGAGGTAACTCTTAAACTTATGCTATCATATATTATTAATATTGTAGTAGATTATACTTTTTGCGATCTATGGTAGGCTCTGCCTCCTCTAATATACGGAAATTTATCGCCTATTTTATTATTTAAAAGGGTTTTAGTATAATTTTTTTTTTACGGATTTAGTGTTTAGTTATCATGTCAAATCTGACAAAGCTCGAGATCGCCGCCCTAGAAGTATGTGGAAAAAATTATATGACATGGGCAGTAGGTGTAAGAATGCATCTTAAGGCAAACGGGCTTCTGAAAACCATCAGTAAGTCGGAAACAACATCAGATGAGCAAAAGGCAAAAGCCATGATTTTTCTTCGCCACCACATCCATGATGGTTTAAAAGATGAATATATTATGCAAGAAGATCCTGCAGATCTCTGGCAATCACTTAAAGAAAGGTTTGATCACCAGAAATATGTGATCTTACCTAAAGCGAGACATGAGTGGTTGAATCTTCGGTTCCAGGATTACAAAAGTGTAAGTGAGTATAATTCCGCGTTATTCGGAATCACTTCTAGGATGATGTTGTGTGGAGAAAAGATAACTGATTTTGATATCATAGAGAAAACTCTCTCCACATTCCATCCCGGAAACGTAATCTTGCAACAACAATACCGGGCAAAAGGATTCACCAAGTACTCGGAGTTGATGCAAATCCTCCTTGTTGCTGAACAAAATAATGAACTAGTGATGTTAAACCATCAAACCCGTCCAACTGGATCAATGCCATTCCCAGAAGTGAATGTTGCATCATCGAGCAAAAGAAATAATCAAGGACGTGAAAATAAACGAAGAAAAGATCACTTTCGTGGTCGTGGTCGAGGACGTGTACGTGGACGTGGACGTGGAAATGGACGTGGTCGCGGACGAGAGAAAACCAATGATGATGGCCTAGAATATAAAAGGTCAAAGGAAAATGGTTGCTTTAGATGCGGCATGAAAGGACATTGGGTACGTACATGTCGTACACCAAAATATTTAGCCGATATGTATCAGGAATCACAAAAGGCTAAAGACAAAGATGTTGAAACCAACTTCATCTCTAAGGAAGTTGGGCCATCCTTTGATAGCCAAAGTGATTATGCTCATCTTGATGTAGCAGATTTTCTTGTTGAACCAAAAGAATCAACAGAAACTAATAGGCTAAAACTGATGTGAAATGTTGTTTTTCCGAAAAGAAGTCCACAAGATTAAGAATATAGCTCTTAAAAGTTTGTGAAATATCTTTTTGTTTTAACTAGTTTATTATAAAATAAAAAAAAATAATAATATATATATATATATATATATATAACTCTTTTGGTATTGTAAAATAATTTTGATATAATAAATTATGTTTTTGTTTTGTATTTGAATATTTTGACACCAGAAGATGTCACAATTTGTAATTAAAGACGGAGATTTATGCCTAGCAGACAGTGCCTCAACGCACACAATACTAAGAGATAGAAAATATTTCTCCGATCTTAAAATAAAAGACTTCGTTGGAAGCGTGAGTACCATATCTGGAAATGCAAAAATTATAAAAGGCTTCGGAAGAGCAAGTTTTACAATGCAAATGGGGACAAAGATTGAAGTGCAAGAAGCATTATATTCTCCCGAGTCTCAAAGAAACTTATTAAGTTTCCGAGATATCCGAAAAAATGGATATCATATAGAGACTATGAAGAAAAATGGCATTGAATATCTTTGCATTACATCGGAGAGTAAACATCTATTGGAAAAATTACCAATGATGTCCTCCGGATTATATTGCACAAAGATTAACATGATTGAATCATATGTTGTTGTAGACTCGAAGTTTACGAACACATTTAAGGTATGGCATGAACGCCTTGGACACCCTGGTTCAATAATGATGAGAAGAATTGTGCAAAATTCGAGTGGCCACCCATTGAAAAACCAGAAGATTTTTCAATCGGGAAATTATTTATGTAATGCATGTTCTCAAGGAAAACTCATAACTAGGCCATCGCCATCCAAAGTTGGGAATGAATCCCATGTATTTCTAGAAAGAATACATGGTGATATATGTGGGCCAATTCACCCATCATGCGGGCCGTTTCGATATTTCATGGTATTAATTGACGCATCCAGCAGATGGTCACATGTATGTCTTTTGACAACGAGAAATACGGCTTTCGCAAGATTCATTGCCCAAATAATCAGGTTGAAAGTACATTTCCCTGATTATACCATAAAGAAAGTTAGACTTGATAACGCTGGTGAATTCACTTCCGCTGCCTTTAATGACTATTGTATGTCAATGGGAATAGAGGTTGAGCATCCAGTTCCTCATGTACACACACAAAATGGCATGGCTGAATCTTTGATTAAACGGTTGCAGTTGATTGCAAGACCATTAATTTTGAGAACAAAGCTCCCAATTACTGTATGGGGACATGCTATATTGCATGCTGGGGCATTGGTCCAGATGAGACCAAGTGCATATAATGAATACTCCCCAATACAGTTGACATCTGGCCAGAAGCCAGACTTATCCCATCTCCGTATTTTTGGGTGTGCAGTTTACGTCCCTATATCGCCACCACAAAGAACAAAAATGGGGCCGCAAAGGAGATTGGGAATATATGTCGGGTTTACCTCACCAAGCATAATTAGATATCTTGAGCCAACAACTGGTGACATGTTCATGGCACGTTTTGCTGATTGTCACTTTGATGAAAGTGAATTCCCCGCGTTAGGGGGAGGATTAAGAGAATCACCAAAAGATATCACATGGTGTTCAAAGACTTTGGCTTATCTTGATCCTCCTACAAATCAAAGGGAATTGGAAGTACAAAAAATTGTACAATTACAAAGTTTGGCAAACCAGTTACCTGATGCATTCACAGATATAAAAAGGGTGACGAAATCCTATATCCCCGCTGCTAACGCTCCATCAAGGATAAATGTTCCAGAAAAACATGTTGGTGTAAATAGAACAAATGAACCGGTTCAATTAAAGCGCGGGAGGCCAATAGGATCGAAAGATAAAAATCCTCGAAAGAGAAACAAATTGGGAGTAAAGGTTCGAGAAGAACCATGTAATGAAAATTGTTTAAAAGACATATATGAAAAAGTTCTAGATGAACCAGATAAAGAAATTTGTTCGGAAGACGAACATAATACAGAAAAATACGAGATTTCCATTAACTTTGTCCACGATGAGAAAGTATGGGATAGAAACGAAATAGATGATATAGATGGAATATTCTCTTTTTCTGTATCTAAAGAGATCGATCATGAAAATAACGATCCAGACCCAAGGTCCGTGTCAGAGTGCCAGAAAAGGCCTGACTGGGAGAAATGGCAAACAGCCATGATAAATGAAATTGTCTCCCTTAATAAAAGAAATGTTTTCGGACCAATAATCATTACACCTAAAGATGTAATACCGGTAGGATGCAAATGGGTCTTTGTAAGAAAGAGAAATGAGAAAAACGAGGTCACAAGGTATAAAGCTAGACTCGTGGCACAAGGTTTTTCTCAAATACCAGGGATTGACTACGAAGAAACATATTCTCCGGTCATGGATGCAATCACGTTCAGGTACTTAATGAGTCTAGCGGCGTCTATAAATTTAGAAATGTACCTGATGGACGTTGTGACTGCATACCTATATGGATCACTTGATAGTGACATATACATGAAAATACCGGAAGGATTAAAGATCCCAGAAAGATCAAAGATATCGGAAGCATCTAAGAAAATTTATTCGGTCAAACTACAGCGATCACTTTATGGACTAAAGCAGTCCGGGCGCATGTGGTATAATCGCTTGAGTGAATATTTGTTGAGTAAAGGATACATCAACAATGCGATATGTCCGTGTGTATTTATAAAGAAATCTTTGATAGGATTTGTGATCATTGCTGTATATGTTGATGACCTAAATATAATTGGAACTCAAAAGGAGATTGATGAGGCAAGAGCTCACATGAAAGAAAAATTTGAAATGAAAGATCTTGGAAAGACCAAATTTTGTCTAGGACTCCAGATAGAGCATTTCCAAGACGTAATATTTGTGCATCAATCAAATTACACTAAAAGGGTGTTAAAACGTTTTAATATGGACAAAGCAAATCCTTTGAGTACTCCAATGGTCAATAGATCACTTGATGTTACCAAGGATCCTTTTCGGCCTTGTCAGAATGGCGAAAAAATATTAGGTCCTGAAGTACCATATATGAGTGCCATTGGCGGACTAATGTATCTTGCAAATTGTACTCGACCAGATATAGCTTTTGCTACTAATATACTTGCAAGATACAGCTCATCCCCAACGCGCAGACATTGGAATGGGATAAAACATCTCTTACGCTATCTCCAAGGTACGATAGACTTAGGATTATTTTATCCGAGAAATTCTACGCTTGGTCTAGTTGGTTATGCAGACGCAGGATACTTATCAGACCCGCATAAATCTCGATCGCAAACCGGATATGTTTTCACATTTGGTGGAACAGCAATTTCGTGGCGTTCTCAGAAGCAGACGTTAGTCGCCACTTCTTCAAATTATGCTGAAATTATTGGACTTCACGAAGCAAGTAGAGAATGTGTGTGGCTTAGATCGATGACTCATTACATACAAGAAGCATGCGGAATAATAACCAAAGCGGAACCAACAAAAATATTTGAAGATAATGCTGCTTGTGTCGCTCAAATCAAAGAAGGATATATCAAGAGTGATAGGACAAAGCATATTCCTCCGAGATTTTTTTCTTATACTCAAGAACTCGAAGAAAAGAAGGAAGTTGACATCCAATACATCCGTTCAAGCGACAACGTTGCAGATCTTTTTACAAAGGCACTTCCCACCACTACATTCAAGAAGCATACTAAAAGTATCGGAATGCGTCATTTACGAAACCTATAAAGACAAAAGATATATTTTCCAGGGGGAGCGTTACTGCACTCTTTTTCCCTTAACATGGTTTTTATCCCTAACGGGTTTTTCCATGGTAAGGTTTTTAACGAGGCAGTATACTGCATATATACAATAATGATTAATCAAGGGGGAGCATTACTGCACTCTTTTTCCCTTAACGTGGTTTTTATCCCTAACGGGTTTTTCCATAATAAGGTTTTTAACGAGGCAGTATATTGCAAATATACAGTAATGATTAATCAAGGGGGAGTGTTATAAAACATGTGATTAATCTATTAAGAAAACATTCCTCTTGATCATACATTCCCCTTGGTCATACATTGCTCTTGGTCATACATTCTCCTTGGTCATACATTCCTCTTGGTCATACATTCCACTTGGTCATACATTACTCTTGGTCATACATTTTCCTTGGTCATACATTACTCTTGGTCATACATCCCCCCTTTCAATCTTGTAGCACTATAAATAGATGAGCTTAACTACTCTTTATGTAAGGTTGAGTAAAAAGATAATAAGAAGAGATCTTTCTATATTCCCTCTAGTTCTTGTTTTCCTCTTTGTTCTTCTCTTGATTTGATCTTCTTACTTATAGAGAGACATAGTTTACAACAGACACAACAATAATTTTTTTTATTGTCGTGTATTAATGCAAAAATCCATGTTCTGTCTCAAGTGTGAGGACAAAACTAGCCATTGACTAGGAAAAATATCTGTGTTAACATGTGTTACCTTGCAATAATGTTAGCAAGAGTTATAAATTGCTAAAGTCGATAAGATATCTGAATCTAAAACATTGATTGGTGATTGACATAAAGAAATTGATGGATACTAAGTCAAAGAATTCTCGAAACTATTTTGCTACTGTACAATGTCATTAATCATTATTAAGTGATATATTTACATACATATATAGTTGAATCCAATATCTACATATATATGATCATGAATCTTAAATTTAAGATGCTACATGCGACCAACGTAGGACTTATTTACAATTTATTTCGTTCACATTCTTCACGACCACAAAAATATCAAAGAACCTTTCTTCTTCCTCCACATTGAATCCGTTTAAAGGCACGAACATCCCATGGAAGCAAGCTTTCTTGTTCAAGACATGAATCAACCAACTCTTATGGACAAGAGATTCCAGTCTTGTGTTTGTTGACGTCTGTAAGAGGAACTGTCCCTGACAACAATAGGTTACCCTTTGAATCTTTCTTGCTGTACTTCTCCATATCTTGGTTCATCACTATGCTGCTGAATTCGTGTAAAACAAAAAATTGTCAAGCTAAAACATGAAACATAAGGCGTATTGTAACGATTTTAATCTGGCAGTGTATAATCTTCCTACGTTTCGCTTTGCATGTTTGTTCTTGCTAATGTTGGTGTGTCGGAGGGGAATCATATCAGCAATTTGTTTCAGATGGATTGATATAGTTACCTGCTGCAAGCAGCAGAGCAGACATCTGCAAACGGTGCCTGACCGTCGGTCTAAATCAATATTGGGTTCAGAGCCCAAAGAAAAATTAAAGCCCATAAGGAGAAGGAGAAGAAAAAAGTTTCTTTTGAAAACCGTGGGAATTGATGGAAAATTCTTACTAAAAAGTTTAGATATAAAAGACAAAGGAAAGGGTTATACGTAAGATATATGGAAAAAGATTGCTTGAGGATGGAATCGCTGCCCCACGAAGTAGTAGAGCTGATCTTGGAGAGACTTGCGGTGAAATCCCTGCTGAGATACAAGGCTGTATCGAAGCAATGGGAATCAACAGTTGAATCCCAATTCTTCCAAGAAAGACAGTACTTGACGCATCGAGAGCGATCAGGAGATGCAGATGTTCTCATGGTGTCCGTAATTACCGATCGGGGCCAGGACACCCTAAGAACGCTGGTCTTGGGTTCATCCTCATCAGTCAAGATCCCTACTCCTTGGGAGGAGGAGGACAACACAGACTATTTGGTTTCCCATAATAGCTTTGACGGTCTCGTTTGTCTCTACAATCTCTTCAACTCTTTTGTGGTCAACCCCGCCACTAGATGGTATCGGGCTCTTCCTCCGTGTACCTTTCAACAACTCTGGGATCACTCTCACTCTGTCACCAAGCCTGGGTACAGATTCTTTCAGATCGGGTTCGGTAAAGACATATTCACCAACACATACAAGCCCGTTTGGCTATACAATTCTCTAGATGTAGGCCTAGAAAACGCTACCACATGCGAAGTTTTTGACTTTAGCACCAACGCTTGGAGGTATGTTACTCCAGCTTCTCCTTATCCCATTATTGCTCTTATTGATACCGTGTTTGTTAATGGGTCACTTCATTGGTTAACCGACTGCCAAGAAACCAAAGTTGTATCTTTCGATCTTCATACCGAAGCTTTTCAAGTCCTCTCCAACGCTCCCTTTGTCAATTCCTCCCCTTACGGGTTGGCTATGTGCAAACTCAACAACCGTTTGTGCGTATCCGAGATAACTTGTCCCAATCAAGTGATATGGTCTTTCAATTCAAGCAACAAGACGTGGGACAAAATATATTCAATAGACCTGGATATAACTCTTGCTTCGTATGGTATCCCAGCTTGGCCAACAATGTTCACTCTTGTGCCACTAGCAATTTTGAAGATGAAGAAGAAGTTGTTGTTTTATGATACTGCGCTACTACATCAACAACTATTTACACAAGACCCCGAAAGCAAACAATATGATATTGCTTTCTCGCCGGCTATATCCATTGGAATTCCTGTTTGTTATTTCCCGAGTTTAATCTCTATTTTATAGATTTGGTTGGTGCCAATTCATTGTAACATTTGCTTCTTCCATCAACTATTTGTTTTCCCCCAAGTAAGTTTGCAATTTTTGGTGTTGTTACTCTCGTGAACAAAACAGTTATCTCCAACTATGGGCTTATGTGCTTCAACATACAAGCCGGTATACTCTCAACCTGCTCAATAATTTATATACTATGCTGTAACTTTGTTTTTATATAATTTTTGTGTATTTTTTTATATTTTTACATCCCAATGAACATCATTAACAACTTTAAAGGAGATAACATGAGATTAAAAAAAATATATTGTTCAATGTAAGGATATTTACAACTAGGCCTAGTGCACAAAAGGAAGCCATGGATCCTCCCATTGAATGACCAGTCAGGCAGTCACCATGATCTTGAGGTTCGCTCCATTAGGATTTCTTTGCTCGTTTGACTGCATCCAAAACTGCAGGCCGTACAGTTGTACTGTGATAAGCACTATAAAAGCCATGGTGCACCTGTCAATGTAGATAGCTATTACAATTTCCACCATACTGTATGACCAACTCAATGAAAAATACTTATCATTAAAGCATACCATCGCATCTGGCATATCATGGTAATTTAGATCGAGCTGTTAATTTCCACGACATGTCTGAGACCTAATTTCGTATGCTGCACAAATTTTTAGGATGATCAAGCATCAACCAAGTTTAGGCAAAGGTGTAGCATTTAAATTCTATGACTCGAGTAAAACCTGTGTTCTTTAGTTCTCCGAAATGCAATGATGATAGCATTCAAATCTTTAGCCACCCCAACATATGCCTGTTGTTACAAGTTACATGTACTGATATTATTCATTGTTTAATGTAATATTATCGTGTACAGTGAGTAGATTATGATATCAGGGTAGACCTGTAAGCACTGCTCAATGTCAACTATTATCTCCATTGCCTCGAAACCCTGCACCATCCTTCATACAACAATAATTTTTTCTGTCGTGTGTTAATGCAAAAATCCATGTCCTGTCTCAAGTGTGAGAACAAAACTAGCACTGAGTACGAAAAAATATTTGTATTAACATGTGTTAGTATCTAAAAATTACCTAGCAAGAGTTTGAACATTTGTACACTAGTTATAAAATGATGGAAGTCAATAAGAAAACTGAATCTAAAACTTTAATTGATAATTGACATTAGAATTTGATGGATACAGATTTAAAGAACTTTTTTTTTTTTAACTATTCTGCTACTGTACAATGTCATTATTCATTATTAATTGACATATTTACATATATATAGTTGAATCCAATCTCAATATGATCATGAATATTAGATTTAAGATGCTACATGCGACCAACTTAGGACTTATTTACAAGCCATTCGTTCACCTTCTTCCCGACCACAAAAATATCTAAAAACCCTTCTTCTTCCTCCACATTGAATCCCTTTTTAAGGCGCGAACATCCCGTTGAAGCAAGCTTTCTTGTTCAAGACATGACTCAACCAACTCTTATGGACCAGAGATTCCAGTTCTCGATAGAGTACTTGTTTTGTTGACGTCTGTAGGAGGAACTGTCCGTGACAGCAATAGGTTACCCTTTGAATCTTTCTTGCTGTACTTCTCCATATCTTGGTTCATCACTATGCTGCATTGTCTCCAAGTTTCACAATTCAATGCCACCCCAAAGTACCTTAAATGGTCAGAAATGCTAGTTCCCCTCACCGATCTGAAACAACAAGAGGCAAAAGTCATACTGAATTCGTGTAAAAAAATTGTCTGGCACACAAGATAAAACATGAAACAGAAGGCATATTGTAACAATTTTAATCTGGCAGTATATATTATTCCTATGTTTCGCTTTGCATGTTTGTTCTTGCTAATGTTGGTGTGTTGGAGGGGAATTATATCAGCAAGTTGTTTCAGATGGATTGGTAGTTACCTGCTGCAAGTAGGATCTTCACCAGTGTTGTCACAAACTTTTTCCAAACCAAAAAGAACAAAATTCGAAAAAGAGAATTCTCTCACCCACACCTGCAACCCAAAACACACCATTACTGCTTTCTTCTTTTTTTCCAGACAGTTTGGTAAACCAAGCAGAGAAACTTCGCTTAAAACTACTATTCTGATAAACATCTAGTGCACTGAAAAAGTGATATTACCTCTGTTGGGAAATGGTGGTATGTTTTTTGGGGGAAATGGAAATAATAAGGAGGCAGATGAGGAACAATATCACGGTCATGCGTTATACGGAATGTGTTAGGCACAAGCAAACTGTAGTAAGATGCAAAAGCAGCATTCCCAACACGAGGTTGCCCAAATGTCATAACCTGTACGTTTTCTTCTCCTTCATTTACCTGCGAATTATATCCCAATAAAAGTCATGAACAACTTCAAAGGACATAATAACAATATGATCTAAGAAAGTAATTTCAGTTCAAGGATGACTACAACTAGGTCTAGCCCACAAAAGGAAGCCATTGCTCCACCCATTGAATGACCAGTGACTATGATGTTGATGTTCGCCCCATAGGATTTCTTTGCTCGTCCTATAGCATCTAACACTGCAGGCCGTACAGTTGTATTGTGATAAGCACTGTAAAAGCCATGGTGCACCTGCCAATGTAGACAACTTTTAGATATTCCACTTGAGTACATGACCAACTCAATGACAACAAGCTTGTCGTTTAAGTTTACCATTGCATCTGGCATATCAGGGTAGTTCAGATCGAGCTGTTTCCAAAACAAGTCTGAGACCCAATTTTGAATGCTGCACAAGTTTAAATTTGACTAAGCATCAAGCAAGTTTATGCAATGTTTAGCGTTTAGATTACATCGACCAGAATAAAACCTGTGTTCTTGAGTTCCCCGAAATGCAATAATGATAGCATTCAAATTCTTAGCCACCCCAACATATGCCTGTTGTTACATGTACTGATATAAATAATTGTTTAATGAAATAATATCATGTCCAGTGAGTAGTTTATGATATCATGGCCGACCTGTAAGCAGTGCTCAACGTCAAATATAATCTCTATAACTTCGAAACCCTGCACCATCCGAAAGAATGTTAGAACTCAATAACTGGAGCTGTTTTACAAATTGTGGCTTCATAGCTTAAACAGTGATCTGCTTCAAGATTGCTATACCTTTGTAAAACCATTGCATCTTTCGCACGTCCACATGAAGAGTTTTGTCAAATCAGACTCATAGACCTGCATACATATTACAAACTTGATTCACCTATTTGATGTACGTTTTCAGCATAATATATCCTGAATAGTAGTGTCAATAATGGTAAATGAAAATATGAAGAGGACTAGTGTTACACTCCAGTAATTACGTTTGTCAAGGAAAATCATCGTTACAGGCCACTTTTTTTTCAACTGTACTAATCTACCATTAACTTACCGCAGAAGCATACTCCACAAGTGTTATGGCATGAGTATGGTTGTAAACAGGTCGATCATCATCGCTCTTCAACTTGAGAACTGCAAAATGGAAGAACGAAGTCAACGTAAATTCACTAGATTTCGGTCTAAACTCACTTGTAGCCTCACAACTCATTTATACCAAGTACATAAAACTGTCGGTATCATAAAGCTTTGAAATCAATATTTTGATCTTCATGGTTCCTCATGCATTCTGATGCTAAAAGAATTGTGGATTGATTTTGTTCAACTTATAAAAACATGATAGAACATGTAATTAGCCCTTAATGAATTATCACTATTACAATGACAGAATCAAGTTATTGTAGCCAGATTATAGATTCCAATCTTCCCAACCACTATTTCCATTACAAAGAAGTTTCAAAATCTTAATTAAGCTCAGAGAAACTCAGGAGAACTGAAAACAAAAGTCCCAATAAAAAGCAACAGATACGGAATCATAATAGAAGTTGCATTACCACCTCTACCACATGAAAAGGGAAGAAGACAAGAAAAAATTGCCAACAAGAGGAACCACCTCTTTTGTCCCATGTTCTGCAAGAGCCAAGAAGACAACATCATCTTCTATTCATCAGACTATATAAGGTAAGAATTGAGCTAAAACACAGCAGGATAAGGAAATGATTAGCCAAAAATCAAAATATATGTTTACCTTCTATAACGAGACTTACGAAACCCAAACTAACGAGGATTAGGACAAAACCCGAAAGAGAAATAGCAACAAACAGAACTCCCAGAAAGAAAAAAACTGAGGAATGAAGATCTACGCAAATGAACCAAATCCTTGAGTGACCTTCTTTCACCACGATTTGGAAATTTCCGACGATGATCGGAGATTATCCCCGGTAACGGCGACTTATATATTATTTATTATTTATATAGATGCCTGATCTGCAAAAGAGAGAAGGTAACAGAAGAAACGGCGTTAAAATACGAATATTCTGTTTTTTTCCTTTTTTAATTTCCACTTTCGTCCTTTATACGCAAAGGAATAGGCGAGAAGCGTGTGGGCTCTTTCGTAGGCGACGAAGGGTATTACTGGAATTTAATTGTGTAGCGTGTCGCAAATTCCAGTGCTGAGGTGTCAGATACGTGATTCGGCTAGCTAAATGGATAAGGCGATTATCGAGAGAATACGATAGAGAATACGATAGGTATAGAGGTTGACCTTTTTTGACCTTTTAAGCCCATGGGCCGTTAAAGCCTATTAGTATAATCCAAAGTCCAAGGCGGGAATTAACGAAACGCTGTTTCTCAAGTGGCGGGAGATTCTTTATTGCGTCAAGACCCCGTGGCAAATCGTATCCGTATATTTTGGTCACCCAACATCAACGGGTTAAAATAGAAGCTACGGTCGATTCAAACGCTGTTTCACTTTTTTTTTGTATTTTAATTCTTTTCTACTAACTATAGCAAAAAAAACTCAGGAACCCTCGATTCGATCTCAGGGACGAAATCAGGATTCGTAGAGGCGTCGATGGCGAGGGCTTCGAAGCGTGAGGTTTCTTCGGACGAGGCTTACTCGTCAGAGGAGGAAGAGCAAGTTAACAATCAGGCCAATGTGGAAGAAGATGATGAGGAGCTCGAGGCCGTCGCTCGCTCTGCGGCCTCTGACGAAGAAGAGGTTGCCCCTGATGAAGCACCTGTCTCTGACGACGAGGTTGTCCCCGTCGAAGATGACGCCGACGAGGTATGCCTTCGTTTCTGTTTACCCATCTTGGATTTCACATTCGCATGTCGGGGATTGTTGTATTTCGAATTTTGAATTAATCTGAGTACGATTAGGGTTTATTCTGAGCCTGTAATGTAATCTAAGTACGATTAGGGTTTGTCTGAAACAATGCTGCGTTGGCGCTCGTTATGATGGTACGTTTATGTGACTAGTACGTATATTTGGTCACTCTTTTTCTTAATTTGATGACTATATGTAGGACGAAGAAGATGAGGAAAAAGCTGAAATTAGCAAACGTGAGAAGGCCAGACTTAAAGAAATGCAGAAGATGAAGAAGGAGAAAATTCAGCAAATTTTAGACGCCCAAAATGCTTCCATAGATGCAGATATGGTAAGTTAGTTAATAATTGAGCTGCGTTGTCCTTTTTCTCTTTAGAGGTATTGAAATAGCTCGGTCGTTCCATTTATTTAGAACAATAAAGGAAAGGGGAGATTGAAGTACCTTCTGCAGCAAACTGAGTTATTTGCACATTTTGCTAAAAGTGACCCATCTCCATCCCAGAAGAAGGGGAAAGGAAGGTGTGTTGAGTACCAACTGATCTCAAAATAATTTGTGGATATTCACATGATGAGCACTCAGTCCTAATGCTAATATGTTGGGTTCCATTTTATTTTTCAGGGGTCGTCATTCCTCCAAACTAACTGAAGAAGAGGAAGATGAAGAGTGTTTAAAAGAAGAAGAGGGTGGTATAGGTGGATCTGGAGGCACACGGTTGCTCACACAGCCCGCTTGTAAGTATCTATATTTTGCTCCCTTTATCTGGAATTGGCGTATGTTTGTTCAGTCCCTATTACGATTCAAAATAATCATAGGATTTGACACCTTATGCCACTTCTCTGCTGTGTAGTTGTTTGATGTATTCCTCAATTGTGACCTCACAATTTTTAGGTAGTATTGCTTAGTGTTTAGAATCTGTAGAATTTTGGAGGTCGGATCTTTATACTCTTCATATTGCAGGTATTCAGGGGAAGTTAAGAGATTATCAGCTAGCTGGTTTAAACTGGCTTATTCGGTTGTACGAGAATGGCATAAATGGGATTCTTGCAGATGAAATGGTAAGCTCTTATCCAAGCATAAAAAAGGTCTGTTAGCTCTCTATACTATCTGATGCTTATCTTTATTATTATTTTTTTCTATGGTTCAGGGTCTGGGGAAGACACTTCAAACAATTTCTTTGTTAGCATACCTGCATGAGTACAGGGGAATCAATGGCCCTCATATGGTGGTTGCTCCAAAATCAACCCTTGGTAACTGGATGAATGAGATTCGCCGATTTTGTCCTGTCCTACGTGCTGTGAAATTCCTCGGTAATCCCGAGGAAAGGGTAAGCCATAATAGCTTGGCCATTTGATTGGTTGCACCTATATGTACCTAGCAGAGTTTTGAGACATATGTTAAATAATGCAGAGACATATTCGCGAAGAACTGCTAGTTGCGGGGAAATTCGATGTTTGTGTTACAAGTTTTGAGATGGCTATCAAAGAAAAGACAACATTACGCCGTTTTAGCTGGCGTTATATAATCATTGATGAAGCACATCGAATCAAGAATGAGAATTCACTCCTTTCAAAAACCATGAGACTTTTTAGCACCAATTATCGGCTTCTTATCACGGGAACCCCCCTTCAGGTATTTGTCCAATCTTTGTTCTATAATTGTTTAGATCCTAATTTTTTCTGTCTATTACTTCTGATAATGATTGTTGAAACTACTTCTCTTGCATGAATCTGTTTGAACATCGTGTTTTGTTTTAGTGTTTTTTTGTAGATATTTATTTCTTATTGTCTTCTGTACTTGATTTGCTTAAGATGATCCCGTTACTGTTTGATATATCTCAGCTATTTTCCTAATGCAGAATAATCTCCATGAATTATGGGCCCTTCTCAATTTTCTTCTCCCTGAGGTTTTTAGTTCAGCAGAAACTTTTGACGAATGGTTTCAAATTTCTGGTGAAAATGATCAGCAAGAAGTTGTTCAACAACTTCACAAGGTATGTCCTCGCATTTATTAAGGTTACTCTTTCAGTTCTTATGCTAATCATTTATCTCATCTTTTTTAGGTTCTTCGCCCGTTTCTTCTTCGAAGGTTAAAATCAGATGTAGAGAAAGGCCTACCTCCGAAAAAGGAGACAATACTTAAAGTTGGCATGTCTCAAATGCAAAAGCAGTACTATAAGGCTTTACTGCAGAAGGATCTTGAAGTGGTTAATGGTGGTGGAGAACGCAAACGTCTGTTGAACATAGCAATGCAATTGCGCAAATGCTGCAATCACCCTTATCTCTTCCAGGGCGCAGAGCCTGGGCCCCCCTATACCACAGGAGATCACCTTGTAACAAATGCAGGTAAGTTTTTCATTCCAAGTAGATTATTCAGATATGCATGGTTATTTTCTTTAATATTTTCTTGTTTTTAGGTAAGATGGTTCTCTTAGATAAATTGCTACCTAAGTTGAAGGATCGTGATTCAAGGGTTCTGATATTTTCTCAGGTAAAAACATTAACTCAAACAAACAATGATATTTCTTTGTTTCCTTTTTTCTGAGTGCTATTCTTCTTATTTCCTTGTGCTTATTATTCTAAGAATTTGCTCATCTATATCAGATGACAAGACTTTTGGATATTCTTGAGGATTATCTAATGTATCGAGGTTACCAGTACTGCCGTATTGATGGAAATACTGGTGGTGATGAACGAGATGCTTCCATAGAAGCCTACAACAAACCAGGAAGTGAGAAATTTGTTTTCTTGTTATCCACCAGAGCTGGAGGGCTTGGTATCAATCTTGCTACTGCAGATGTGGTGATCCTTTATGATAGTGACTGGTAAGGCTCTTTTTGTGTCCATTTTAATTTTTGAGTTTTTTCTTTGTTCCTAATGATATGGCTTGATTCTGGCAGGAACCCTCAAGTTGACTTGCAAGCTCAAGATCGTGCCCATAGGATTGGTCAAAAAAAAGAAGTTCAAGTATTCCGGTTCTGCACAGAGGTTACTCTTGTACCCATTTGAATGAAGCAGAATAACATTGAGAATGTGAACTAATTCTGCATTTGTTTTATGCAGAATGCAATTGAGGCAAAAGTTATCGAGAGAGCTTACAAGAAGTTGGCACTTGATGCTCTGGTTATTCAGCAAGGGCGATTGGCAGAACAAAAAAGTAAGTGCTTTTATACTTGGGCTATAAAATGCATTGTTTTTTCTCTTATTTATTTATTTATATATTTATTTATTTTTGTTACATTTCAGCTGTTAATAAGGATGAGTTACTTCAAATGGTGAGATATGGTGCTGAAATGGTGTTCAGTTCTAAAGATAGCACAATTACAGATGAGGATATTGACAGAATCATTGCCAAAGGAGAAGAGGCAACGGCTGAACTTGATGCTAAGATGAAGAAGTTCACTGAAGATGCAATACAGTTTAAAATGGATGACAGTAAGCACGTCGTTTTCTTTTTTTCCTGTTTTTAATGGTAACTCTCTTGCTTGAGTAATTGGATGTTCGAATAATCTTTTTTTTGGTATGTTGTAGGCGCTGACTTTTATGATTTTGACGATGATGATAAGGTACTCTTGAATGATTAACTGAGAATGGTTTAATGGTGTAACGCATACTGTAGTTATTCTCTGCATTTTTGCAAACATTTTTTTGCTGAATTTTTATTTAATTTTGTTTGGTAGGATGAGAACAAGCTGGACTTCAAAAAGATTGTGAGTGAGAATTGGAATGATCCACCAAAAAGAGAGAGAAAGCGCAAGTAAATGTTATTTCTACTTTTCTCATTATGTAGTATATTTTGTCTTCTTAAACAAAATCTAACTTCAACGATATACTTTTATCACCCGCCCTTCAGCTACTCTGAAACTGAATACTTCAAGCAAACACTGCGACAAGGTGCTCCAGCTAAACCTAAAGAGCCTAGAATTCCACGCATGCCCCAATTGTAAGTACCTCTATTATCGAAACTCTGCAGTTAGCATTTTCCCTGTCTTGATACTATTTTTATCCTAAAATCTAATTTATTTTCCATCCCGCAGGCATGATTTTCAATTCTTTAACATCCAGCGATTGACTGAGCTGTATGAAAAAGAAGTGCGATACCTTATGGTGGGAATAAATTTATCAACTTATTATGTAATTTGTGC